CTTTTCTCAAAATTTTATTTCTGGGTTTGGGAACAAATTCCAAAGATAAAAATCCAGTGCATTTTTTTTAAATTCTAGAAACTCTCTCCCGAAACTTTTCCGGGTCTGGAAACAAATTCCAACTATGAAATAATGTGTAATTCTGGAAAATTCGGAGAAACTTCCCGGAACATTTTTTCTGGGTCTGGGAGCAAATTCTAGGGATGAAATAATGCATCATTCTGGATAATTCTAAGAAAATTCCTGATACTCCCTCCAATTTTTTTTCCCCAGGTCTGGGAGCAAGTTCCAAGGATCAAATAATGCACAATTTCTGGAAAATTCCAAGAAACTTTTCCCAGTACCCGGCACAATTCTGGGGATGGAGGATTTTTTTCAGGCTTGAAGGAGTCCTCTCATTCCTGGAAATGCTCTGCACCAATTGTTCTGGCTAAAGGGGATAGCAGTACTTCACTGTGCATTTTCACATTATAACTTGCAAACACCATATTTATGTACAAAAAAAAAATAAATATATATCTGATATGTTAAATTGAAAACAGATGTACAGCCAGAAATGTCTTAAATAATAATTTTGTTCCCACTCTATGTATATTTGACTAGAAAGCAAAACAGTATACAGTACAGTACAGTATAGTGAAGCTAAATAACTGACCAACAAGTGACCATGTGATGCCCAAAAACCTATATCTGAGAAAACACAGCAATAAAAGTGAAGTTTTGGGAAAAGGAAGGTACAGCAGTGTAATTTTATATTATGTAAAGTGTTGTTTAATGAAACCAGGAAAGAATACATCTGTTAAAGAATTAAGAAAGAATTAATGACAACAAATGTAGTCAAAATACTAGTCACTGTGTGATGCAGCAAAAACAGGTTTGTATTAAGTGAAATGGAAATATATTTGATAAAATTTGCAATATATTTGCAATGCATTTATTACTATTACAGTATGATTAGATTTAGATTCAAGAATAGGCACCCACATTCGTGTTTGAATACTTGTGCAGTACAGTACTTGTGTGTGTATATACAGTATATGTGACCCTGCTCATATCTATTTTTTGGCAGTCCTTAACACTCATTTATTCTTGGAATGAAATATACAAACCAGAAACTTCACTGTGTTAACACTGATTTTTCAGAATGGAGAATCCTATTTGAACTACATTATTTCACAATACAGTACAGTACTGTATTATCAAATACAGTACAGGTACAGTGTAACCAAATACTGTACCAATTAATTTGGAAATTGTCCAAATATCTATACCTTACTGTATAGGTACAGGTATATGTATTTTCTAAACACTCCTAGGTACATAGTGTTCAAATAAACCTATATAAATGTAGTGGATAGGTTTATCAGGTCAAGTTAATTGAGGATGGTGCAGTTGGTCAACAGACTGGATTTACTGTACTGTAGAGATACAATTTTGATTTATAAAATACTTTGAATCATAATAGCATAAAAAAGTTTCTAATCAATAGTAATAACCTTCAATAATAAAAAAAAAATTATATATATATATATATATATATATATATATATATATATATATATATATATATATATATATATATATATATATATATATATATATATATATATATATATATATATATATACATCATGTAGATCCACAATGAAAACGTAAGATAATCTTGATAAATCACTGCGGAAAGGAAACAACGAAAGCTAAGGCCTCGCTGTTTCCTTTTCCTGTGATTTTATATATATATATATATATATATATATATATATATATATATATATATATATATATATATATATATATATATATATATATATATATATATATATATATATATATATATATATATATATTATATATATATATATATATATATATATATATATATATATCTCATGGGTCATCCACCCAAACATGTTGGTCAATTATACAGCTTCAATAGATATAACTACATACATATAATAAATATCCTAATGCATAACTTTGTAAAGTACCAGTACATTCAATTATGTAAAAATTCTAGCATCAGCTATGTATATAAATCTACATTGCATGAATATAAGGATGTGATCTAAACACTCATTTTCATTGTATCAAGGCATGGCTGAAAAACAAAAAGAAGCTTTGTTCGTAGTCATAGAAAATAGTTACTTGTAGAGGCACAATTTATCAGCATTCTGTGAGCTGTCTATTCAATGATTTCCTAACACTGTTACTGTACTACCTACACAACACATTACCACTAGAAACTCCATGAATTTTATGCACTATAACTGTGAAGAAGAAAAAAAATTGATATAAATCATATGAAAACATTAAGACTACAGGAGAATTTTTTTAAATTTTCTTTTGTCACTCAGAATTTACTAGCAAATAAACTTGATATATGCTCTCTTCAGCTATTTAGCTGAATTACATAAAGCAGAGATATACAATACTGTACATAAACTACTTCTAACAGTTATAAAACTGCCTTTAGGTTTGTGTTTACTACAGTAATTTGACATGAGCACTTGACCAAAGAAATGCAATTTTTTTTTTTTTGCATTAAATAAATTGAACTTGAGTTGACAAGACTATTTTGATAGCCCATCCAATTGTCCCAAGATTGACAAACAAATGTATGTCTTCATTCAATAACTTCAATAGTATACTTTAGTGAGGCTAAATAAATTCCTTGTAAAAACAATGTTTTCTCCACCCATACATATAGTACAGAACCCATTGTTTTTAGTCACACTTTTTAGTCGTGAAAATTTTCCATTTCATGATTTGGATTTTCTGATAAAATTTGAGACATGGGACATGGGACTGGTGAAATAAATATTGGATCTATTAATTTCCCAGAGTAAAAATAAGATTACTATACACATATTATGCTAATGTCAATGCTAAAAACTTATGAATAGAAAGCTGTCTACATAAATTTGTCACTTGACATTCATCAACAATTTAGTGATCAAATAACATTTGGCCAAAATTTGTGCACATTAATTTTTGACCACCATATATATGAGTTGCCAGCTTTACTTGTCACAGCTAACCACCAATGTTATTTTCCTGAAGAAAATATCACTAGCAAACTTTTACAGATTATAATGTAACAATTTCTCTGTTAAGATAATTTACTTTTCCAGAAACATACACATGTAACCTGGCAAGCATGCCCTCCAACTTTCTTAAAACGGCTTAAATTTAGTAGCTAAGCACTATTTTCTATACTAAAAATTAAGGTTAAACTACTTATGAAAAATCTGTTATTGATCCAATAAGAAGTACTATGAAGATTCAGACTAGAAGAGAAAAGGGATAATTACTGCACCACAATATCTGATACTAGATACTGCACTGTATAGTTAATTCACATCGTACAAACTGAAGAAAGAAATGCCATTAATATTATGCACTAATTTGGCTTAAATTTATAATAAGTTTATTGAAACAATATATAAAATTGTTTCATCAAGAGATTGTTTACTAAATATTTACAAATATCAACGAGGAATGGACACCAGCAGTATACAGTAGACCCCCGATTTAATGTGAGAGTAGGACCGGGAATTATTGCACAAAATTGGTTCGCATTAAATTGCTCTGTGTATTTTGGTGTGAAATACATGGTATGGGACCACAGCCCCAAAACATACAGTACCTGTACACCAAAAATTCCTAAAACACCCATTTTTTTTTTACTTCAAAACTTACTCCATATTTCAACACTTTTAAACAAATTATAACAACTCACTTTGAGTTTGAAAAACTGCTTCCTGGACTGCAGTTGTTAACACAAGGTGACTGATAGAGCAATAGAACTCGGGGTGACAGAAATTGTGCATCATCTACGTAGTTACTCGCTTGTAATAACAGACGACACATCCACCCATGCCGTAATCTTTTGAGAGCGAGGGCACTTCGTTTTCATCAACTCATCGATTGTCTACATTTGCAACAAAACATTAAAAACATATTTAATGAAACATTAAAATTAATTAATGCTTTTCTAAGAAATGAAACATTGAAAACATATTTAATGGTCTTCTGACACTAAGGGTCACAGTCTCAAGTTAAAGAAACCACAAGTACAGACAATTGTCAGAGCTAACTTCTTTGGAGTAAGAGTTGTAATATGTTGTAATAGCCTGCCAGAGACTGTTGTGACTGTATGAGTTGTGAACTGTTGTAATAAACTGCCAGTGAATGTTGTGAATAGAGTTGGATTTAGAGTTGTCAGGGCCCTGCAGCAACAAATTTATGGGGGGCCCTTGCCATCAAAATTTCATCGTCAAATTATTGACTGACAAGTTTAATGAAATGCTGTATACTGTACTGTACCATATGCATTATACAAAAGACATACAGTATAGGTACTGTACATGAACTTTATGCATCTTTTGTTATTTTTGATAAATGCCATTGAATTTATCCCAACTCTCTAGGATTATGGTCAACAATATCAATAACAAAACAAATTAAGAATCATCAACTTATGATAGTCGTTTTCTTCTTCAGAATCTTAAAAATATACATTTATAAAAAATATAGATATCACTCAAATTTTCTGTGGTTCACTAGGCTTAATCTGGATTCTTGGGAAAGCCCTCCCCTAAATCTGTCTGATGATGATGATGATTAGCAAAAAAAGTGGAACTGTATCATCAAATTCTGACAAATTTTTTTATTCGCAAAAATGAAAAACACAAATGACAAATGGTCCTCCAACATGCAAGTCGCAGACTGAGTTTATTAGATAGTTTAACCATCACTCTTTTATTAGCATATGCAGTATTACACTGAGAGCATTTTTCATGGTCACAAAAATGTTTTAGTTTATATTTTTGTGTTTTATTAATGGCAAGACATTCTCATACAATGGATTAATTATCCAAATACAGAAAATATGGTATTTAAGTTATGGTAAGTCTTCCAAATGTTTAATGATGATTTCTAAAGGGGCATCTGTTTTGTGGGGGCCCTGGGCTTTTGCCTTGGTCACCCCCCTTATATCCGTCTCTGGTTCTGAAATGTTGTAATAACCTGCCAGAAAATGTTGTGACAGTAAAAGATGTGAAATGTTGTAATAACCTGCCAGAGAATGCTGTGACAACACTGAGCATGAGCTCCTTTAAGCCCAAACTTGACCAACACTGGAACATGTTGTAGTACATTCTACAGCAGGGGTGTCAAACTCATTTGCTATGGGGGGTCATATTTGATGTAAATATTGAATCACTTTATATTGTATTGTACTATATATTTCAATAGGAAATATAAGGAACGGAACTACAGCCCCAAAAATACAACAAGAAATTCCTTAAAGACATTTATTTCGCCTGACCGAACCCACCGCCGGACCACCTCAATTCCAAGCCGACTCCACACCATGCCACAAATCTACGCAGCTTACTCACACACCTTAAATAATGACAGAATGTGAGATATGAGTGCAGAATCTTAAAGCAGTGAACAAGTAAACAATACGAATGTTGTCATGCACAGAGACAAGGAAAGTACAGCGTATTAGTTTAGATGTGAAATCAAAGGTGTTAAGGTGTTTTGAAAAAGGGGAACAAGCTATGGATATAACTAGATCCATACACTCAACATTTAGAAAAATTTATACCATTTTCATATTTTTTCATTCATTTTTTTCATTCCCCATATTTTTTTTTAAACCTTCATTTGAAGTCAACCTCAACATTTCTGGAAGTTTCACATTATTTCTGACACTTTCATAATTTTTTCATTCACTTTTTTTTTATTCAGCAAAAACAAATTAAAAAGCTTTGTTCAAAGTGACTTTCCACATTCTGACTTTTTTCCCCATTACTGTGCTACTGAGTTCTGGGCTCACACTGCACAATATCCTATTTGGCTGCACTGAACTAGAAAAAATGGAAGTACTGTACTGTAATTTGAGGTGTCATGCTGCATAAAAATTATTGAATCAATTAGTATTAAATCGGAGGTTTACTGTACAATACACTTCATAGCCCCTAGTAGTTGGAAAAGTGGAGTCCTAACATAAAACTACTTATCAGTCCATCCTTATCCTTGTGTGTAATCAAAAGTAAAACTCTTCCTGCCAATTGTTCAACGTCATCAATTTTCTTTCATGAAAAAGCTAATGTACTTCTTTATTCTGGTCTTACACATGATAAAAAGAAAAACCTGCATAAAGATTCAGAAGTGTACAACCACAGAACTTTATGCAGGTAACCCTCCCTTAATGAGCGAGTTAGGTTGCTGGAAAACCATTCTTCAAGTGAATTTTCATATATTGAATGACAGAATAAATGGGAAAAAGGGGGTTCAGCCATTTCTACTTGCCTTTGTGTCCAAGATGGCCAGTAATGCATGTATTTACTGGTCATATACTTATTTCCTATAAATAATGCATTTAGATTACTTAATTTGCTTTATTTTTCATAAAAAGTGCTCAGCAACACACACTCAGCTGGTCGCAAGGCTGTCTGGCTGTCTTTGTGTTTGGTAGAACAAGTAATGCACAAAATAATAATAATTCCACAAATAAATACATTTACAACATAATCATAACATTATTTTACAGTAATACTACACTGCAATACAACTACACTACTTTTAGCAATATTACTTTGATACAACATGATAAAATGGACAAACAATGAAAATGAAACACACAAAAGTAGGTAATTACATTCAGGAAGCTTCCCTGTGGCCGAGCGTGTGGCGTGACAGGCATATAGTCACACTGGAACCTGATAACCTGCGCTGGGCATTTAAACAGTGGCGGGAAAAGGCGTGCCGGTCGGGCGTTCTGGAACGTCACCCGGGGCGTAAGGGTTAAGGGCTAAAAATAAAACATCATTGTATGCATACTTTAAATAAATAAATACCTTTAATACAGTCTAATGTGATTTACACGGGTTAGTTTAAATCCCAGCAGCTTCTAGTGAGTCACAACATTTGCCAGAAGTAGTGAGCTCATAAATAATAACAGTTTTGTCTAATAAATAAAAATCACATTACCTTGATATCTTTGTTTATATAAATCTGTATTAATAAAGTATTATTTTTATTTTCACAAAGGTATTGAAATTAATTTTGGTCAAATTAAACCAAAGTTTTGAGGTGACTTATGCCTGATGCAACTTGTAGGCCCCTTTGACAACAAGCAGCATGAGGCATGTTACCTCAAAACTTTGGTTAAATTTGTCCAAAATTAATTTCAAAATCTGTGAAAACAATAATAATATTTTATCAATACAGTAGACTGTACCCTCGTTAACTAGGATCGCTATAATTTGTATTTTGGCTTAATTTTGTTTTCTTTTTTTAATGAATTGAACGATTTGAATTCAGAAAGAATCTCAAATAACCGAGCAGTTCCAAAAAGTCAATTCCTGTATTATCATAGTAATATATTATGATATACAGACACTCCCTAGTTTAAGGAAAGGTTCCGTTCCTGGACCCTATCCGTAAGCTGAATTTTCCGTAAACCAAAAATGACCCTTCCATAAGGTAAATATGTACTGTACCCTGTACTGTATTGAACATAGAACACAAAGATAAGTCTCACAAAGGGATGAGCTTAGCCGCCTTACTCATAATCCTCTGCAAATAGTGTTGTTACGCCATACTAGTTACCCTACGTAATAACAGACACTCTTGTACAACCCAAAAATTTTTATAATGAGACTTATGGGAGGCATTCCGTATCCTCGAATTTCTGTTAATCAAGTGTTCTGTAACCCGGGGAGTGTCTGTAGATTAAGATGAATGAATTACAGTAGTATAGAAATAGAATATAGATTATATTAAGATACTTTACAAAACTATGCTTGGTGTGAAGCCTGGAAGAGGAGGTGGAGGAGGAGGGAAGGAGGTAGAGAGGGAGGACAACTCACCGACTCCCACTTGACAGCCTGCAATCCCTTTATAACAACAGTACAGTATGCAATTTCACAATAATCCCATACGATTTAGCTTCGTTTGGTGAGGGGTTAATAAGCATTATCAAAAAATAATAAATTTTCCCCCAAAAATACCACACTCGATCCCAGATAGCTACTGCGCCACAGTATATTCTCAGTCCCTTGTTTACAAAGCGGTAACAGCTTATCGTTCCTGCTGACCCGCTCTTCCTAAAAATGTTGTCAGCACTCGCCATCTCTCAAGCACCATTGTTGTCACTGCTCAATAGGGTTGTTACCAATCTGTGGTAAGGACATATATTTCATATATTTATTTCCTCTTTATATCATGCATGACCAGTTTTTAAGACTAGAAAGGCTTTTTATTTGTTTTTTAAATGTTCATGAATAGGCCCACATGGGGCAGTGGGGGGGTTCCTGACCATAGCCCGATGCCCAGGGGTTAAACTAAAATAACTATTAACTGCAAGGGCAAATTATGATTCTCCTTGCATGCCAAATCAACTTGTATTTCAATGAGAACTGAAGAGCACAGAAAATTAATTGGCTACCAACAAATACCTGGGTTACAACACTGAGCAGCTCTGGGCAAATATGTCCTTTGTCACTCAATAATTATCACAAGTCACCCAAATATTTATGTATCACTCCAAAACCAGCAAAGCATACATCATCACAATCAACTACAATATATGTGTTGAGTAAGTACACATTATCTTATTTCTCAACATTCGATGACTCACCACAATCCCGGCATAGTAGAGGTACACATCCTCATTGTCATCCATATTCAATGACAATCCTCACCCATCTTTCTTGAACTAGTGTCTGTCTCATACAAATCAAGGTTTTGTTATTCTTTGGTGGGCAGTGGCATACACTTTGTTATACTGTAATTTCAAATGTTTTGGACCATCAAATAATTAGTCTAATAAAGTGATATACTACTGTGTATTTTGGGTAATATAATTTTACACTTTATCAAATAAAGTATACTTTCATTATCTGTGGTGTATGTCATGATAAGTAATAAAGGCAGCATCATCCAAAAGGATGCGGCATTCACCTATAGTCCTAAGAGTCACTGGTTCACTCAGCTGTGAATACGGTAGATACTTTACAATTGGGGGAAATGAAAATGGTCAAGTATAGTACTGTGCCAGTCGTGCTGTCTCCTTACATATCGGGAAGATCGAGTACACAAAGTGCTCTATCTGCACTGCTCCTACTGAGCTGTAAGGCCTACTGAACCCATTTTCACATTAAGTACTCAAGTTTTTAATCCAGAGATCAACAAGCTAGTGTGTAACATATTAAACTTATCAAGACACCTAAGACTATGCAACTGACAGGGTGGTGTTTTCATGGGCAAGAGAATTTTACCCAAATCTGCCTTACCAGACCTTGGCCAAGGCATCATCTTCAAGGGAAGACTCTTACCATATAGGCTCCATTCACCCCAGGTGTGAATGGGGACCAACACTTCTGGTAAAATATACCAAATGCTTTAATTTGCATTGCCTTCATAATTTTGGATAATAAGTAACTAACTACACTGTAGGGTGATGAAGAGTCCAGAAAAGGTAATCTGTATTCCATCTACCTGGTTTATCAGCATATGGGTAATTTTTACTTTTATACTGTAAATTGTCTTTTTGTAATAATTAATCTATCTGATTAACACAAATGATTAATGAAATTCACATTCTAACCAATATATCTCCCATCCTCTAGTGTTTTACGAGAAATGCAACATTATTATAATTAAATATGAAAAAAAGTAATACAAATTCTTCCGTATATGTATACAATCATTCGTAATTTCTTCAGATATAACATTACACATTAGATTTCTTCTAGTGAGGGTGCATAAAAGTCAAGCCATTAATCAGGTAAAGTTTCTGGTGTGCAATTATAAACATGTTTTTAAATTTAAAGGAGTATAAAAAAATAAAATGCAACTTAAACCGAGCAATTTCTGCATAAGGATCTAGCCTCCTTAGAAAACATGTAACATTCCTAGCATAATAGTTAAATATTCTCTGAATTAAACTTTATAACACCAATTCTTTGTTAAAAAAAAGCATGATTAATAAATTTATATTTTCTTTTTGAAAAAAAGATGCCATAAAAACCATAAAATATAATATATATACTAAAGAAATAATTTCCCAATGTCACAAGAGTAGTATCAGCTTATTGCACACTGGTAATTCCTGAACACTACAGACACACTTCTATTCTTGGAATTAGTCAGCAATGTTTAGAAATTCCATTTTACTTCTGAACATATACCCAATTCATTATATGAACCCAAACATTTTTTCAGCTGATATTACCAGCATAATCACTGCCTAGGAAGGGTGATAATAGCTGATAATACCAGTCACTTCTGCTAAACACTATGAGCACCCTTGAGGCTCAAAATAACTGACATTGCCAATCGCAATTGCAAGTACGACCACTGTCATGGGCATTACCATCCCCAGCTGCTACAATGACCACCACTGACAGTAACAAGAGCTGTAAGTATCAAGCATATCTCCTGCTACAACCACCAGTATGGATGATAATTGCTGATATTACCAATCACATCTGCTGCTATGACCACCACCAAGAGTGTCATTGAGATGGAGGGATTGTCTTAGCATTCTGGCCCTTACCTAAGTTAGGTTTTGATCCAAACCAAGACATTTTCCACTCTAAAGTTTCACGCAGAAGCCTCTCTTCTTCAGAAGTCATTTGAAGCAAGGTGGCTACAGCACGAGTGAGATGCACAGCCTGTAAAATGTTCATAGTCTCATTACAGAGGATCTGCTTGTTTGATTTTTAAAAAGATAATACAAGACATACAATATACTGTACTGCACTTCACATATTATTGTAAACAAACAAATGCTCTAAGTCTGATATTCTAGTGAGGGATCATATTGTGATTTAAGTACATTTCAGATAAATCAACCATTTGATAAAGAAATCAGTATCTATACAAAGATTGAGAAAGATTATACCAATTGGATACAAGTCATAACTGACCTCATATTCCCTAGAGGTAAGATATTTGATGATAACATGCTTGAGGTATGTGTTGTTCACAGCTCCACCGTTATCACTGCCATTGGTTGCCACTGGCCCTATAGAAGAGTTATTTTCTGAGGAATTTGCTGAAAATACATTCAAAGATCATTCAAACAAAATGTGTGTACAACAAATTAAATAAAAATGTCAATACAGGAATAGAAAAACTATTTTAGAAAAATAACCAGAACAAAGAAGTAAAATGGGAAAAAACAATGAGCTTGACTGATATAAAGATATAAAGCAGAAATTATGCAAAATACAATGAATCTCTTTATGAATACAAGAAGGCAATTAAAGGTAGGGATAATAAATTCTACTAATTAATGCATGAATCTGATTTATGATATCCTACCAGGGGCATCATTTATTATATGTACACAAAAACATTCATACCAACCATTAGTTGCTGGAGATGAATCTCTTATTCTGGAATCAATGCGAGGGTCAGCTATCGAGTCCGTTGAGTCTGCTGATAGTTTTAGCTCTCTTTGGATTGTCTTCTTCATATCAGCAAGTCTCTGGCCTTGAACTTTTAGGGCCTAGACAAAAATACTCGCAAATGAATCATGAAAATATCAACTTTGCAATACAGTATTGTCTTTGAACAAGCCACTTATTATGTAAGAGAATGATAAAAAGTTAATTCAACACTTAAATTTGGTATTCAAATCATGTGATATAAAAGGGCTTCAATAAATGAGCAGTTACATCTTTTTATAAACATGAGAATTAGTTTAATCATAATATAATCCACATTATGAAAACACATGGCCCATCCAATGGTTAGTATTAATACTGTACAGTATTACCATTTATGATCTCCATCAGAGAAAAACTGTGACTGCAAAACAAACCTGATTGATATCTAGGGGAAGAGATACCAATACATAAAATTCATAAGAACAAGAATTGGCATTCTGAATATTTTTTTGTCTTTCAGTCCATTACCCTCTCCATTTGCTGTCATCCATTCACTCTTGTTGCTGTAACACTCCCATATAACATTTAATACAGGTTGTACCTCTCTAGTCCGGCATTCTGTGGTCCGGAAACTCCCGTGGTCTGGAACGATTTTAGTTTGTCCAATAGGTAGATAGGCAACTTTTTTTTTCTTCTCTTTTCTTTTTTTTATCTGAATTATTATTATTATTACAGGAGTATTAAATTTTTGCCCCTCAGGCCCCAATGTGGGTCAGTGACCTATGCCCAGGTGGGCTAATCCCCGTAAAAAAAACCCACAAAGCCGCGGGAAATTAAGGTTTGTTTACATCCGCCAGTTTGGCTGCACTCTCTCTCTGCTTGTCTATACAGAGTACAACATTTAACCCTTCAATATATATGAGCAGTAAATAAGTGTTGCTTTCATATTCTTATGTAGAGTAATGACGATATGTTTTCACATGTGTCACTTACATACGCGCAGTCTCACTTTTTTTTTTACCATTAATGGTTAGCTACTTATATTGTTCCATTTATTATCATTAAATAACGTTACAGGTACTTCAAACAACCATATTAATTTTTTTACATTAATTTTACTACAGCTAAAATCAGGGTCTTATTTTCTTGTTTTATATGTAGAACCAATCAGTCACTGGTTTTGTAAGCTTTAACATAAACAATGCCGGCAGCCGTCTCGTCTCCTCTAATATTCCACGTATTATTAATAAATTGTATTGTTAATTTTGCACACACAAACATTAATTCAATAAAAACAAATTCAGAAACATTAAAATATATATGAACAGTAAATAAGTGTTACTTTCACATTCTTATGTAAAGTAATGACGATATGTTTTCACGTGTGTGCATGCGCACTTACATACACAATCTCTCTTTTTTCTTTACCATTATCGTTAGCTACTTCTATTGTTCCATTTATTAACATTAAATAACATTACTTAAAACAACCATATTAATTTTACTATAGCTACAACCAAGGTCTTATTTTCTTCAGTTTTATATGTAGAACCAGTCAGTCACTGGTTTTGTAACCAACGAAAACAATGCTGTGCCAGTTCCTCGTGTGTTTTAATATTCTACGTATTATTAATGAATTGTATTGCTCATTTTGCACACATAAACATTAATTCAATAAAAAAGACATTCAGTAATAAACAATAATGAATCTTTTGTACATAAGAGAAATGACGCTGTTTACACGATTATGCATATCGTCTGCACGTTGGCGGGCCATTCAAACCCGTCGAAATTCAAGTTTCCACCGTCAAAATTTTTATTTATTTATTTTTTTGTGTTCCAATAAAATACGTTAAGAATTAAAAACTCGCGAAATTTGAGAAGCTACTATACGACATTTAACCCTTCAATATGTCTTCAAAGAGACCATGATGCAGAGAAAGTGGTGCTAGTGCTTCCAAGCATAAGCACAAGTCACTATCTATCCAGGAAAAGGGTGAATTTCCATGGTCCGGCACCGGTCAAGTCCCGAGGTTGCCGGACTAGAGAGGTACAACCTGTACCGTACTTTTCTATCATTCACATGCACTGCTGTACAGTGTCCTTGATGTCCATCCTCTTCACTTTCAGTGCATCTTTCATCAAACACTTCCATCTCCTTCTTGGTCTTCCCTTGTCTCTTCTTCCCTGTACACTCTTTTTATCACTCTTTCATTTCCCACTCTATCAATACGATCATACCACCTTAGCAGATTCTGGTCAAGTCTCTTTCTGACACTTCTTTCATTTCCACAGACTTCCCCTGAGAATGTGACTCACCTGCTTCCCTGACTATTATATTACAGTTTGTATTAATGTATGCAGTAGCTATAATTAAGCCAATACAGTACTGCCAAGTAATATAATTTGAGAAATAAGCATTCTAATAGGACTATATATAGCTATTTATCAACTGGCCAGCAATAAACTGGCTGGTACTGTATTTGGAAAGTTTTATGGTGGATCACAATTAAAATTCTGGAAGTAAAATTTAAGATTAAACAACTGGAAACTTAACATTTCATAGACATAAAAGCAATCAGTGTCACCAACAGTATTCACATTATTGTAACTGGACTTTTTCAGTATATAAAGCCAAGAAAGTATAACTGCCAACAAGGATGAAGCAGTAAAACATTCCAAGGAGAAACTTACTTGCTTCTTTTCCAAGACCTCATCTTCTAGGGTTTTCACTTCCTCTCTAAGTGCCTTCACTACATCTGATCCTTCAATTTTATGCACAAGATCCTCTTCTTCATTTTCCAATTGTTTCAGGAGTGCTTCACGTTCATGGATAACTTCATCATGCTTTGCCTCTATCTCTTTAATCTTTGCTGCCTTCTTCTCATCCTCTTCCTCCAATGTCTTAACACTCATCTCTAGGGTAATAACTTTTTCAGCATATTCATCTAAATTCTGGGACAATCTTGTCTTTTCACAACTCACTGTATCCAATTTAGATTGCAGCTCTGACTTGCCCTTTTCTAAAGCTTCGACAGTAGTCCGTTCCAGCTGCAGAGTTTCCTGGAGGGATTTCTTTTCAGTTTGTGCCAAGAGCAAGTCTGACTGAGTTGTAGTAAAATTTCCTTTCACTACTATCACTTCAGATTCAATATCCATTAAATTTTGTTCTAAAGAGGCTATTGTCTCCAGCTTAGACTGAAGTACACTTGCACATGAATGATGTTTTTCTTCTTCCGATGCCTGTAAAATATATAAAAATAAAATTCTTAAAAATAAGCAAATACTGTTTAAAGAACAACTATACAGGGGGGTATCCGGGTTACAAACGGGTTCCATTCCCGAGGATGTTCGTAAGTCAGATTTGTACATAAGTCGGAACACATGCTAAATGCATACCGTACTTACAAACAATGTTTAAAATCCCACTATATCATAGCCTAAGTCCTTACATACATCTAAAATCACTTAATTTACAACAAAAGAAGAAATAGAATGACAAAATACAGTACATAAATGAAAGTAAAATAAAAGTCATCAGGTAAATAAAATACCTGTACTGTAAATTTCAAGTTTAACCCCGTTCGTATCGGCGGGCGTTCATAAGTTGAGGACCTCCTGTAGTACTAATGGTAAAGACATTAATCTCACTAATGATCAGGGTAGCTTCTACAAAAATTTTTCCAACAATACAATTTCAGGAAATACAGATACACACATTCAACCACTGACACAATCCTCTCTAACATTTGTGTCCAGGCTTCCTCTATCATGTCCTCCACTGCAGAAGCCCTCCCCAGTTCAGTTCATTGTATTTTATTCTTCTCTACTATAATCTCTTTTTCCCAGCTGTTTTGTTCTCCTCTACTATGTAAAGTCATGTTTTGTTCTTTCAGTAGAACCTTAATAAATCAGACTAATTGGGGCAGACCCCCAGTCCGAAAAATGCAAAAGTCTAAAAAAAGCCAATATATTGGGGAGGGGGAGGAGATAACACTTCTTTTATGAATTGTTTAGAAAATCAGTTGTTGTTATGTTATTAATGCAGTTCAACAACTAAGATCTTTAAGTGTATAATAATGTTAGTTAAAGAATTTACATCAGCAATAAAAACAATATGAAACAGAACTCTTTGGGTTGAAAATCAGACTTATAAGTCTGGTTGTCAAAAAATTTTTTCACCAAATGATTGCTATTTATTGTAAAGTGGTGACCAGAGCACCTCAGTCCGAATAAAGCGAAATCCAATATATTGAAGTCCGATTTATTGAGGTTTTACTGTTCTATACTTTCTCATTATGTACCATCTTTCTCTTTTTGACACTTACCTAATCAAAACTATTAAAAAAAATAAAAATCTTCCAGACAAAACATTGTTGAAGCTAATATTGTCTTTACAGTATTTACTGCAGTGTACTATTATGATGTGTGCCCCTGCTATAATTTTCTAAGATGAATAAAGGTAATAACTATAACAAACAATTGCAGAAACAGTGAATGTTTGAACTTAGATTTGATATCAAAGATATAATGCTGTACTGTATGCCCAAATTAATTTTCATCCATGAGGAATTTTTTAAGTTATTGCACAGAAACAATGGAGTATTTCTTCTAAAAAAAAATTATCCTCATTTATATGAGATTGCATTCTCATATAATCACTAAATTACACAACTGCAAATACAGTATGAAATGGAAAAATAATGAGTAAGGTCAAAGAACCAATGAGACTATTATTACTGCACATTTCACCCATTTTATCAGTTTTATAGTCTTTATATTGCATCTAGTATACACTAATGGCAAATTTAAACATACAAATTTTAAAGAGTATTTACTATATGTCACAGTGGATGGACAAAGATAGCAAATATTTCTTGTTACCCACGATCACAAGAAAACCACCCAAATTATACACTTACAAGTTTCTCCTGCAAAGACTTTATTTGTTCATCCTTTTCCAAGGTTGTATTATTCAGTTGCCACCGAAGAGTGTCCAAATCTTCGTTTAACTGAGATATCTCTGCCTGCAATTTTCTCTCCATCTCCAAATATTCTGACTTCTGGGAACTGTTTTCATCTCTCAAGGCACTAAGTTCTGATTTGAGCATTTCATTATTTTCCTCAGCTTCTTGAAGATCAGACTGGAAGAAAACACATACAGTACAAGGGTAAATTTAAATGTAACCATCATTTATGCTTCTAATATACAGTAAACTCTCATTTAACCAACCCTCGAATAACCGACCCTCGCAAAAACCAACCCACCCCAAGGCCTAATCGGACACCTACACCATCAGGAGTAAGCATTCCCAGCACATTAAAGTCGGACATCAGTTCCCCCAAACAACAGCAACCGCAAGTCCTGGTGGAATCTTGTTAAGACTCAGAATAACTAGAGTACAGTTCAGTAAGTTCATTTGCTTACAAGAGAGAGAGAGAGAAAGCAAGTGAGCGGGTGAGTGGGATAAAGATGATTATACTGTACGTTGTGTTATTTCTGTATTACGGTATACAGTACTGTATATTGTACTTACATTTACATATATTTGTACCCTGTACTCTCACATATGATTATTGCCTAACTCAAGTGATTATCTTATGCACAGTAACATATTTTTGGTACAGTACAGTACCTCGATTATCCAACTTATCAGCTTTTACGACCCACCCCTCCCCCCTAGGGGTGTGCAACAAACTAGATAAAAAAAAAAATGTAATAAGAATAGTTTAAGGAATTTCAAATGGAAGATTGATCCTAAAATGTCTTAGTGTCTAGTGTTATGTACTACAGTATATACCAGGTATTCAAGTTGGTAAATGAATTTTGAGATCCAGGAACACATTTCCTATTTCCCATAAGGATTTTCAAGAATGTAACTCTCCATAATCAGAGGGTCTATTGCATATTTTCTGTGAGATTATCAACATCACCATTTTACAGTCAATTTACACACTTGCGTGGGTTAGCCAGGATTACCCGAAGGCATGGTGCACACTGTGCACTGGTCACTATTAAGCAAATTTGAAACAAGTTTTACAGATGGATGTCTTTCTTATCAATAATCCATTTTACAGTGGGGAACTGAGCATTATATGTGGGGCTTCCAAGAACCCTCTTAGCTGGTAAGACTAGGTTGCAATTCCCCAAGGTAATCAAAGATTACCTGCCTACCTGGTTCAATGAATTAGACTCCCTATTGAATTCCACGGAGCTGATCCTCAGCTTCCAGGACCAACACAAACAACCCTCTACGTTCAATCTGGTGTTCAATTTTTTTACATAAAGATCCTCCATCCCCATGTTTTGTAAAAAACAGTAATGTGTGTTTTCTGGATAAGTCAACAAAAACCCTTATGCAGAACATCCACCTGATCTTCAGCAATCTTGGCATTGAGATGGTGGATCTGATTTTCCAAAGCTGTGATTTTGTCACTCCAGGATGCCTTTATGTTGTTAAGCTGTTGCCTTGCCTCCTCCAGATGGTGCTCCATATTCTCTCTCTGAAACATTATAAAAAGGCATCCCTTAGGCAGGACTTTTGCTAAATATTCACAAACATAACCCAAAGAATATCTGAAGCTGATGTATAGGAACTCATTAAATAAATGGGACAAAATACATTAACCCTGAGTAATATAAAACATGAAGATAACTTAAGATTGTGTACCTAATTTTTTCTATTACAAATAGGGTAAGACTGTTCTAAAAATTAAAGGGACTGGCCACAATCTCAAGTCAGCTGAACTGGTCATTTTGACCAGTAACCTGTTCAAAATGAAAACCGTGCTATAGCTATCCGAGTGCAGTAATTCAATGTCAACCATGGGTTTACCAACAATGTTTTTGAGTATCCACACTGTGTTACCATTATATTTACTATTTAGTGTCTATACTACTACTATTATTATTATAATTATCGACCAATCATATACATACATATAAAAACATGCAAAAAATAAATACTGGGTGTCCATAAAGTCAGGCATCATAGAACAATAGGTGTATCAGTAGAATGAGCACCAAGACTTAAATCCCATGGATTTCACTGTCTGGGGATACTTAAAATCACGAGTTTATTCAATGAAGATACACATCTGAAACACCTCAAATGACAAATTCAAGATGAAATCTGCACCATCAGGCCAGTCATGTTAAGGAACATTAAAGAAATTTGCTTTTATGTTTGCAAACAGCTTAGAGACTGGTGGGAATCAATTTGAACCATTAATGTAACTACACTATCTTTAAAATAAGTGTATTTTCCTCGGAAGTATAACTTTAGAGACATTCTGTATATTTTCAACCAAAAACAGTGTCAGAAAAAATAAAAATAAAAAAGTGGAGCTGACTTGAAAGTTAATTAAATTTGCTTATTTTCATTTTTCATATTGTACATTGTATGGCTTTCTACTGTACAGCCAATACTCATCACTTAACACTCAAGGTCTGAGGTGGCAGCAGTCTCTTTGTAGTCCAAAAGGAATGAGCATAAAGACACATTCTACATCCATGTGCAAGTGTGCTTTGGGAAAATTGATAAGTACAGCTGATAGACATATGAAGCAGATACAAACCCACTCTGATAGGCACAACACTTACGTTTATGTTCTCTACCCATATACATATCTTATGGCAAAAAAACAAATTCTTTTGGAAATATTTGTTTATACGTACACACATCGTACTGTATGTGAAAACCTTGTAGAGTATAAAAACTTTATTTACACATTTGCTGTGCTAAGGGAAGCAGCATCAAGGTGGACTGCACAGTTACAGTTTTGTTTTGATTTGTTTTGTTTTTCAATACTTGCACAGTGTACATTACAGTGTACTGTACTTCATAATTCAGTACAAGTACAGGTATTTATATACCGGTATTGTATCGTAAATATTTTTTTCAAAAGTACTCGTAAAGCATACACCCTGTACAATATTCATTTTTAATCATGACCTCTACATTACAGTGTCTTCAAAAATGTTGATCCTGTAACCCTTTTACATGATTCTTAAAAAACATAATTTACATATAATAAAACAATCAAATTATTATATTATATTACTTGATATTTTGTCAAGTTTCCCTTTACTTTAACACCAGTTTAAGTCTATTTAGCATGGATTCAGCAAGTGTTTGGAAATAATCACAAACCATCTCAATTGTCCAAATCTGCTTGACCTCCTGCAAGCAAGGTACTAATGAGCTCTATGGTGACACGTTGTGTTACATCTTATTCTATACATTCTCTATCAGGTTTAGGTCCAGTGAGTTCCAAGGCCACTCTAGCACTCTTAATATTCTTACAAATGCTTCATAAGTAGTAGCTTTTTGGCAGCATGATTGAGATGACATTTTCAGCATCTTTTGTATTCAATTGTTGAATCTTTTATTCTGAGACATTCTGAAGGTTTTTTTTTTTTTTTGCTACAGAAATTATGAGATTCTTCATCACTTCTCATCTCATAAGTATGTAAGAAGTCTTGACAGCCTTTCTGGGCCTTTCAAAAGATAATTTCTTAGATGGAACAGAATTGGTAGGAAAATTGCATGAGGAATAAATGCACTGCTAGACTGTGCACTTTATGAAACATTAACCATTCATTGTACAGTACAAGAAAATTCATAAACTTTCAGGAAATCTTAGCACTCATTAAGGGGTATTTACATGGTATCTTAGGTTAGGGTACCATGACAGTGGAATAAGATAAAACAGAAAATTGCTTTGAAGGATATCAGAGTGGAGGATTACTCTTGAGAATTGTTTAAGATAAAGAGCAGTCTCAAAGTGAAAGAATGTGCATGCTGATGCTTGGCACCCAAATCTCTTAAACTCTCTCCCTTTTGGGCATCTTCATGCCAAAAGTGTCTCCTTTGGAATCCAGCGAAGGAGAAGGATAATTTTATTCTTTATCTTTATTTACATGGTTTTTTCTATGTTTAATTTGGATCCTGGGACCTGGGGGTTCAATTGCCTAGATTTGTTGACTAATCGGAGTTGCTCAAGACAGATGTTAGGTTATGAAGTAACACCTCCAACACTAACCTCTTTAATAAGTGCTTGCACTTTGTCAGTCTCCTGAAGTGCAGTCTGAGAATGGCGTTGTTCCAGTGTTATGACACGATGCTGAAGATGCTGACTTTCCTCAAGTTTTGCTTCCTCAAGAGCTGTATATCTGAAAATATATTAATACATCTCTAGATGAGTAAGTATCATTAAGGTCTGTTGTCATACCAAGTGTTCTTTGGGTTAAACATCTGTTTGGACTCATCTTATACACAATGGATACATCATTCAAAAATCTCCATAATTAAAAAACTGTACAGCTGTCCCTCATCCAACATGAAGAATACTCTCTAGGATAACCTCATGTTCAACAATGTTAAACCCTTGTGGAAATACTGTACAGTGATTGGGATGAGGGAAGGAAAAGTTTTATGTACAGTAATTAAGAGTTACTAAAAAAGGTAATTTCCAATTCCAAGATAAACAGTGTTTTCACCTTAAAAGAAGCCCAATGGCAACTCCTCATGCTTTTTGGCCAAAAATCATGATGATGATGATGATGATGATGATGATGATGATGATGATGATGATGATGATAATAATAATAATAAAAATAAAATAATAAATAAATTCCAAAATATATCAATAAAAATAAAAATTTTAATATTGTATACTGTAAGTACAGTACAGTACAGTACTGCACTCCTTAAATAAGCCAATCTGTGTTAGTGAAATATGCTGGCTGTTGTTTTGAACAGTTGTGCCTCCCTGCTGATATGGATGACCAAATATCGGATTCTGTCTGAGTAATGACGTCACTGTAGCTTAATTAATCAGGTACTTGGGGTTTTTACTCTATGTACAGTATTATATACAGGAAAATCCCCATTTACAATCTCTCAATCTCCGATATTTTGCATTAACAATGCCGATATATTAAGACCACTCCCCTATTTGCGATGTAAACAAAACCCACAATAACGATATTCATCACCCCGCCAACTCGGACTATAAAATGTATCACTCACTTCAATTGTCAGCCGAGGCGTCATCTATCCGAATTCTGCTTTGTGGCCAACTGGTAAACGACAGTCCAGCCATTGTTTCTATTTAGTTACATGTGCGTAAGAAATGGAGCGCAATGTTTATCGGTCATCATCGGTGTTTTTTTTGTTTTTGTTTTTTACCTTACAGTGAGAGGACATTCATTATTTACCACAATTATAACATATTGTGAATGAAAGTTACCACAATTATAACATATTGTGAATGAAAGTTACCACAATTATAACATATTGTGAATGAAAGTTAATACAATTTTTGCTAGCCGCCTCAAGCCAAAAAAAATACCTTGGATTTTGTTTTTATTCAAAACATCTTCAGGTCATGAGATCCACTAATCCCCCACCCTGACAATGGGTGACCTGACACTGCATCAGAATGACAGTAATATGAGACTACTAATCCCCCACCCCACCTCCACCCGACATTGATCAGGTCAGGTCAGTAACGTGTGACCCATTCATCCTCTACCACAACTCCATTGCAACATTTTTGTTTTTAAAATTTCATAAAAGAATCGAATCCCCAACATTATTATCATGTTCTTGTGAAGTGAGCAGTGTAACTTTGAAAATGTCTGGCAAGCATTTTCCTCATCAAGGCCAGAATGAAGTCTATACCTCCTGTCCCCACTCTTCAGATTCCCCAAAGTCTGTGTGGGACACAGGTTGATGTCTCCACTCCAGACTTGTTCTTAATGATGTGGTGAGTTTTGTTTAATTGTTTTGTAGTGATACGGTGTAGTAGTACTGTAAGATTTTTTTTTCGGTGATACATGTGGGTGTCCAACTGGCCAGGAACCGTATCCCATTGAACCCAATGTTATAATGATCTTGATTTACGATATTTTGACCAGCGATGGTTCTTTCAAGAACCTAACCCCATCGTAAATAGAGATTTGCCTGTATTTTATTGTGTTTGGTTAAATATTAGAGGTTGGCAAAATTTATTTATTTTCCTCCATTTTTTTTAAATCTCTGGAAACGTTCAAAATATTTCCTATTAATGGGCTTCTTTTTCAGTACCGTATCTCAATATTCTTTTCATGTTTTTTTTTAATTCCATTAATGTGAATTTCCATAAGGTGGACTTGTATAACATGAATGACACCTGAATTAAAAATGGACTTACCTGGCATTGGCAGCATTCAGCTTTTGATTCAACCCAGCTACCTGAGTTTCTAACTCTGTCTTTTCCTCACTCAAAATTCTGATGCGTTCTTCTAGGGCAGATGCCCAACTAAGACGAGACTCAACACTGGAGAGGGCTTCAGTTTTTTTAATAAGTTCTGACTGTACTTGCTCCAATTCACTATTGGTATTTAACAACTGAAAGATAAAGATAAAAAATTAAATCAGATAAAGTCATTATTCTTTGTTTAGTCATTAACACATAATTAATTTGAACAAATGTCAACTTACTCATATAAGAAGAGAAAAAAAGAGACAGACAGACAGAAAGAAGCTGTAATCACTACTCTTGGCAGAAGCAGTACTAAATGGTTATCCTAAATCCTAATAGAGCACTATCTTTCCTGGGTGATGATGTATATACGATACATTGGACACGTCACCATGTGAGAAGTCGGTCAACATGGGACCAGCATCCAGTAAACACAATTTAATGTGTACCCTTTACTATCAGGTGTCCTATTATCATAACGTGGTTTTGCCTGTAAGCTGTTTCATCATTAAATGACTAAACTTCACAAGTGTTTCGTGGAGACCCCAACATAATACTGGGGTCATCCATCTGATACCCTAGGCATACCAGTAGACTACAATGAAGAAAATATCATACCAGCATCGTTTTGATAGTTGCGAGTTTTTGCGAAAAAGTAGAGTTCATAAATAGTTATTGTCTGATTGATTAAATAACCCAATACAGTACTGTACCTCGATTTTCATTATTCATATTTAAAGTCTGGACACCGTGTCTGGATTTCTGATAGTCCGGACCCTTTCCGGGAAAGAAACATTTGTCCAAATCCTTATACAGTATATATATTTTTTTTAATTCCTGCTGCGCACATTCATTTGAAATTGCCGCCAGCAAACAATTACCTTGGCCTCTTTCCTCCTCTTGGACCATAAATCAGAAGTTTATTCCCCACTCTTAGGATGGACTCCCCACCCCCATAATGCTGAACTGTGATTGGGTTAGCTATAAGTTCTACACATATTCAGCCAGACAAAAATGGTAAGATTTTAGGTAAAAATAATTCAAATAACAGTGACAGTAATGTGTGTGTGCATGTATAGAAGAAAATGAAAAAATTACTTTTATCTACCCAGAAATTACGAGTCGATGACTAACATATCTCACAGCTCAGCCTCACTTGCTCTGAGTGCTACTGGGTGGCGAGTTGGCGACTCCCCCACACAATTACGTGCCATCTCCATGGATATTATTCCTCATTTCTTTTCACTCAGCGATCTATTTTTCAGGAACACACCCATATCGCTAAACGACATATCCCTGTATAATCACTTTTTAAGTCTTTTAACACTTATGATAAGAGATGTGGTAGGGGATTAGTGGGTCTCATGCAACTGACCTGACCTGATGCAATGTCAGGCCCACCTATTGTATATAAACTCTTCTCTCATTTGCGGTGATGGGGTGAAGGAATTACCGTATTTTACGGCCATATAAGATGCACCCACCATTTTGGCTGTAAGTATATAGGAAAAAACTTGTGTGTATTTTCCTCCCATGGCCATAGTTTTTTTAAAATAATATATACAGTACAAGTAACGAGGAATAAATAAAAATAATGCCAATAAATAAATTTTTAAAAAAATACTGTACAGTAAGTCCTTTATATATGCAAAGACCCTATTCCTACCAGGAATTCAATTAATAAGAGCAAAATTCAGCCTTATGTGAGATGTCATACCCCTTGATATGGATTCCAACCCTGATGACTGCAAATGTCACTCCAACACCATCAACACCCACTATGTAAAACCTCTACCACCACCTCCATCATCTTGTCTACCCAAGTTGATGGATCAGCTTTTATTGTTAAGTACACCCACTAAAGAATTATTCCGCATCAGTGTCATATTGTATCACGCCGTAAGGGTGCCAAATAATTTTTTCGTGGGTGTACATTGTACTGCACACTTGCTTGATCTATTATTTTAAATATAATATTGTATTGATTTGTTTTATGGTTTATTTGTCTTGAAAATGGATCTGGAACATTTTAATTTTTGGTTATGGCACGCATCCTATTTTTTTCACATTTTACAAAGTACTGTATTTGATATATACGATTTCAGTTTATGCGAGGGTTTTCAAGAACGCATCCCCCGCATATATCGAGGACTTAATGTAATGCCAATTGCGAATTATTGTAGATTAGGAGATCGTAAATAGAGGTTTGCCTGTAAATGGAAATTTTGACTTCTTTGTTTTTTTTCTGCCCTTCAATTCCTGTTTCAACAAATTTCGTTAAAAAAATTCTGTTGCTTATTGGCTTTCAAATCATAAACAGGGGCTGTTCCAATTCCCTATTCACACATGAATTTGTTTTCATTCTCACTTACATCCAGTCACCCTAATATTTATTTTTTTAGTTTACTGTTACTGTATTTTAAATCTCTTCGTGATGTGAGAGATGACAAGAAATCCATAGACAATTTTCTGGATGCCTTCGATAACACAGGGGTCCAGTGCAGCGGAGTAGGGCAACAAAGTGCTAACACCAAGTTGATTTAAACAGAATGGATAATTGGTGCCAGCTTAAGGGGAGTTTAGTAAATTCCAAATTTTGGAAACAGATATTTAATGAGAAAAGCAACCTGATAATCTCTGGTGATGTATGGTGACGTATAGTGCCACTTAATGATGTCACTAACAGATTGATTTAAAATGACCCAAAACAATGTTTCTCATTGCTCCAAGCCAATTAGAAGAGCAAAATATCTGTTGAGAAGTACGTGGCACAGCTTGGTTTATACTGTGGTAGAATGCATTTCGGGGCATGGTGTACAGGTACAGTCGGCCAAATATATTTGCAGAGACCCAACAAGTATTGAGTAGGGTAACCGATCTGGTAATAATGTAAAAACAAGGGGAGATGAGGAGTGATAGGAGAGGGTATAGAAGTCCTCGTTTGAGTGACAAGTACGGATATATCATGTGTTTGGAAGCAAGGATTTTACACCATTACCTACCGGTAACCTATATTTGTTGGGTCTGTACAAAGTTATTTGGCCAACTGTGCCATTGGATACTCAGTGAAAAAGAGGTTAAGGAATGTGTATATCTGAATAAATATTGATTTTTAAGCCAAATCCTTAGTCTCATACATACATTAATTTTTTCTCTTCCTTTACTGCATATTCTCAATCTGGCTATAGATTAAGGAAAATTTTAAAGCATACTATACTGACCATGTGTTTGATCTTGGCCATCTCCTGGGCATTAAGTCCTTCCATTTGGTCATAGTTCTCTTGCATATCACATATTCTTGCCTCAAGCCCTGAAAAGTAGCAACAATTACTTATTAACAAAAATATAAATTTGAAACACTATAGTATCCAAATACATCATGTAATACAATGCCTGCCTTACTACAAATATACATAGTTTCTTATCTATCACAGAAGCTTTTAATAATACAGAATTATAACTCTTGTAAAGTTGGCATAATAAATCATAATAATATATAGTTTTGCAATAACTTAACAAGGATTAAAAAATTTGGGAGAGTCGTCAAGTTATCATGATCAAATTTTACTAAAGCAAGCTCTAGTAATACAGTATGGCAATGATAAAAGGTATCTCAGTATCATGAATGGGTAAGACTATTAAGAAATAAAGAAATAACTTATACAATATTTTTATACCAATTTAAAGCAGGATATATGCCAATTTGTATAAATGAAGGACAACTGCACAGAATATTAGCACATGGAGTAGAGATAAATATTTATAAAAGTAACAAGGGGACACAGAAAAACACTATTACAGAAAAGCTTCAACAAAAAGTTAGCCACTGTTTTACCTAACCTACAGTTAACACACTCATTAACATTAGCTTGAGATATGGTACAGTCTCGTTCAAGATTCTTCGAACACTGCTGGAGACAGCTGGCAACTCAAGGCCGTTTGCTTACTATAGTACGTAGTAAAAACTATGAATGAATGCAAAAGGTTATCGGTGATTGGTTACTTAGTTCCCTGTTGCTTAATTAATGGTTGGGCTTTAAATTTTCGTATTATATTATACTACGTACTACCTGTATAGTAAACAAACGGCCTTGAGTTGCCAGCTGTGTCCAGCAGTGTTCGAAGAATCTTGAATGAGACTGTACATGTACTACAGTACAAAGAAAATTATTCAAACTAATTCCTCCACCTTCAAAAACCATGTTATAAATTAGCATCTTACTTCACATCAATATCTCATCATTTAAAAAAAAAATGTCGAGTGTAAGTCAAATTATATATAAGAAAATTACTGATATAAAGCAGAAGTATATGTAATAAATATAGTACAGGTACCTGTACAGTAAATTGTTCAAGATGCAAAAATACAGCAATCCAATAATTAATCAGACAAAAGCTTGTACCAATCATTAACCTTACTCTATCCCTCTACATGGAGTGATGCAAGCATACTGAACCTCATAAAGGATATTAGATAAAAAAATTAAAAAATTAATAAAACTAAATATGTATGACATCCATTTGAGAACAGATGGTGCTACAGCTTCCACCAACAAAAGTTCTACTGTACCACTATATCATTGGGATAAAGCCTGGCATCAGCACAAGCCACAAAACTGATCAGATTATTCTCATCAATACCTCTAATCTCACCATTCCTACCTTTTACCTGCATCATTTCTTCTAAATGAATGTAAAGTACTGTAACTAGAAAATGTTTGTAAAATAAATCTTCCTGCCTTGGCAAAACTGGATGGATGGTTGGCTGGGACAGGCCTTATGATGGTGGTCACTGTACTGTATTAAAAATGTTCAGTTTTCATAACACAGAGTACTGTACTGTATTTCATGATATGGAGTACATTGTACTCATCAGAATAAGAGCTGTTTCTTTTTCCTTTCCATCATAAAACAAGAAGAAAGAAAAGTAAAGTTAATAGACAGAAATAAGTATATTATCTTTGTTGGATTTCAGAAGGATAGAAAGCACATGTGGCGAAGGTAACAGATAAACCCTCCACCTGAAGACAGCACTGCAGCAAAAATCATATTAGGGTTACAGAAAAGTAGACTGTAGAACTCTTAAAGGTGATTCAGAGGAAAAAATCTGTGAGGCATTTAAAGGTAGTTTCAGCATAATCACCTCATAAATGTCATTACCAGAATAAGTGAAAAATATTAGCATAAGCAAAGCAAAACAACTACTATCATCTAATCCAACCTTCACCAGATTTCCATGGTAGATAAAGTCATCCATCACATGTATAGATGAATGATGCTATCTATTATGTGCAAAATCTGCCTTACTTCACCACCACAGGAAATTTGGGCCAGTTATGATAAGGCATCTATATCTATATTAAAGATGAACGTGTGCAACTTACCCTTCACTCTTGCTGAAAATAACAAGAAGGGCTATCAATATCAAATGAGGAAAATGATCAACAGTGCTACTAACACTCCCCCAATCTGTCACCCCATGACTGAGAAATTCATTTCAAGTTGGACTGTCATAAGAATTTTAAATATATACTACTAAAGGAAATGGTACAGAAATAATTATCTCAGCCATGTGCATGCCAAGAGTAATTCACAACAATTCCAAGTACAATACAGTAAACCTTCGATAACTCGGCAATTGATAACTCGGAATCTCATATAACTTGGCATGGATATGGTCTCGGAATGTATTATAGCATAACTCGGGAAAGGCCGAGATATGTATAAAATTATCTGGGAAAATCTCAGCAAATCTTGCTGCCTGCGTCACCTACCATGTCTCTGTGTCACCTCCCATACCTATGTGTCACTTACCATGCATCTGTGTCACCTACCATACCTATTTGTCACTTATCATGCATCTGTGTCACCTTTCTATGATACTTCATTCTTTGCCTGCAGTACTGGTAAGTGTTACTTTTTTACATTTAGTAATTACATGCGCACATATATGGGTAGATAATTTTTCATTGTTGTATTTCTGTGGGAGGGGTCTAAGTTTGCTGTCTGTCTAGATTAACTAGTTTAAGTACATGTATTTTCAAAATTAATCAGCTATTTTAGACTTCTAGATTAATTCCAGTCACAGTTGTACACTGTGGACTGTACAACCAAGATATGCATAAACTATAAATACAAACACTAATTAAATAATCAATTTAAGGCTAATGTATTGTAAAGAATTTCATGCACATTACACACAATACTATGCATGTCAGACATGTTTTCTTACTTAGCGGCCATATAACACACAACTTTTCCACTCACCCATTTCTTCAAACACTTACTGTACATATTTCACAAGCAACAATAAATGTACAAGGCAGATAATATGAAGCAATGGAAAATATTGAGAATAATAATTGTTAAATAATACTGCAATACAGGTACAAGCTTAAAAGATATGTATCAAGCCAAATAGGGATGCTGTATGAAGCCCCTTTTATGTTAATTTATACATCAACCTAATATCTTCATTGCCTAATCCCTACCCCTGACCACCTAGAGTTAAGGAAAGCTCATATGTAGTATCTTTCCCATTCATTTATTTAGTAATTATCTTCATACTTCAAGTGTTATGGGTTCTCAGGCAACACCCAAAATATAGGGTAAGTTGAAGATGTCTACACATGTTTTATTTGTTCTGACAATCATTTCATTGTACTTTGAGACATGAACATGGAAAGGGTGAGACTTGAATCCGTAAATGTAACCAAACAGAAATTTTAAAATAACAAAGGATGTCTTGCAAGGACAACGTGGACTTCACCAGCATTGTTGACCGCTAAAGGTTCCTGCTAGTATCAGTAAGGCTAAAATAAAGAATCATCAAGAAGAAAGGATGCTACAGTACTTATTCTATTAAAATAGCATTTTCCAGGATAAGCACAGCAAATGAGTCTACTACTTAAATATGTTCACTAAATGTAATGTTAACATCGCATTCTCTTTTTCACTGAAAAGGCTTTTTCTTTGGGTAATATTGTTACTGTACAGTACAGGTATATACTTTGATGATTTGCTTATTACTGTCCATTTCTATCCATAAGAAGTTCAATATAAATGACACAATTAAATTCTTTCCTCATTATTCCAACTAAAAGTAATATTGAAACTCTGATGTGTTAAAAGGCACTACAGCCATGAATGCTTAAAACACCCACTAAATTGTTTTGTCAAAAGTTGTGTTATGATTAAAGTGAATTAACTACACTGACTTGCATTACAAAATCAAGTATGTATGCGTTAAATAAAATTATCCCCAAGTTTACCTTGTGCTTGTTTCAGCTGGTCTGTAGTTTGTTTCTTGCCAATACTAGAATCTTCCACTTTCTCCTGGAGTTTTTTCTCCCTCTCCCCAGCTGCTTCTAGGTCTGCTGCCATCACACTTATCTGGTTGTACAAACTTTGGCTTTGAGTAGTGTAACTCTTAGATACTGTATTAATTATGTAAAAAATATTGTAAAATGAAACATAGCAAACAACAGCTCTGAGGATTTTTTTTTTTCAAGTGTCATTCTAAGCAAAGTATTTTTTGTTCCTCACAGATTAGCCAAGCCAAATACAAATCAATAGAAAATTTAAATTAATACAGAAATCAAGCAAGTTTAAAGCATGACACCTGGTGTAATAACTACATGTAGCATGAATGCTTAGTGAAAGGAAACTTATAGAACTTAAACAACCATGTTAATAAACACACAGGGGGTTATGAAGGTGTGCATGGTGGAAAAGGCTATGGTACAAGGTACTGTATATGCAAGGAGAAAGAGTACAGTACTTGAGTTTGGGGATGCACCAAATATGGTTGTATGCAACACATTTAAGAAAAGGGCAAATAGGCTGATCATGTATGAGCTAGGATGCACAAAAACCCAGATTGCCAACATACTTGTCATAACATCAAATAAGATGCTTGTTAGGGATGTAAAAGTTATAGCAGAAGAAGAATGTGCCTTGCAGCACTGATTGCTTCTGTCTGACACAGTGTTTAAAAAGTGCAGAGAAAGGAAGAAGGTGTATGCTCCATGAAGGAGTGTGTGGATATAAAAGGTACAGCATGTAATTGAAGCAATTCATGCTGAATTGAGAAGAGTGGAATCAGTAAGCAACAGTGTGAGGGCTAATGTATAGAGATACTGAGCCAAATTAAAGGATGTTCTCTTATGTCCATCAAACAAGATGTGTGACTAGATGAAGGGCCCTATCATTATGTCTGTGTTACATTGCCATTATGGGTCAAAGTGTGTGTTAAGAGCAAAGATAGGGCCTGACCGTAAGAGACAGAAAAAGTATAGCATTAGAGTAAAAAGTTTTAAAAAGCCGAGTGTGATGAGAATGTAGCTCACATCTTCCACATGGTGGGTTTGTCTCTTACCACTGTTCATTCCATGATTAAGGTGCAGTGCAAAATTGAACACAGAACTAAGTTGGCTTCAAAACTTTCAGCAATGACAACAACAAGGCAGAGGATTAAGTGATGTTCAGTCTACATTAAACTATATAATGTAAAGGTTCTGACTTTATTCTTTTTTTACTTTTATTTATCATTTCGTTTGTTATTCTCAGGATGTCATTGGGTACAGTGGTAACAAATTGGAACATAATGCTCCAATTAATACATTATTTCTTATGGTATAAAATTCACCCTAAATGGTTGTAGGCAGCTACCAAACAGGGAGGTACTACCGCCTGGTAAGATATTGGAAGCATAATGTGTTGTCTAATGGTAGACCCTGCTGCCATATGGCATCACAAAAATTTTGACCAAGTCCCAGGTTGCTCATCTGACTTTCTGCCTCATTTACACACAATTGCAGGGTCTCAATTGTTTCTCTTACTATTGACAACACAACATACATACAGAATATTGTTTCTCACTTTTGATCTTTTTTTTTAATTTTTGTATTTCTTTATGGTTCTTTATTATTATTATTATTATTATTATTATTATTATTATTACAGTATTTTATTTTCAATTTTGTTTTTATTTTATTATAAATTTCATTTACTATGAATTATTATTATTATTATTATTATTATTATTATTATTATTATTTTTATTTATTATTATTATTATTATTATTATTATTACATGTTTGCCCCACAGGTCCCGGTGTGGGTCAGTACTCTGTGCCTGGGTGGGCTAATCCCTGTAAAAAAAAAAAAAAAAAAAAATTTGAGTGAAGTTAGCGACAAATAAGAACACAAACCCCATTATTCCATTCATTCTTATGGAGAAAAATTCCCCACTATTAGCCATTTCACTAGTCGTCCCTATTTTTAGAAGGTAACCCAATGAATAATGGGGACTGACAGTATATGAGACAGAAAGTCAACTTCCCCCTCCAGCTATAGGTGTTTGGAAACGCACTGCAGGCAGGAGTATAAGGTCAGTATTGTCTCACATGTCCATGTCTGTATTCAGCTATCCATCAGTAAAGGGGTGAAATAGCCCATTTCACTAATATCATGGAGATAACCCCCAAAATTGGTAAATTACTTTGTCACGTTCTTCCTGCAACTTCCCTCTCCATTCCTGCTCTCGTGTATTCAATCGTTCAAGTGCAGCATCTTGCTGTGTTTCCAGAGCAGTTCGTAATTTTGCAATTTCACGTTCCAACTCTTGCACCTGAAATAATTTAATTATCAGCACTACGGTATACATCAAATTATAACTATTGTACAAATTATGATTACAGTCTTTCCAAAATATTAAATGAAATACTGTAAAAAAAAAATACTGTACAGTGTAACAGTGACATCTCCGTTAGCCGGAACAAGAACTGCAGAGCACTTCCGGGAATGAGAGATTTCTGGGTAACGAGATGACTCTCTCAAAGACGGAAAAAATCCCTCATCCCCAGAATTTTCAGGGTAATGGAAAAATTTTCTCGGAAGTTCCAAAAATTGCCCATTACATCATCTCTCGAACCTGGAAAAATATCCCCCATCCCCGGAAAATTTTTCCCAGAATTTCCGTAAATGCGCATGATTTTCATCTCTCAAACCCAGAAATTTCCAGGTACTGGGAATTTTTTCTCAGAATTTTCCAGAAAATGTGCCCCTTGGAAAATCATTCCTAAAGCCGGAATTTTCCAGAAAGTTAAGGCTTTGGGAACGATTTTCCAAGAAAATTTCAATTTCAGCTAACGGAGACTTCTGGTTGAGGGATTCTGGCTAACGGAGATATTACTGGTATACTGTATACAGTAACTTCTCCTATGGTCTGGATAGTTGTGAACCAGCTTGGTTTTACAAATCTCTGAGGATGTGGTTATGTTACTAGTACATACCCGATCATGACTATTTGTGGGCAATTCTTGATCTGTTGGGGACTGAGGAGGTGATATAGGTAGTCCAACTGCTTGGAGCGATGCAGTGGAGGCTTGACGTGAGTGACGAGATCTAGGAGTTAGACTACCAGGGGTGTGCTGTGAGGAACGTTGCCGAGAACCACTCACAGATGCCAAGGCTTGTGGAGAGCTTAATTTTTTCAGGTCTGTCACATCACCAATTTTACTTTTCAAATTCACAAACATCTTGCCAGCCTTTGATCTGTAAAATTAAATTTTAAGATTATTGCTTCATCTACCAGTAAATGAAGCCAAACACAATGAATCTACACATGTGTAGCATAAATATAAAAAGATTTTTGTATTAGAAACATCTTATTTATTACAACCAGCAATTTCACATAATTTTTGTATAGAAGATAACTTCTTTATTACCCCAAAAATATACCCCAAAAATTATAAGGATTTTCAATTTTCATATACACTGTAGTTACCATATTTGCATTAGCATAACAATTTTGTCCTGAGTAGTATTTCATACTGTACACACAAACAATAACTTACCAACTAGTGCTACATTATACTGTACAGTACTATAGCTATAAGATTTATTTGAGACAAGATAGATCACCCTAACCTACCTATCCAAGATTAGGTTAGGAAGATTAGGTTAAATTTAGAATGTTAAGATAGTTAGGTTCGGTTGGTTTATCTTATCTCCAACATATTATGTAACGGGCTAATGGGTAATATGTGATGAAAGTGGTCCTGTTTAAGCAGCAAATTGACAACATTTTGCCATATAGTACTGTCTTACCTCAAGAAATGTAAAAAAAAATGCACGAGGAATGCATTTTGAGGGACAACAGTTTTGACATGTTTAGTAGATAAATTTCTTCATCTAATGAACAGTAAATTAAGAGATTGTAGTAATGGGAAAGTAAACACGGAGGTCAGATGTGGTAGCTCTGCAGATGGAAAAATATGAAAAATTTTAAAAGTGAAATGAAGCAAAATGCATTCTTCTTGCATGTTTATTTCTGTTTCTTGGGTAAAAGTTGAGGAGACAGCTCTCACCAGAAGGAATTATAGGATTGATTTTTTTTTCAGTGATGTTGTTTGGATGATAATAAAAATGATACAAAACTTTTCCCTTTATTTTAAAGTAGTACAGGGAGTCCCCGGGTTATGAACGGGTTCCATTCCTGAGGACGTTCTTAAGTCGGAACACATACCACTTCCTTATTCAAGTCGCTTCACTCTATCCTCCTGTATCTCTTAAGGTAAGGTTCTTACACACTAGGGGTTAGGTTAGGTTTTCAGGTTTTTGCATTTTTTTGACCGTCTACTTTTTTTTTAAATATTTCAACAACAGCTCATTTCTGACGGCAAGCACTGGTAATTTGTTTCAGGTCTCAAAGTCATGTCAATAATGAAGATCAAGTTGCCCATTGACATATCTTAGTGTTCAGAATAAAATAAATCACCATGATTATGTTACGAAGGTAAATGTTTACTTTAGAACACGAGTCCCTAGGGGATGACCAATATGTTTTTCCAGTGTATTTTAGTGTTTTTTAAACGAATCTGACCTTCATTTTTGGCGGAAATGGCAATTTATTTACCCCCCCCCCACCCCAACAATTATGGGGTAGTGCATGGGAAATCGGGGTTTTTGGGTGGGAGGGAAAACGAAAACGAGTTATCTGACCTAACAAAACCTAACCTAACCTAACCTAACCTAACCTAACAAAACCTATCCTAACTCCTAGCCGGGGGCTCTGCCCCCGGACCCCCAGTAGGCCTAGCTTAAACTAACCTAAATATTTCATTAGTTAAAAACTTTGGGGCGTGCCATGTCCGAAAGTACAATACCTTACTTAGAAGTGGAAGGACCAGCGATACATAAGAATTGGATAGAATAATCGTCTTTCTCGTAAAACTCGTGCAAAAAAATTAAATTGATCGATGGAACACAAACGACAGCCAACCTCCACCACGGCTATTGTAAAACTGGTCAATGAAATTAAAATCGTACCCAGGCTGCTTCCTTTGAAAAAAAATCAAATGTGATTGATCGAAAAAAATTTGAGTGATATCGATACCTCATTGGTCACGATTGGAAAACGTCAGTCAGCATTGTGCATGCACCGATAACATCGCCTCACAGAGACGAAGACTAAAAACTATTTAAAAATCAATTAAATTCAATTGTCGCTATTATCCATTTCCACCATTTATATATAGGATTCAAAATGCTCAGAATAGCGAGATCTAAATGCATCAGTAGTTTATAACTTTCGGGGGCGCTATGTCCGAGAGTAAAATAATACCGTTACTAAAACTGCAAATCCTCATCACATTTGGGGTCACTCTTGAGGTAAGGATGTTGTCTTCTATACAATTTTTCTGAAGTTGCTGGTTAACCTGCACCCTCATTCTACAGTATTACCAAAATATCAACTGGGTAAAATATCAACTGTCCGCCAGTGTATTATGCCAAATAAATCCTAAAAAAAAAAAAAATACTAGTAAGTATATCAAAATTCAACCTACTATAATGAGTAATCGCTTGTCCTTCACTGTCACTATAAATTCCTCCATTCCTGAAGTAGGTTTACTGGTGTCTCACATAAAAGGTCTATCACACAATATCCTTACATAATAAACGTTTGTGCTTTTAAATACATAAAATCCTTCAATTACCAGTGCCAAGGTAAGAAGTGCTCTCCAGGACATCAGCTGCTGGGTGCCATAGCCAGTCTTCCGACGTCAACAAGTGTTCGGAACCTCTCATGTTGGGCAAATAAATACATTTTGTTATGAAAAATCAATATAAACCAATTATATGTCAATTCAAATAAATTTTTAAGAAAAGATATATTTTTTACTTTTATTGAAGAGAAAATAATCTTTTTCATTTGTCACCAAATTAATATTAAAAATGAAGGTAAAGTCTTAATCAGTTATTACATACGAACACTAGCAACTTGCTATTGGGTGTTGGTTCAAGTATCTAAATTAACTTACTTTTATCCTCTTCACCACTGATCGGCTCGTTAGCAATCGGTCACGTCTCTGTTACGCGCTGTTGGCAATTACTGGGCATGCAAAATTAAGGGATCAACAATTACTCTAATGTCAAAATTATATAAAACAGAAAACTCCAGTGATGCAAAGTTTGCCTGTCAAAATATCTTAAAAGTAAATAAAAATACAATATATACATCAGCTAACTACGAAATAAAATTATAGCATAATAAATGCCCCCCCAAAGTTAAGGGGGATGACAAGCTACTTCATTATCAAAAGTTCCTCAAAACACACACACAAAAATAATTACAATAAAATAAATTTTCCTGATCCATGTAAAATAAGAGCACTGAGATTTAGGAAATGGAGGCAAAACAAACATACGATATACAGGTTGATAAAAAAAAATGAAAATATTTTAGATGACATAACAAGAAAGTCCGGTAATTCACGTGATTGAGTTACCAGTTTCTTGCGGAAGGTCACGATAACACAACTCCGAGTCTTTTGTGTGATTCTTTTTTTCCAGGGTTCATGCAAGGATTCCACTTTATGTGTGTAGTTCACATCTTCAAGTACTTACACCTGAAGATGTGAATTACACGAAAGCGCTTGGGAACTTTGTGTTTTCTTTTTATCTATTTGATTAGCAGCACACACACACAAGCACGCACGCACGCACACACACACACACACACGGAATTACTACACCACGTGAGGTCCCTCCTAACACCATCTGTGAGGGAGTTACTACACTACGTGTTTGCGGTTCAACACCTACATTAATCTGCATGTTCACTGTATGTTCCCTTACCTTTCTCTAATGAAGGCTTTTGTTAAACCACCAATGTATGTAATAAGTTATTTATGTCCAATGTATATTTTCAGCCTTTGAGGCTGCAGAACTTTTTCAATAAACCGTTAATTATTATTATTATTATTACACACACACACACACACACACATATATATATATATATATATATATATATATATATATATATATATATATATATATATATATATATATATATATATAATATAACAATAAAAAATTAGAAAATATTTCCTTTAAAAAATCATGAAACGAATTTATTAATTTTCAAGGCTGAGTTTAAAGGGCACATAAGATTATTGTTGCATTATGTTTTGGAGAATAGGAGTGAAAGGGTAGATTTATTTGGCATTCTTAATATTATGGACAACCAATGTAAAAATAGTGTTAATAATTATACGGAACTCGTGTGAGAATGATATTATAGTAACTCTCAATGAAGTCATTTATTTTTATATCTTATGAGTTGTTTCCTTCTTGGGTATATGAGTGTCACAATCTTTCATGTAGTCACATGTGGCACCTTCTCACGTCAAGAGTTATCGATCCATGGTTCCTTTCGTGAATAACCTCTCTGGTGTTCTCGTTATCTTCTGCCTCCCCCCATAACCAACCCTCCCTAGTCCTCCATATTGGGTAGAGCTGGCCGAACAGAAAGCAGGGCCAGTGTTGCTCGATATGTACCGATTAACGCTTGTGTTATTCCTAGCTGGTAAGTGCCGTAATATAAGGTCGTATATCTAGCTTATCTGATAAAGAAGCTTTTATTTATAATCATGTAGTAATAGTGAATACAATGAATAATAATGATACCTTGCAGACGGTACGTATACTCATATTAAAATATATTCACTCATCATCTGTTGCCATGGTCGCCCTGATAAAGCTTGGTTATGTTCCTCATGCACGAGTCGTCACTTACACGCCAGTCTGTGAACGTTCATGTTTGGTGTTTGAACAAAAATGAACCTATAATTAAGCGCCAGCACTGACATTACGGTTAAGTGACACAAGTAACGGCGAAAGTGTGTGCAGTATATATAGTAAATATTATTTAAGTGCATTTCCGCGTATCATGATTATCACAATAGGTCAATGGAACAGGTAGAGTACTAGTATTGGGAGTGGATAACATGGAAATCTATTGATATCAAGCTGTTAAGATTATCAAGCATTATATTATATACAGTATGCAAATATTACAACGAAAATCTATATTAAAAATAGTGGTTTCTATAACAAACAACTCTCGTGAAATACAGTGGAATAAGTACAGTATTAGTACAGTATTGCTGTGTCTTTATGTAATGTCTTCGCCGTCATAAAGAGGTAAGCTCTGCTCATATTTGTGTACTAAAGTTCCTTCAGATATTCCTTGGGTTATTTATACTCTCCTGATCTTTTTTTTTTCTCTCTCCGGACCAGGAGTGGTCCTTGGGGAGTATGACCCCACCTGGGACTCCCTGGACACCCGGCCACTGCCCCCCTGGTACGATGGTGCCAAGGTCGGCATCATGATCTGCTGGGGCCTCTACTCAGTACCATCTTTCGGCAGCGAGTGGTTCTGGAATTATTGGCAAAGTTGGTTATCTTATTTGTATGAATTGTTTCACTGTGAAATCAATTAATTAGAAAAACATCATTAACTTCTTTTTATGATTCATAACTACAAGAGCAATTTATTACTTATTGTCTAAACTGTCATCTTTAAAATCACCATAATTGGTGGAAACTCAACCGCGTGTATGTAACTCACTCAGGTGGTCACAATCCTCCTTACGTAGACTTCATGAACAAGAACTACCGGCCCAACTTCACCTACCAGGACTTCGCTCCTCAGTTCACAGCGGAGTTCTACGACCCTTTGGAGTGGGCGAGTCTTTTCAACGCCTCTGGGGCTCGCTACACAGTTTTCGTCACTAAGCATCACGAAGGATACACTATGTGGCCCTCAAAATACTCCTGGAACTGGAACACCATGGATGTAGGGCCTAAGAGAGACCTCGTGGGTAAGTAATGTCGGTATTCGGATGTGTAATATAAAAACATAAGTACACAATAAATATTTTCCTTATGCAGGAAGATGCCCACCAGGGCATAGGTCCATGACCCACATCAGGGCCTGGGGACGAAAATAATAATAATAATAATAATAATAATAATAATAATAATAATAATAATAATAATAGTAATAATAATAATATTTAATAAAAATTAATAAAAACTTATAAAAAGTATGAAATTAAAATATAATATATATATATATATATATATATATATATATATATATATATATATATATATATATATATATATATATATATGTGTGTGTGTGTGTGTGTGTGTGTGTGTGTGTGTGTGTGTGTGTGTTTGTGTGTTTGTGTGTGTGTATTTATCCTTTATTTGTTCGATTTCTGTATCCTATAAATTTTTTTAATGCCCTTTTAATGAATACAACTACTTTTTTTCCATGTCGTACTGATATTTTCATAAAAAAAATGCTTTGAAGTCAATCAGAAACACAAGAACTTTTACCAGCATGATATATATTTCCCACTAACATTAAAGATGGCAAATAGCTCAAGTCCCTTCTAATTATATTGTTTAAATCAAGGTGCTCATGTGTGAGCTTAATTACCTTAAATACCTCCCAACAGGTGACTTGGCCAAGGCCATGAGATCCACCACCCCCAACGTTCACTTTGGGGTCTACCATTCTCTGTATGAGTGGTACAATCCCCTGTATTTACAAGACAAAAGTAACAAATTTATGACTAACGACTTCGTTACCAGAAAGACCATACCCGAACTGCACGAGCTGGTGAGTCTACTTGTCGTTACGTGTCAGTAATATTCAGCTCTTGTGAATGGTACTGTCTGAATTGTGAGGCTTGTCAAAATGTAAAGATACTGAAGCCGAAGCATGTGAAACATTAAAATGAGACTGTTAAGCTCCTTAACACCCCCGTAAGTCTTCTGGTTGAGATGTGTTAACATTGGGAGGGAGTCTCCTCCTGCTTGAGAGTTCTAGGAGCTACCCATGAAAAATTGTTCCTTGCTCAGAATGTACTCACTTCTTTGTTCTTTTTGAGGCACTTCACTTACTCCGATGGTGTCCCAATTCATTCCACCAAGTAGTTCTTGTTCGTATCGTTTCTCCTCACCTAAAGGGAAATTTTTAAGTAGAAAAGGTGAGTGTCTGGTGAACGTATTATCTATCTTTAGGTGAATAACTACCAGCCGGAAGTGATATGGTCAGACGGTGACTGGGAGGCGCCGGACTGGTACTGGAACTCCACTCTGTTCCTGGCGTGGCTCTTCAACGACTCCCCAGTCAAGGACACCGTCGTGGTCAACGGCAGGTGGGGCATCGGAATCCCCTGTCATCACGGCTCTTTTTACAACTGCAAAGATCGTTATAATCCAGGTGAATATGGAAACTGAAATTATGGGAACACCCCACAGTAACATGACGTAATGTAAGAAACCATCGTTGAGAGTAATGGATATACAGTGGTAATGGTAATAATGATAGGAATAACCTTACTTTTAACTGTATTGTCATACAGGTGTGTTACAGCCACACAAGTGGGAGAATGCTATGACGCTAGACAAACTCTCGTGGGGTTACCGCCGGCATGCTCCAGCCACCGACTACCTCACCATCCATGATCTTCTCACCCAGCTGGCGCAGACCATCAGTTGTGGAGGTAATCATCTTCGTGGCCAAAGAGGAGAAACAAGAGAACTGTATCGCTTGGTGTGTCAGTTAAGATAAGAACTTAGGAACTTGAGTTACTGAACAGTCACGTTGATCGGGGGTGATGAGTCAAGTGGATAGTGGTATAACTGTTTTTACTATAAAGGAATTAATTTCATACAAAGAACAAATACAACATAAATAGCTTAATTAATCACTAGAAAATGTTTTGCTTGTTGTCTTCGTTTATACTGATTTTTATCTATCCTGGAGGCAACTTGCTGGTGAACGTGGGGCCGACCCACGATGGTCGCATCCCACCCATCATGGAGGAGCGACTGCGGCAGCTGGGCTCCTGGCTCAACATCAACGGTGACGCCGTGTACGACTCAACACCCTGGACACACCAAAACGACAGTGTCACCCCTGGAGTGTGGTGAGTCATGGTGTGACACCACAACGACAGTGTCACTCCTGGAGTGTTACGAGTCATGGTATGTGACACACCACAACGACAGTGTTACTCCTGGAGTGTTACGAGTCATGGTATGTGGCACCACAACGACAGTGTCACTTCTGGAGTGTTACGAGTCATGGTATGTGACACACCAAAAGTCAATAATTGTCACTAAAGTTGGTCACAAGATAATTACTCTCACTTACTTTTAAGTTTGTTACCAAAGTTAATCGGGATCTTTTTATTTTCAATTTATTTATTAAAAAATAATTAATAAATAAGTGACTATGTACTTGCAGGTACACCAGTAGAGCGGGTGTGGTGTATGGCTTAGTGTTAACCTGGCCTAAAGAAAACATAGTGAGTCTGGGGTCGGTGGTCAGTACACCAGAGAGCAGGATCACCATGCTGGGCTACCACAGCGACTACAACAGTTACCTTGAGGTGCACTTCTGTTGTCTTCTGTAATCTTATCATAGTCCAGTTCCTACCCCACAGCTGCCACTAAAATAGGATTTTCTATTTAGGGTTTCAAGAATAAACTGTTAATGATATTTGAAATGAATAGATATACATGTCACTCGAAATAGGGATAACTTGAATTTTTTTTGGTATAAATTCATGGGAATTAATTCGTATGTCGTAATTTTTTTTTATTTAATTTAATATGTCATTTTCTATCACGTCGTAACCAAACGAAACTTAAATTAAAGCAATTTAGGCTAGGTTAAATTGGTTAGCTGACAGGTTGATTTGGTTAAGTTGTTTAAGTTAGAAATTAAGTTATATATTTTATAGTTTGTTTTATTACTGTCTTCATGATGACTTAATCCGCAGTGTCTTAAACCGGGTTTATATTTACTATATTTCTCATCTTCTCCATAGTTTACAACGTTAGAAAAAGGTACTGAGGTGAAGTTCCCGCCTATGTCGGAGGTGGGAAGCCAGTGGGTGTGGGTGCTGGCCATGACCCACGTCAACCCCTCTAGCCTCCCTGGCACACCTTCCCCGCAGGTGTAATATGGAAGCAACATTTGGAGATGCTCCTATAACTCGTAATATCAACACTATTAGAGATAAAAATTATTCATCTAGCGTGTAAATTTTTTGTAATATTTAAAATAAAGAAGCAATGCAAATGAAATCTCTTTATGTCAGTTCGTATTTTATTTTTCCACTTATTTTCCTTCTTATCTCCCTGAATTGACTATGTATTTCAGTGATTTATTACCCGCTCGCTGATCTAGAATTCTAGATGACAAGAGAAAATTTGGGGATTTTCCGAGCTCTTCAGTCATGCCTCAATAAAATGTGGTGATGCCTCAAAATATGTGGTGAAACAAAAAATAATATATCCGATAATTCTCCATTATGATCCCCAAAGGGTGGCAGCCTCATTCAAAGATATGAGGCTAGAGCAGCGACGTACCAAATAAAGAATACCTGTATATTTTGTTGTTCACTACAATACATATATATATATATATATATATATATATATATATATATATATATATATATATATATATATATATATATATATATCCTGTATATTTAGAGGCAACTGAATTTCCAGGGTGACCTTAAATAACATCAGGTCAGGTCAATAACATAGAATCCTCTGATCCACACACCACCTCTACCGCACACGAAAGAAGAGCTTATAAAAATGGGCGACGTAACAAGTCGGGTCAAGGCAGGTCAAAAACATGTAACCCACTAGCCATCTACCCTACATCCATCTCAAATGCTTCCAAAGCATTTTTAACCTTGGGCCACTGACAAATAAATTTATGTAACATATCAGTTTTTCACTGACCATCACTAAAGTTTATAGAATTAATTTTCGAATCAAACTTGCTTCAACCAGAAGTTTTTCTGTTACACATGTTGATTTAAACAGTTCTATACTGTTTTCCCAATCTATGGTATGATTACTGTTCCTTATATGAACGAAAAGTGCACTGCTTTCAGATGCTGTTCTATTATTATACTTGTGTTGTTTTATTTTAAGTTGTAATACTTTCCCAGCCTGACCTGCATAATTTCCATTATAATTGCTACAATGCTACATGGACTACAGTAAACACTTCCAATTACATTCAAGGTTGGTCTGTTCTTAAAAACAACATTAATGTTTAGTACTTTGAGGGATTCAACTAAAGGTAGTCAATTTTATATATATATATATATATATATATATATATATATATATATATATATATATATATATATATATATATATTATTCTTAGCGATATAGTATTAAACGTTAATAACATAACGTTCCTAAATTATATATTATGGTAAAGCCAAGGTTCACATTTTTCTTGTCATTCTGGTTAACCACTTGTGTAAGGGTTCCCCTCTGAGCAGAATAAAAACGTCTGGCGTTAGCCAAATTTAAATGGTGTCCCCATAATCACGGAGTTAGCGGAGATAGTGTACTAATAGAACGTGTACAGAGTACATTATTTCAGTCTGGTAAATTAGGTACCCATGTTATGAATAAATTCATGTAATTTCTTTAAAAATCTGGTTTAGAGAGAAAGCAGAACTTCATTCTTTCTCACTTCACACAGAGGGAGGAATCCCGACAGGATGTGTGTGTGCTGGCTCCGCCCCTCAGTACAGGCAGGCATGTGTCGCCTCACACACCTACTCTTCCTCTTGGGTCAGTACCATGGTTTGTTGAATATATATTTACCATTTTAATAGTTACACAGCGTGCTGAGTTAAAGTATAAAGTTTCTAGTATATTCTCCGTATGGCACCAGTCATCTACCGTGGATGAAAAACCGAACTAACATTATATTTATGACCGAAAGCAGTGACTTATTTGTACCGGTATACATGTGGTGGTCTTCACCATAAGGGCAATTACAATGACATTTGATCACACCATTCATGATTCCCACCTTTGCTAAGTTCATTCTGTATTGATGTTACGTATGCAGAAAGACATCAGTATAATGTTATGTGACTTTATATAAGAGTTCCTGGCAGTTGACCTTGACTTTTTTTTTTAACAGATGGACGCGCGTAGATTAAATGTGAGAATGCTTGTTCACTATAAAAATGTGATAATAAGTGGAAAATTAGTCAGCTATTGCAAGTTTATTCTTCACTCTAAACAACAAAGAGGAAGTTTGAGCTTCGGTATCAAGCAAAAAATGGGTATTATTTCCCTTGTTGCCACTAAACGAATTTCGGTAATTTTATAGTTGCAATCAGTAATTTTGATAATTTTAAGACACTTTTATTCAATGGCATTTCTGGCGATAATTACGTGTAAACGAGACATTTAACATTTTATTATGCATGTTCGTACGTGGTTGTACACACACGTGACCCTACCAAACAATACAGGTTTCCCGGAGTCTGGTTTCCTCTTGTACGAGTATGGGGTACAGACTGTACCCAGTGTTAGTACAGTACTGTACCGTACAGTACTGTACCGTACAGTACTGTACTAACACTGTGTAGGCCCACCGCTAGTAGAATATATATATATATATATATATATATATATATATATATATATATATATATATATATATATATATATATATATATATATATATATATATATATGATTAATTATATTATAATGCATTACTGTGCTTCAATAACTTTGGTCTTTAAGTGCGTATTTTAGGTAAGTAAATGCACTAGTAATCAACAATTAAAAACAACCAGATTTCTATTTCTATTGATTTAAGCAGCTGCAAATGTGTTGGGGGAGGTTATGGTACCTTCCACACCTCACTCCCCTCTCTCCCCTCCAGGGTTACTTACTCCCTTATCTCTAAAATCCCAGACCTTCTATTGTGTATTACGTATAATATAGACATTGTGTGTAGCGTAGTCTGTGTATTCTTTAGTGTAAACGAGTGTGGGGTAAGCTACGGAGTGGTTACAGCCCAGAGGACAGGGACACTGGTAGTACTGTACAGTGGCGTACATACAGTCAGCAAGGGCGGATCCAGGGGGTTTCTGGGGGTCCGGACCCCATTTGCATCAGAAAACTGCAATACTTTTTCTTTAATGCTGTATTGTACTCAGGCATTTTTGTATAGTAAAAAGTAATTACTATTGACTTCAGAATATTGTACAGGTTGACAACCCCTTACCCCTAATATCAAATTGCGCATGGCTTCAAAATGGCCTCAAAATGTCCATAATATGGTCAGATTTCCCCCAAAAAATCTAGAGGGGGGGGGGGGCTTATAGCTTCCCTCCAAAACCCCCAGCTGGGTGGCCTCGCTGTGCTTGCCATGTTTACCCACGCACAACTTCTTGGAACCCCCTCCCCTTTTTTATATTACTGGATCCGCCCCTGTTAACAGTATATACTGTATATATTAACACTATAATTTTATTTTAATCGAATTTTCAGCCCACTGTTTTACTTAACGCTGAATATAAGATCAAATTAATTACATAAATAAAATTAATTTAATTATGTAATTCAGCGATATCAGGAAAGCTATTTAAAGAGATGACAGTAGACATTTATTTTTCACTAGTCATGTTTATATATCATAATAACAGTCATGTTTAAGTCTTATGGCGATAAAATCCACATCTACAGAACCGTTATGAATTAAAATTACAGTTGAGAGGAACTGGTCATCCAAAGTGTAAGTAGCGAGTGGTGTATCAGTGTGAACTGACTGCACCGTGATACAACGAGGGTGAGGGTGTGGGAGCCGGGGTCCTGTTTATCTGTCAAGTACACACCCACCCGTACCACCCATGACACAACACAACCTCCTGGCACTGTCAACGCCACCACTATCGCAGACTCGCGCTAACATGTATGAACAAATTATTAAATTCACCATTTGTTTGTAAGTAAGTTTAGATTCGCATTATGCAGCACAGTGACTCATCACCACACGTCGAGATACCAGTATGCTTACATAAATTTCACCACTGAAACAACCAGACATATTTCTTCATTCTTTGTTTATCCATCCTTGTTTATATACTTCCTTGCATCTCCTATTCACTTCCCTCTTATACATTCATTTCATTCTCAGTACATCATTTTTATCCAATGATAATATATTTTCCTTTACTTTGTTAATGTCCACTCTTATTACAGTTCAGAGTCTCTTATTCACAAACTTCTGTTCCTTCAGGAGTGGCCCTGGCAAAGTATGACCCAACCTGGAATTCCCTAGACACTCGCCCACTGCCACCCTGGTACGATGGTGCCAAGATCGGCATCTTCCTCCACTGGGGTGTCTTCTCTGTCCCCTCCTTTGGCTCTGAGTGGTTCTGGCAAAACTGGCAAGGTAACACTCAGGAAAACACTAGATTTCATATACTACCTCATTTGGGTTATTAATTATAGCCAAGGTTAATTTTTGTATCTTAACAAATGAAAAAATAGATTGGAATTAAATCTAAAATAACTTCCTCAGCTGTGTTGATATATTTGGGGAAATTCTCAAATCTAATAATGCTTCATTCACATAAATATGAATATTTAGTATTGCGAATAGGAATAAAATATTATTCCATAGATTTAATTAGAACTCACTTTATTCAACAATTTTCAGATTGATCCAGAAAAGTTCAAGTTTGTCAGACAGTAGCAATAAGAACGGATACTATTGTTGTGTGGATACTATGTCAAGTTTATACTTTGTTAGGTAGTCATGGTAAACAGTACGTGGAGTTCATGAAGGAAAACTACCGGCCCGGCTTCACCTACCAGGACTTCGCTCCTCAGTTCACGGCGGAGTTCTACGACCCCGAGGAATGGGCGAGTATTTTCAACGCCTCTGGGGCTCGCTACGTGGTCCTCACCAGCAAGCACCACGAAGGTTTCACCAACTGGCCCTCAAAATACTCCTGGAACTGGAACTCCATGGACGTCGGGCCAAAGAGAGATTTACTCGGTCAGTTGTTTATTGTCTTTTTTAATTTATAACAATGTTTACAAAGCATTTATAAATTATAACAGTTATCCGTATTCACTGAGGTATATATTGTAAGTAAAACGTGAAGAAATATAATTTCATCAGTTTCATGACAAGAATGATGTGTTATAAAATCTACCATTATATGAAATCCTTTTAAGCATTTTTCAAAAGACCATCAGGTTAGTAAGTTTGTGCTGAGGTAACGTATTTTTTTTTTTTTGCTACTAATACCCACTGAACTTCTTTCCTGCAGGTGATTTGGCTAAGGCCATCAGGTCTAAGACTCCAAAAATCCACTTCGGATTGTATCACTCCCTTTACGAGTGGTTTCATCCTCTCTACCTGCAGGACAAGACCAACGAGTTTCAGACCAGTAACTTCGTGAAGACAAAGACCATGCCCGAATTGTATGAACTGGTTAGTTAGATCATCAGCTGATTGTTTTATTTACATTGAAAGACTCTGTGAGCGTGTCCAACAAAGGCCAGGAGGAAAAAGTGACCAAAACAGCAATGATAGGAAAGAGCAATGAAGATGTAGTCCCCTTCACTACTGTGTTTACAGGGGCTCGTTAGGTTTTGTGCTGTGTGGCAGCCCTGTATTTGTTTACATTCGACAGAAGGAAACTCGCAATAGTAAACACACTATGGAATCAAAATAAGACAATATTAAAACAAATATCTCAATGTAATGATTTGTGGAATGTTTATATGATGAGCCCCTGTAAATGCACCAAGTTGTCATACAGGTTTCCATTTGGTTAAGCATGTTTATAAACTATGCAGTTATGCACTGCAGCATGAATATAGACGATACGGTGCACGTAGGCCGTAAGAATATTTTGCCTGTGTGCCGAGACAGTGCAGGTAAAACATAATGGTAAACAGTTAAGCAACTTATCTATAATAGCCGACAAAGCTGTCAGGTGCTTATTTCCATATTTTTCATAATTATGTGGGGCAAGTGTAAGGGAAAATTTTTCAGTTTGATGTTGGCTTCAGGTGAACGACTACCAGCCGGAAGTGGTGTGGTCAGACGGTGACTGGGAGACGGAGGACTGGTACTGGAATTCCACTGTTTTCCTGGCGTGGCTCTTCAACGACTCCCCAGTCAAGGATACCGTTGTGGTCAACGACAGATGGGGCAGGGGTATCCCTTGTCACCACGGCTCCTATTACACTTGTACTGATCGCTACAATCCAGGTACGTGAGATGAATGTACTGTTTCCTCGACTGTGCCACCTCTCCGGCCTCCAAGAGAGTGGTGTTATTTTATCCTTCTCGCCAGAACTCTTAAGTTTGGATTGTTTAGGTCTAGTGTATGACCTATTCTAGAATACATTGGAAGAACCTAGATGCTGAAGTATAGTAATACACAAGTGATCGTGGGCCCTTCGTGCCTGGTGAAAGTTTGAACGCTGGTGCTTGGCTAGCGTACAGCGAATGAGGGTGCGCCAAGTACATAGACTTGCATGATTAATTAGGGTGCGCCAAGTCCGTAGACTTGCATCGTTTTCCATCGTAAATAAAATGGTTAATTAATGCCTTCCTAAAGAAACCATCGACATGGGGCCAGGTTTGTTCCACTCTACGAAGTTTTTGCGATTTTTCCACTAAGTTTGATGAAAAACGATTGTGCCGTTTCGGCTGCCCAGAACAGACACACAAACAAACAGACAGACACACGGCTATCCCTATAGTATATTAGATTATGACAACAACATACCTGTAGATGCTTGGTGGCGTTCCCTGACTAACGGTGACGGCACACTGGGCGCTTTCCTCCAAACCTGTTGCCCGTTTTGCTGGCTGTTAGCCTAAACGCTCAGCAAGCAGCAGGATTTCTGCTGTTGCTAGAAATGGACAACGGTTTCCCTGGGATCTATGCTGGCCGGATTGGTGCTCAAGTGAGCATATAATTTTAAGTAAAAATAGAAATAAATCATGAAAAATAATAATTTAAAATATAACACGTAAATGGTGACATATTTTTATTTATTCATCACTTTAAAACTTCTTTAGTACTATTAAATCATTATTCAGGATCTTTGATCAGCCAGCCGCCGTCACTTTTAAAGAAACTTCACGACGAGTCCATTTTCTTTTCTATAGCTTTTGCAGACGCCTCACTTGCTTCAGCAATTGAAGAACTATAGCACAACCCTTCAAGGCCTCAACTGTACTAACGGGATCCTTGGTGAACCCAGTCTAGACGCTTTATTGTTGTTAGTTGTGTTGGGCAGAAGCGCCAACAAAACATCTCAGTGTGACGCAAAACGCCTCTTCGTTTGCCAAACATGTTCGGAGGAAAGTGCCCAGTGTGCCGCCGCCTTTACAAATACTGTTGCCGTGTTTTTAAGGGTCTCGGGTAGGTTGACTCTCCCTCTCTATACATTTCACCCTTTCCTTCTCATTTTGTATAATCATTTGGGTAAAATTTCATCCTTTTTACTTATTATGCTCTATTTCCTTGTGGGTTTCACCTCGTCGTCGAAATTTATTTAAATATTAGCCTCTATTCATTCTGATTCATTTTGGACCACCGATGTATTTACCGGAAACTTAGGCGAGTGCTTCACCATAGGTTACTAGTAAGTGGAACTCCGTGGCTGGATATTCTTCAGTCAATTTCTTTAACTGACGGGAAAAAGATATAGTAAATAAAATTATGTTAATGATAGGTGTTCTATAAACGCTAATAAGAAAAATTCGACTTTCCATGTGGGTAGGGGTGCTACAGCCACACAAGTGGGAGAACTGCATGACGTTGGACCGACACTCGTGGGGTTACCGCCGCAACTCACGAGTAGCTGACTACCTCACCCCTCTCGATCTCATCACAGAGATGGCCATGACTATCAGCTGTGGCGGTAAGCACAACAAAATCGCGTCACTTTTAGAAAATATAGAGTATGTTTATAATATTATTATGAATGAGAAGTCGATAAGATCTATGAAATGTTGATTCCCTTACAGGCAATATATTGATCAACGCTGGCCCAACCCACGACGGTCGCATCCCACCCATCATGGAGGAACGACTGCGGCAGCTGGGCTCCTGGCTCAACATCAATGGTGACGCCGTGTATGACTCAAGACCCTGGATACACCAGAACGACAGTGTCACACCTGGAGTGTGGTGAGTCATGGATTGTGACACACCACAATGACAGTGTCACTTGTTGGCAACTTTATCCAGAACTCAATTTTTTAGAGTAAAGACCCTTATGGTATGTGACATAATTTTGTAAATGCAATTAATTTCCTGGGATATTTGAGAGACCCACGACGAGATTTGAAACTAAGTCACGAGTTACACTTGTATTCTACTACCCCAACAGGTTCACTAGCAAAGGCGATGAGGTTTTCGCCATCGTTTTATCGTGGCCTAAGAACGACGTACTCAACTTGGGGTCGGTCGTCTCCACACCTACGACACACCTGTCCATCTTGGGTTACCACGAAAATAACATCAGACGAAATCTTCATGTGAGATGATTATGTGATTTATGAAATAGTTATCCAGACTCTTGTTATGCTACATACAGTGGATGTCTGAGTCCAAGACATGTTGATAATTGTCTTTAAGTAGAATTACGGGTAACTCCACTGTAGCTCTTACTGATGTAGCAAAGTAATTTTTCCGCATATTTTACAACCAAACAATATTTTTTCTTTATACATTATTCTCGAGCTTAGATCACAGTGTTGTTTACCCTGACGTAACCAGAGTTTTCAGTCTATTCGTACTGCTTACAACCCTCTTAATGTATGTAATGAACAGCAGTGCACAATAGACGATGCATCTTGTTAAAAAATTAATGTTTAGTTAAAATAATATTGAAATTTAAATAACTAAATCAAGCTATTGAATTTTTTAACCTTTTATGCTTCCAGAATATTTATAGAAATCGTCGTGGTTTATGGTCCTTTTTGTTTTCTATTTCAGTTTAAGTCAGCGATTAAGAGGATGCAGGTGGTGTTCCCGCCTATGTCAGACATAAACAGCCAGTGGGCGTGGGTGGTGGTCATGTCAGGAGTCAAGCCAGCTTCGAGGCCCTCACTGCCACCTAAAATCATGTCCTTCAACACACCGTAGCCGGCGTCATGATACCTCAGTCCCGGGTCATGCATGAATAACTTACTTGGCCATGTTACAAGTTATTGAACTGTTTGTCCCTTTTCATGTCTATAGTCATGCTGCATAACATATCCCGATCTTATAACGTATCGGTTCATATCCCAGGTAATGGCAGACTTGGTCTTGTTCCTGGTAAGTTTGGTCACCACGTCACAGCTGTTGTAGCTGCACACAAAGATCCTAACTTCGACATTAAAGTCATGTTGATACAAATTATACCTGTAACGCCAGTTCTTCAATTATAACAAGTGTTTCTGTTGCTTGTTAAGGTACAGGAGGGTGACGTGGTTTAGATTAATATTCATTCTTGTAGGCAGTGACTAAGCGTTCTTTTGACAACTGGTATATCAATTGACTCACTACATCATATCCTGTATATTGGACTATGTTTAAACTGCTTGTTGATGATACATTTACAATGTGTTTAAGAGATAATTCGACCGAGTATATGTGATCATTTATATGAATGTGAATTATCAATGAAATATGGTGTGAGTAATATTGAATTAGTAATTTACAATTGTCATTTGAATGAGTTTCAAGGTGTTGAAGTTTATCTGCAGATGAATATTAGCAATAAAGAGTTTAAGGAAACTCATTTTGTGATCATTATCCTGTTTGAAGATCTATACAGTATATAATTTTATTGATCAGTTTATCTCAAGATTAGGTTCGTTCTGCCGACATTTTATACATGAGAAGTTTTAAAATATAAGAAAATGTAGTCCGCATCTAACAACATTATTTACCTCTTCTGGAAGAACAAGCCGAGCCAGTAAAATTCAGTTCATTCACACTTATTAGGTTAAGAATTTTATTTATATTATATTTGGAAAACCTTTGTGGAAGACACTACAAGTATTAGTTTGCAGAATCTTACTTTTTGGGGCCAAATCATATAACAACATCATGTACATTGTACAGTACAGGATTTTCATAAGTGCTTTGACGTTTCTGTCACAGCGAACATGATGAAGAATAGTTATCTGCAGACAATGGTAGGATCCATAATGAAATTTTAGGTGCGTGTAACTTCTTCAAGGGATTCTGTAAACGCAAACATTAAGGGTCTTGTGCACACCCTGTGAAAAGTGAAAGTGGGTCCCATAGGCATGACTGCTCGTAAGGAGCAGAGTGGATATAGCACACTATATACTACTGTAAGCCTTCAGTACACAAGGAGGCAGCGTGGCCGATATTCACTTCCCCAAGTTGTAAACTTAGGTACCCATTTACAGCACATCCTCCAACAATGATTAAAAAAAAGCGAGCTATTCCAACACAAGGAGGACTGATGTTAATTTCATGCATTAAAAGACCAGAGTAAAAAGATTCTCGACTGAACATATCAATAAAATCCAGCTTTGTCTTACTCTACCAGAAAGAACCAATCCTATATTATCAGAGCGTTTCGACACCCTTCTAGGATAAGTTGAATCCCCTACAATAACGAGTCGAGCCCAGTTCTAGGCACTGTCGACTCTCGACTGCTCAGCCGGGTCGACGCTTGACATAGCAAGGACCCACACCCACTGACTGGACACCTCGGACATGGGCGGGAAGGTGACGGCCATCCCGGACGTCTTCGATGGGCGGAACTGCGGAAAAGACGATTGTCGTAAATTTGTTCGTTTCATGTGATTAATACTGGAACAACAGCACAGAAACAGACACAACCACAGGTATATATACCCTCTATACAGGACCTGGTACAACACACACAGCAGTGACCTACTTTAAACGAAAAAATAAAAATTGCCTAAATATTTTTTTTTTAGTTTGAAAAATAAAGAAAGCAAAAAGGAAATATTTCTCATTGTCTTTAGTAAATGTGAAATGTAATACTTGGGACGAATACTTAATGGCATGCAACAATGTTTCTAATTTCACGAAGACGAATTAGTTGTAAGAATAGTACTGTACTTTTAGTCATGATAATTAGCTTATGTTAATAATAATAAAAATTAAAATATTTCTTATATTCTATCACTGTATTGTCACTGGTAAAGTGATTTTGACAGAACTTACTTTGTTTACTAAAAATTCCTTGAAATGTAGAATAACCATCAAACATCTGAACCATCAGCTAATACCTATGCTCAAATATATATATATATATATATATATATATATATATATATATATATATATATATATATATATATATATATATATATATATATATATAAAGTTTAAAATGTCAAATTTGATGTATCTTTTTAAGCTCTCGTTGAGTTGATTTAGTTTGTAAGCGACGCCCGCCAAGCGTCTTCTCTACCCAAGGCATAACCTTATAGGTATGTGACAGCTCTTTATTTTGGCTCTGAAATTCTCTTACCCATTGTCATTCAATAAACATGTTCTAAACATAATAAAACGTGTAAGGAATCAGATGTGAACTATAAAGTTACCATGTGTGTGATGTTCACAGATAGAGAGTGAGAGAAAAATACGCTGTATGGTGTTATGCCAGACGCACGACATGTATTATGCTGTGATGTGAACTAACACATAATGGGTGTAGGAATTAGTATAAATGACTGAGTTTATGTTAAAAGTGAAATTATTTAATTTTAAAATTTAGTGAGTTCCCCATAAAAGTATTGTACGTCAATCTCGATATTGTTTAGCGTCTCATTATCCCGGTATGAACAGTACAATTAACAAGCCGTCCACATGATGGACGTAATGGTCGCAGCAATCCTCAGATGTTGACCTTTATAAATTTTATAAAAAAAAACTCGAATTTGCTTACCCACGAGGTCTTTCTTTGGCCCGACGTCCATGGAGTTCCAGTTCCAGGAGTATTTTGAGGGCCAGTTGGTGAAACCTTCGTGGTGCTTGCTGGTGAGGACCACGTAGCGAGCCCCAGAGGCGTTGAAAATACTCGCCCATTCCTCGGGGTCGTAGAACTCCGCCGTGAACTGAGGAGCGAAGTCCTGGTAGGTGAAGCCGGGCCGGTAGTTCTTGTCCATGAACGCAACGTGACTAGATGAATGAGCGCCTTAACAAAAAAAGAGATAACTTTAGTAGGTGATCCCATATGGATAAATGATTAAACAGAACTGATCATTTACCTGAAAAAGACAACATAAAATATAAATTTTAAAAGTGCTGGGTCCAATTTCCCATCCTCATTCACTCTATTTCTCCTGCAAATACTGTACAATCCATGATTGTCCTAATTATTTCATTAGTGCTTTACAACTACCTTTGTGTTATCTTTATGGTAAAGACTTCACATGTAACGTAAGTGGAACATGCACGGAATTAGAAAGCAAAATAAAGCATGTTGTAAACTGATGTAATTTAATAAAAAAAATTAATGTTTATTATTAAAATTTATAAAAGGTAAAACATTGGTTGCAGTAACTACTATTGTCACAGTTCGCCGACACTAACTTAAATGTTTCAGAGTACAGTACTGATTTTTTTTTCAACACGCATTATTATTATTATTATTATTATTATTATTATTATTATTATTATTATTATTATTATTATTACTATTATTATTATTATTATTATTATTATTATTATTATTATTATTATTATTATTATTATTATTATCATTATTATTATTATTATTATTATTACTAATTTGATTTTTTTCATTAGAAATTCGTTGTGCATGCCTAGGGTTGTAATTATTTAGTCACAGAGTAGTAGGTTGGTCGGAAATTCTGAGAAATGGATTAATAATGAAAGTAAGCCCCTTCCCCCCTTTTTTTAGAAAGATGGCACATAGCTATTTAGCCTAACATGGGCCTTCTGAATCTGAAAACTAATGTTGCCAATCAAACCTAAGAGAAGAAGCACCATCAGATGTAACAGTTCTCAGGTGATAGCACTCACCAACTACAAATATTATTCGTAGATAACCAGCGTGAGAAATTCCTCAGCTGTTACCTTGTTACAGTTTCCATCTAAGAATTATGATTACTCCTGTTTGCCCCCCCCCCCCAAAAAAAAAAAAAATTTTTTTACTGGTAACCATTGTTAGGCCACTTTAAACTAACATCCGCAACAGAAAATTGCAGTTGCAACTGTATAAACTGCAATCGTCAATACGTTTGCATGTTTTAAGAACATGCTGCTCCAAGTTCTTGAAGTTTTACAACATTGCATAATTATTACTATGGGATAATTTTATACAGCTTCAGCTTCGGTGGATGCATGATGCTCCTTTTCATCTCAATACTGTATATGAGGAAATATATACAGGTATAAACTTAAATGTTACGGCTAGACGACAATAAATCGTTATACTATATATTCAGCACTGTTTAACTCAGGGGAGCCCAGTCTTACAGACGCCATAAATTTATGGAAATGGAAATGTGTAGTTATGAACGAAATCAAGATCTTGATTGAGAAAGGAAGTACCGTATGTCAGAAGGGAGTTTAGAGGATAACCTGCCACATTTCTTTCGGTAAATATGTATATTTAGGTGCAGTAAAATACTTGAAATTTCGAAAGTAAAACTGCAAATTTGATTTTACTGATACTATTCTGTGTATGTAGCTACTGTAGTGTTTTTTAGAATTCATTAGTATTACCTTGCCAGTACATCCAGAACCACTCAGAGCCAAAGGAGGGGACAGAGAAGACGCCCCAGTGGAGGAAGATGCCGATCTTGGCACCATCGTACCAGGAGGGCAGAGGCCGGGTGTCCAGAGAGTCCCAGGTGGGATCGTACCTCGCCCACGACACAGCTTACGGACATCATGAATGGTAAGTCGTAAACATTATATTTTGTTGTATCCATCATTTATTTTACTAAACACTTAATGTGACTAACAAAGAAAAAATTTGTTAAATCAGTAAAGTACGTTACCCAATCTCTTAATATATAACAATTATGACAATACTTCTCCATCCTTATCACTACACTGTTGGAGGAGACGTCCAACAGTCCTAAAGGGAGAAATGTAATGAAATGGTACGGAGGTTTATTTCTTGTTTTACAGTAAACATATATATGTAACTTCACCAAGGTGGAGACCTGTTTGGCATCCTAGTACATGTGTGTTAGATTATGTGTTGTACCTACCGAGAAGGCCGAGGAGAGCCAGCAGACGGATGAGGTGCGACATACTGTAAGGTGAGGGTGAGGCAGGCACTGCTGGCGTCTGCGGCTGTTGCTACAAGCTCTTACAGTATCTGTCACAACCAAATAGGCTGATTAACGGAGATAAGGGTAGCCTGTGTGGGAGATAATACTAAGGCGATATTGCAATATAAAATGGTATTGAGCTGGCAGTACAGAGGCCCGTGGTTGATATTACCAGTGGGAAGACAGTGTTAAACTGGTACCTATCTTGTGAAGGCGAAGTCTTTCTCCTTTTTTTCTATTCTCTGTGTTACGTCACTCTGTTTCCAACTGTTAATCCATAGTTCTATTCTTGAAGGTTGAGTTGTCAGTGGACCAAGTCCTCTTAATGAACATTAACCCAAGTCCTAAAGGTGAAGGAAGTGTCGCGGTTCAGGGTGTAAGGCAACGAGCCTCCCGTGGCTACCATGTCAGGTACGAGACTATAGGAAAAAAGTATATAAATATAAAATTAAATAATAATAATAAAAAAGGTTACACTAAGAATGGTATTAACGAGGTTCGAATCCTGTCTGTTAATGAACAAAGACGATAGGTAATTGGTTATTTGGCTGCATTAAAAAAATAGTAAGATTCCCTCATGTTGGGATAACTAAACGCAAGCAACAAGTTGTATACATTGATGGGGATGGATTAAAGTAGCTGTATTTGCAGACGCAAGTGTGTGTGTCGCTTACTGTACATCTTCAGATAAACCGACATGCTGTTAGATACTGTATGTGTTCTATCACCCTGACATGAGACCGAGCCCCCCCCACACACACACATAAAATAAATAAATAAAAGGTTATCAGACGTATCCCTCGTAATCTAATCTGAGTGTATGAATGCAATACCTCGAGGTTTTGGGTGTTATAGCGAGACTAAATAAACAGATAGACAAACTAAACAGTTCTGTACACATAATAAATACACTAGGAATTTTCACTAATATTAATAATTACAGAAATAAAAATAATAATAATAATAATAATAATAATAATAATAATAATAATAATAATAATAATAATAATAATAATAATAAGAAGAAGAAGAAGAAGAAGAAGAAGAATACTAATGTGTCATGTATCTTTCAATTTATGTACAGATACGTACTGTTTTATCATCTGCAAAGTGTTGTCGAAGGTGAGTCACTGTCCACAGTGTGTAGGCATTAATATATAAAATTTTATCCAGTTTCTTTGATCACATTAAGGCGATCATTGTTTCTTAAAGCACAAAGGAATACACTAAACAAGAGAGGCTTAACTAAATGAGGCAAAACGACGTTGAAGACTTGCATGAGGACGCCAAGAAACAAACTGAAACTGAGAATTGGGTTGACCATTTATTTCAAGCGTCAAGATTTTAACCCAATGGCGCTCACTTGCGGGAAACACATACAGTGGAGGGAGGGAGGAGAGGGAAGTCACTGGTGTTGTTTACGGATGCTGTGGGGATGTTTGTCATGTAGTTTGGTCTTTTATCTCAAAAAAATTATTATATTTTTCATATACCGTCAAGTCTCTTCAATGAGAATTTTTACATATAAGACGCTCCGGGTTAATTTACAACTGGAAAGAAAAATAATAATAATGATAATAATAAAAACATCCCAGGCCACTTTGTCGCTTGTCCTGTTCTCGCTCGGAACGCCTTATATATAATTAGTAACCCTGACTCTTCTATGTTAGAAAAACAATGACAGTAATTATGTGATTTATTTGTTTTCTCGGTCCAAATCATTCATGAAAAATACAGTACATGGTATTTGTAATTTTCTACAACAGCTGCGTTCGATTAGACTGTTGCAGGGCTGACGATCCGCCAGTTACAGGAACAAGGGTCAGCTAGTCTGTGACGAGGTTGAGGATTAGCCAATCAGTGACACAGCTGAGGATTAGCCAATCAGTGACACGGCTGAGGATTAGCCAATCTGTGACGTGGCCGAGCATTAGCCAGTCTGTGACAGAGCCGAGGATCAGCCAATCTGTGACAGTTGCTGAGGATTGGCCAATTAGTGACACGGCTGAGGACTAGCCAATCTGTGACAGGGCTGAGGATTAGTCAATCTGTGACAGGGCCGAAATTCAGCCAATCTGTGGCAGGGTTGAGGATTAGTCAATCTGTGACAGGGCCGAGATTCAGCCAATCTGTGACAGGGCTGAGGATTAGCTAATCTGTGACAGGGCCGAAATTCAACCAATCTGTGACAGGGCTGAGGATTAGTAAATCTGTGACAGGGCTGAGGATTAGCCAATCTGTGACAGGGCCGAGATTCAGCCAATCTATGACGGGGCCGATTAATTATTAGCCAATTTGTTAAAGGGTTAAAGATCACCCAATCTTTTCTAGCCTTGAATGTTAGTTTGGTATAATGTCGAGAGTCAGCCAGTCTGCAACAGGGTCGAGGATCAGCTAGTCTGTAGTAGGGTAAAGAATCGATCAGGTTTTCATGGTACCATGGATCAGCCGGTCTATCATGATGCTGGGGATGAGCCTGTCAGGTAAGGTGCTCAGGATCAGCCAGTCTGTCTAAGAGCTGAAGATCAGTCAATATGTCATGGTGCCAAGGGTCAGTCAGCCTGCAAAAGGGCCAAGGATCAACCGGTCTGTCACAGAAATGAGGATCAGCCACCCTGAACAGGCCGACTGATCAGCCACTGTCAACGGGCAGAGGATCAGCCACCCTGAACAGGCCGACTGATCAGCCACTGTCAACGGGCCGAGGATCAGCCACCCTGAACAGGCCGACTGATCAGCCACTGTCAACGGGCCGAAGATCATTCACTGTCAACGGGCCGAGAGTCATCCACTGTCAACGGGCCGAGGATCGGCCACTGTCAATAGGCCGCGGATCAGCCACTGTCAACGGGCCGAGCATCAGCCACTGTCAAAGGGCAAAGGATCAGCTACTGTCAACGGGTCGAGGATCAGGTACTGTCAATGGGTCGAGGATCAGGTACTGTCAATGGGTCGAGGATCAGGTACTGTCAATGGGTCGAGGATCAGCCAGTCACAGAGCCGAGGGTTAACCAATGTTAACGGGTCGGGGATCAGTCAGTCTGCCTCAGTGTATAACAATATACAGCATGACATAAGTACATAAATCTCACTTTCATATTTTGTATTTTGTTGTACATAATACTTTGTGATACATTATATTCTAAACAAAACTAAAGTACACACTAAATATGACCAAGAGATTCTTAACGCTTGTGACCGCAACACTACCACTGAAAACAAAAAGACTCATTGGTAGTCGCTGCGGCAGTGGCCAAGGCGTAAACCAATGAAAATAAGTTTTCAATGATATGCAGACTTATTTTGAATAAAACAAAGTTTTCATTGGTGCAGGAGAGGTGGTGATTGAGGTGTGATCCAATGAAAATAGGTTTTAATTATTTGACAATGGGTGTTGTTATATACAAGTCTGGTTTCTTATCTCACTCGAAAGGCTCTTTCCATTCAAAAAAAAATCTGATTAGCAAAACTTATTTTTATCTGAGATGATATGATTTGTTTCTGAATGATAGACTGACCCCGAATTTTGACTGAATATAAACAGTCGTACGAGACGGAAATACCGGTACATCGTGATCTGTTTCCGAGATGCTGTAGTGTGTAGGAACAGTGTACGTGTGTCACTGGTCAAGGTGTGGGTGTACATGATGATAATGATGATGATGATAGTACGCATGATTATGAGTTTGTTGTTGATGATGATGTACTGTACTAACATAGGCTGTATTTTTCTAATGATGTAATTATTTTTGTATTAAAAATATTTTCTTTCATAATTCTCATACATATTTTTAATCTTTATATTTATATTCTGTACTGTATAGTTACGGCACCATCGCTGGCTGTGCGAGAGATTCACTACATAACATAAAACAAAAGTGGCGGGAGAGATAAAAGTATGACTGTTATCTTCTACTACACTTTAGTCTTAATTTTGGATTTTTTTTGCATCAATATAAACTATTACAATGAAAAATGCCTTAAAACCACTAGGACCTTTTAATTACTAGTCAGATTAAATAACTTCCAGTTGGTAACGAACGTACAACTGCGCGGTAACGCAACCACTTAACAAATGTGTAAACACTCACAACTCTTATGATCGTCAAGAAATATTTTTTTCTAACTATTTATAAACTATATATCTGTGTACACTAGACAATGTTATCTACAAGTGCACTGTGAACAAACTGCATGTCAGCGACAGTGATGTTATAACAATGTATTATTTCCGTTAATATTAATTATTTTATAACAAAAAAGTTACATTTTATGAGGACTAATATTGACACTGTTAGTATTTAGATTGATTGACTATAAAATTTACTTCGACGTATAACACTAAAAGTGAGGTACAGTGTGACTAATGCCCTAACATGTTACCTTTGAGGAAACGTTACTCTTACAGTACATGAGATATTTGTGACTGGTCGACTTAAGTGAAACTAATTGTGTGAAATAAAGAGATGTAACTAGTTCATTGTACAGAGGCTAGTGGGACTGGTCACTAACGGGGATGTAAATAGCTAAGGCAAGGCGTGTAACTCTGTAGCCCTGACACCACAGGAAGCTGTCTATCAACCTTTACACACAGATCATTAGTGCTGATGTTTGTCAGCTACCTGAGTGTGTGACAGAACACTGCATGCGTGAACTTCACAGCTACACGCTGAAGAACATGTTGACAACAAACGTACTGTAAACGATGATATCTAAAAATGGTATATTCTTGAGAAAACTACTTTACGACAGGGTCTTGAGGTACACATTCAAGTAACTTCACGGTGTCTGCGAAAACAGGCATTGGTGTGTAAATATTTGGTGACGTATGTTTTTACGACTTATGATTTCTAATATACTGTATATAATTTAAACTTCGTGGATACTGGAACATGCCGACCCCTTCACCAACTACAGTACTCGAGTTGGTGAAGGCGTAACAATATGACTGTTTGAGAACGCAAACCAAACAGTGACGTCGTATGTACCTACTGAGGTGTATGCCTGACGTCTCAGGCTTCACACCTAACAAACAGGTGTCTTCTCCTTGTATCACGAAGATGTAAGCGTGTTCAGAGAGAGGATGTTGCCAACTGCCTGCCATAGGTGACGACCACCAGACGGTGAGTTAAGTGAAGAGTTACCTCTAGTAGTGGAGCTGGGAAGGTGAAAAGAAGTTATCAGTGTGTGTAGTGTGAGGGGGTGTGGTGGACCAGATGGATCGCAGGTGTAGGTGTGACCAAAGGAAATCCTTCAATGAGGGACAGACGATCGTAGCGATTAAAGTACTTTCGGACCGTCTTGTATCCCCCACGGTAGTGCTGCCATGGGCGACCGGGGTCTGGCGGTCTACTACCTGAGTCAGTTTAGAAATAAAACAACTTATAGATGAATCAACGCTAGACAGAGCTATGAAGCTTATCTGTAGATAAAAAAAAATTTTTATCTACGCAATAAGTGTTTCTCTATACTACTAAACGCTTCTTGATGAATACACCTAAGTCTTAAGAGGCGAAATTTGAAATGGTAATTATTGTAATTTAACTTCAATGAAGCTTTTAGAGGATAGACTTTGTAAATTCTGTGAAACAATGATTCAAATTTGTGTAGTTGATGAACGTTTTATTTAATAAGTACATTTCACGCGAGGAGAGCGTCTTAGGTAGTTGAGCTACACTATTTATTTAACTAAAATCTGTTATAATACTCGAGATGTACCACAAGCCAATGGCTCATGCTGCTCTTACAAGTGTTTGGAATAATTAAGCAAGAGGAATAACGATTAAACCAAAAGAATTAACCAGTAGGACTAAACTCCCAAAAATACTATAACTACTCTTTCATTTATTTTATTTTTTTTAGATTTTTTATGAGGATAACTGTTATGGTAACTTTTTATGGCGTTTTTTTATTATCGCAGATCATTGTTCCCGCCAACGTTAACCGAAGTCGACAATGTTTTCGCTAAGTGGTTCCTTTCAAGGGTGTCACAGCCTCGAAATTAAGAAAATCATAGACATTATACCACACACACACACACCACCCGAAACAGATTCTTAGAGTCCCGTACGTAAGACTGATCCCCACACTGGAGATATAAGAATGTATGAAAACGGTTCACTTGAGCTATTGTATACAGTAGTCAAAATGGCTTCCAAAATGCACCGAGACTGCACGGGGAAAACTCTACTTACGAATTGTTGAGAATCCCGTTGTGTCTCTCCTCTGGGATCACTCCAGCACCCGATAGAGGATCCAACACGTGTTTCAGTCTCGCGTCTCAGGTAAAACATTCCCATGATGGTATTACTGTCCTCACTCTCACCTGAGGCATATTACGTTACTATGTGAATGTCTGTCTGTATACGTCCGATTTTGCATATGTATTCCATCTGACTTTGTAAACGCATCCGTCCGACCTCAAGTCCATCCGTCCACCCGTTATCGGATTTAAGATTTTAAAATACATCAAACTTTTTTAACTCAGGCCTACAAAGGATACAATATCCAGATGTACTCTACTCAATGTCTGGATGTACTCTAGTCAGTTTCCAGATGTACTCTAGTCAATGTCCAGATGTACCCTAGAAAATATCTGGATGTACTCTAGTCAATGTCTGGATGTACTCTTCTCTTATAAATTATGTGGTGGCAATAACCATGTTCAGAGTACTCTTAACGGTGTAGCATTAACGGGATGGGTGTACTGTTAACGGGATGGGTGTATTGTTAACGGTATGGACGAACTGTTAACGGTGTGGGTGTATTGTGATCGGGATGGGTATAATGTTAACGGGATGGGTGTACTGTTAGCGGGATAGATGTCCTGTACTGTTAACGGTGTGGGCGTACTGTTAACGGGGTAAGTGTACTGTTAACGAGATAGTGTTAACGAGAGTGGTATACTGTTAACGGGATGGGTGTACTGGTAATGGTATGTGTGTTTACAGTTAACGGCATGCTCTAGGGTTAACGGCATTGATGTACTGTTAACGTGTGAGTGTAGTATTAACGGCAGAAAAACAACAGACACCTAACGAACCACTAATCACAAAAACAGATTGGACAACGGCTACTGTTTTTTTTTCCGTTGGTGGATATTTTAGCCGCGGTGGCCACAAGAGGGAGCAGTTGGCGCCCGGGAGTCCTTCACCGCCACACCTACTCCAGTACACTCACTCGAGGATCAGGTCTCGAATCCACTATCTCGAGGGTACGTTACTTGAGGGGGGGATTATCTCAAGGGTACGTTATGTTACTTAAGGGGTACTATCTCAAGGGTACGTTACTTAAGGGGCATAATCTCAAGGGTACGTTACTTAAGGGGCATTGTCTCGAGGGAACGTTACTTAAGGGGCATAATCTCAAGGGTACGTTACTTAAGGGGCATTGTCTCGAGGGTACGTTACTTAAGGGGCACTATCTATAGGGTACGTTACTTAAGGGGCATTATCTCGAGAGTACGTTACTTAAGGGCACCACCTCGAGGACACGAAGAAAAATCCTTCAAGGGTATTTGGTCTCGATATATGCGGTACTCAAGAACTTTGGTCTCGAATTCACGTTCTCTTGAAATTGAAGCAGTTGTAGAAGGACACTTCTCCCTCAAGAGCATAGTCTCAAGGACGAGCTTCGAGAACACGACTTTGAGCCTTTTCGAGGAAATACTCTTGGAGATTTATTCTAGAGGGTTAGGTTCTCCAGGACAGGTGTTCGAGGGTTAGGTTCTCCAGGACAGGTGTTCGAGGGTTAGGTTCTCCAGGACAGGTGTTCGAGGGTTAGGTTCTCCAGGACAGGTGTTCGAGGGTTAGGTTCTCCAGGACAGGTGTTCGAGGGTTAGGTTCTCCAGGACAGGTGTTCGAGGGTTAGGTTCTCCAGGACAGGTGTTCGAGGGTTAGGTTCTCCAGGACAGGTGTTCGAGACTCAGATTCTCGAAGACAGGTGTTCGAGGGTCAGGTTCTCTAGGACAGAAGACAGTCCCCCTCGAGGTTCCTGGAGATGGTGTGGGCGGTAACAGGGATCCGACCGTATCTCCAGTGGACCAAAAGGCCACTGGCTCCTGTTCTCCAGTGGCCCTACAGGTAATGGTCCAATGGTCTCATGGGTAATGGTCCATTGGCCCCACAAGTAATGGCCCAGTGGCCCCATAAATTGTGGTCCAATGGCCCCTTAGATAATAGTCCGGAGGTTCAACAGGTAATGACCCAGTGGTCCTACAGATAGTGGTTCAGTGGACCCATGGGTCGTAGTCCAGTGGTCACACAGGCAGTAGTCAAATGGACTCACAGATAATGGTTCAGTGGTGCCGCAGCTAGGGGTCCAATGACCTAATCGGTAATGATTCAGTGGTCCCACAAGCAGTGGTCCAATAAACCAACGGGCAGTGGTCCATTGAACCCATAGGTACTGGTCCAGTGACCACATAGATAGTAGTCCAGAGTCCTCCTGCAGGAAGAGGTGCAGGTCCTGGTCCACTGTGTTCACAGGTCCTGGTCCACTGTGTTCACAGGTCCTGGTCCACTGTGTTCACAGGTCCTGGTCCACTGTGCTCACAGGTCCTGGTCCACTGTGTTCACAGGTCCTGGTCCACTGTGTTCACAGGTCCTGGTCCACTGTGTTCACAGGTCCTGGTCCACTGTGCTCACAGGTCCTGGTCCACTGTGTTCACAGGTCCTGGTCCACTGTGTTCACAGGTCCTGGTCCACTGTGTTCACAGGTCCTGGTCCACTGTGTTCACAGGTCCTGGTCCACTGTGTTTACAGATACGACTCGGAAATATCGAAGTTGATCCTGGGAACCATGGCGTCGTCTGCGGCAGAGGAGGCGTCCGGCGTCACGATCCTGACGGCTGGACGACCACCTGGAAACAGTATAGTTGTTATTATCAAGGAAGAACAAGGATGAGAGTATACAGTGATAACTTGTACAAAATTGCCAGTTTTGGTTTACGTGTGTTGATGATTGACTGTGAGGCACCTTCTTCTTATTGTAAGCTGTTCTCCAGGTGTTGTCTAACCCACGTTAGGATATTGTGTTACAAAATTTAACTTTATGACTCACGAACGACAATGATGCTACATCACAGGATACAGGTGCAGGTTTAGGAGATATTCGTTCAAGTGAGAAGTGAATTATGCTCGAGCGTCAGCTGAATGCCACGTGAGTGTTAGTGGTGTGTGACTGGGAGTGATAAGTGCAAGTCAGTACCTGCGTGTACAGTATATACCATGATAAAGTGTTTTTTTCAGCTGAATGTTAAATTAATCTACAAAGCAACAAAGGGCATCACATGATAGAAGAATGCGATACACACAACAGATATAATTGCATAAGAACAGTAAGTAGTGGACTAGAGGTATTATTAGTCACTGCTTTTGAACGAATGTTCTAATTAACTAATTTATTTATTTATTTATTAATTCATTCATTCCAGTGAAGCGTTAAGATTTAAGGAATGGTGCTAGCCATAGCAGTCCGAGCGTGCGGTGACTGGCTTGTGTACTGTGCAGTACCTTATAGTGTATGTAACATTGTGGCGGTGTTCAGTGCATATGAGACACTCAGTGTTGCTTACAGTATGTATGATAGCATGTCTATAACGTATGTGACGCAGTATGATAGTATTTACAGTGCTTGACGCTGTGTGATAGTGTTTATAATGCGTGAACACAACGTGACAGTGTTTACAGTGTGCCGTCGTCTACAACACGTGACACAACACCTGATATTACTTACTACCATAATACAGTTCTATGTCGGCGGTGAGTAATGGTAGTGTGTCTTTCTGAGGGTCCGTAGACACTGCAAGTACACATAAACACTTACAGTACAGTACTATATAAACACAGTGCACCATTTTATACATCACCTTCTTGCTGAGCTCACACTCTACAGAAATATACATCTTACTTATTGGCTTCATATACACAGTTCCAAACTTCACCTTCGAGTTTAGTATACACATATACAGTATACACGACCCGAACCCTGATTCTAAACACACAAACACACACACACACACACACACAGAGCTCATTCCTTCATCCTTTGTACACAAACTCCAACCCTGAGATTTGTACTGTGCACATACTCGAGTGGATACAGCGCTCGCCTCCAGTTCCAGGGGTCGGTGGTTCGATTCCCAGGAGCTCCCAGTTCACCCAGCCGTAAATGGGAACCTAAATTTATAACTTGGGGAAGTGAATGCGGTTGATAGCAGTACCGGCCATGCTGCCTCCTTGTGTACCTAAGGCTTTAGTATGCAGTGTGCTATATCCACACTGCCAGTAGGACCCCACTTTACACACACACTCACAGGCACATACCCTTCAACTACGCCCCCCGTATACATAAATATACATATTATATCTTATCCCCAGACTTATTTTGAATGTCATGAAAGTTGTGAGAAACTAAGTACGTATAGGCCTACATATACCTCAATCCTGGACACAGTAAAGATACACCCACGCACACCACCATCCACGTACATCACCATCCACGTACATCACCATCCACGTACACCAACACCCATCAACACTGAGGTAGAGGACATCCTGTACCTTGTCGGAGGCGTGTGTGGTGGGAGGGATCGATCACGTGGTTCTCGGACGCCTGCTCCCGGCTCCTGACGGCTGCCCTCTCTTGTAGCTTCAACTTCAACAACCGGATCTTCTCCTCTTTCTACAGGGGCGTAAGAGACAGGTGTTACAGGTGTTACAGGTGTTATAGAGGAATTAAAGACAGGTGTCACAATGGCTCTTCAGGGTTATGTGAATTTTTGGGTGTTGTTTCATTACTAATATTTCTGTCACTTATTTTTTCAAAGTTTTGAAAATCTAGGCCTTCATATTTCTCAAATCTACCTATCTATCTATCTTTTCTTCTTATGTATTGACACTTTATAGTTTGGTAAAAAAGCTATAGGGCATAATTCATAGTCACCAGGCACAGTGTAATGAGGTAGTGTCTGCGGGGCGTATTTCAAGGAAGGAGGGAGGGAAGGGGGTGTCAGTACCTCGGCAATAAGTCTCTGCATGTCCTCGTTCTCGTGCAGGAGCTTCTGGTACCGCTCCTCCTCCTCCTTGCTGGGCGCCGTCTCCCCGCTTGACTCCACACGCTCCCCAGGGTGACGTACAATCTCCACGATCTGTGCCATACACACACACACACACACACACACACACTTACAGTACTTGAATAACCATATTGAGGCTGATAGTTTTAATCTAGAACTCTTTGAGGATTATCATTTAAACTCTGATTCCTTAAGGACGATAATCTAAGCTATAATTCTCATAAAGCTAAGTATTACATTTCAAATATATATTGTAGATAATAAGCAATGATAACGATTGATAACACCAATATTTACGAGCATTATATATCATGTCGGCTTATCGAGTAATATACGTATAACTGATTCTGTAATCTTGTTCACATAGCAACACTACTCGTACACCTCCCCAGATGCCGCCTCTCTAGTATTATGTGTCTGTAGTGATCCATGAAATGGTGACCTTTGCCAAGATAACTTTTATGGTACGAATGAGTATGAAAGCTCACCTTAGGAACGAAGACGAGCGCCATGGAGAGGAAACAGCAGAAGATGATGGCCAGCGACACGAAGGCGAAAGACGCGTCCTGTTGCGTCGAGATAACCAGGGTGACAGGAGCCGTGATGAGGCACAACACCACCACGTTGTAGATACTCATCCCCACCTGTGTGTGTTATTGTGTAGTTGTAACACCTTCATATTACAACACTAACACCTTGTACTGTACCATAACTACGACAGCACCACCGTCACAACTCTAACCTAACCCTAGGCTAACCCACCCTAACATCACTACAACACAACTAACACCACCATCACAGGTGTAACCTAACCTAATCTAACCTAACGACATCATAATACCTTTACCACTCATCCCGTTACTGTTATTATTGTCATCACATAAGAACAAAATGTATCACAACACACTATATATTCAACCTGCCCTCAACGTCCTCCCGTTCCTAGAAATAACGTTACTATTGTCAGTACTAGTAATATGTTGATTTTCGTCAGTTTCATTTTATTTTATATTTTATTTAAGATGCCCCTCAAGGACAGGATCCCCGCGTTGAGAGAACCAAATAGGACCCCATCACTAATATATCTTCCTCTATATTTTTTTAACAAATAAAATGCACGGAAAGAGATCATGCAAGTGCTATTGTAAAATCAATTCATCAAACTGTCCCCTTGCTAAAGACTGAAGACATCTGAAGTAGGATGATTTGAACTGACTGAGGTAATATGTCATAGGAAACAAACACAGTGGAAGGGAGTCAGGGAGATGAACCTACCAGCCTGGAGTCATTGATCTGCTTGAGTTTGATGCTGCGAGTCTCGTAGGCCAGGAAGAGGCCGAAGATGAGCAACAAACCCTTGTAGCCGTAGAGCAGACCTGTGTGGACGTCAACATCATCATTCTTGAGTCTCACAAATCATTCTCTAAAATGGGATGATCGTGGCCTTTAATGGAAGTAAGATATTTTCTGTACTATTTTAATCGTCATCATTGTACGTTGTCATATTCGTCTTTGAATGACTGAAGTATAAATGATTTTAATTTAAATAAATGCCAGAAATTTTTGATAAAATAAGTCATGTGAAGATGACATATACCTCTCCTCGCCATAACTCTACCAGGTTATACAGTCAAAATGACAGACGCACACAGTGGTAGCTATCGGTATATACCTGACCTAGTTGTTGTTGTGTGTGTGTGTGACCAATAAACCTCTTGCATATGACACAAAATTCTGATATGTGAGAGAACAGTGACAATTAAGTGAACGGAGCAATACAGAGGACTGTGTTTTCAGTTGTTTTCGTCAGAGTATAGGATATCGTAGCAGCATTCGGGTTGTGTCGAGAATTACCTAACCAGATGATGCTGTGTCGACACTTACCCAGCCAGATGGTGTTATGTCGACTCTCACAGTGCTCGAGCTCCGGCTTGATTTTGATGTCCTCGACAGCGTCCTTGGGTTTCTCCAAAGGGAAGACTTCGAGCGTCCTCTGGAGGGGGTCGACGGCCTGCCACACACTCAACACAATCACGTCCACCACCACGAAGCTCCCCACCATCACATACAGCTTCCAGGGCTCCACCCGCTGTAAAGTCCCACAGTCATGAGAGTAAGACAATATTCACAGACACAGTCATGAAACAGAACAGACCCACGGTAAGACATGGCGAGCCACGACCCATGAACACGAAATAAACAACTGACCTTATTCTCTATTTTGGTCTTGGTTGTGAGACGGTGGACACGCCAAATCTTGGAGAACATGGCCCCATAAGCGAGGGTGAAGCCGAGAGAGAGGCACCAGGCACGCAACCCACACACCGTCGGGAACTGCTGCTGGCTTACGAACTGACCGTCCAACCCCAGCAGGAAGATTGACCCCAGGCAGAGCATAATCCCCACCAGGGTGATGTTGTTACACGCCGGGTGCGACAACTGGATCAATCTGCGAGTGTGAAAGGTGGATCAGTGTTCAGTAAAGGAACTACCCTCAGCATCTGTGTTCAATGAAAAAACTTATTCCGAATCGGAAGTAACTGGTGAATCAACTTTCAGTGTCTGGTCATGTCTGTGGTTAGTGTCAGTGATCAGTGTTTGTGATGAACGTGGCACCTACCGTCGTTGTCTGTGAACAAAGGTGAAGATGAGGAGGAGTAGAGCCCAGACGGCGCCGACGGAGCTGATGGTACACATGCTGATGAAGAGGCCCAGAGACACCGTCCTCAGCTGCCTCCTGACGATGGTCCTATCCTGCGGCACCTTCCCACCTGCAACACACATAGCCACCTCTTAACCCACTGCTTACGTCAAGCATTGGTGCACCTTCCCTGCTGCAACACACATACCCACCTCCTACAACATGGCTTGGTGCTACATCCCTCCTGCAACACATAACCCACCCCTCTCTAATATGCCTCCTGTGTTGTACCCTTATACAAGCAATGGACATGTACCAACTGAATTTGTAACTAGTGTTCTGAACAAGTTTGCGTAAAATAATGAACCATAATAAACTGTGGAAAAATGTGCAAGATCATTTTTAAGTGATAAAATAATGGGAAAAAGTGGATCATGAAAAAAAAGTGAAAAGGGTTGAACAAGAGGAATATAGAATAAGTTGATTTGAGTGAGTGTGATTGAAGGTACTCACCTATCCACTGTTCCCTGTTGAACCAGGTGAGGTTGTCGGTCTGCACGTCGAAGTAGCCCAGCTTATGGTAACGGCCGTCGATCATCTGCTCGATCTGAGTCCACGCTATCCTGTCACCGTCCGTACTGAACGCCACTCTACCCTGAACAAATATTGTACCAAGATAATTTGGACACAACATTCACGACGACAGTTCTGAAGGTGACAATTTACGAAATTCTTCAGTTGATTATTTTCCATTAATGGATCATTTGTTGTTTGTTAAGTGACCTGAGAAACCAAAACTCAGAAACAGAAATGAAAGATTCACTAAATATTATAGATGGTACAAAACACAATTGCCTTTGAATTAAAAGTAAGAATTTGGTCCAGGTATATATACTTAACTACTGGTCACTTTTTTTTTATATTTTACGTGGAAAGTAACACGTTATTCGCACAACTTCGAAATTAGTTTGTCTTCGATAGTGAGTGAGTGAGTGAGTGAGTGAATGAATGAGTGTGTGTGTGTGTGTGTGTGTGTGTGTGTGAGTGAGTAAGTAAATGGTATCCAGCTCATGTAATGCTTTAAAAACATTTTGAACATATGAATTACATACGAGATAACACACCTTTCATTGGTAGAGTAATAAGCGCCTTGACACAGCTGAGAAACTGACATCTACCTGCATCGTTGAGTCACCTACCGACACACCGAGGAACTGTGTGGCGTTCATGGCTTTGTAAAGCTCGGCAGCGATCTCCTTGTTGGTGTAAGTGAACTCCTCGATGGACTTGTTAACTGCCGCCAGCCGCTCCATCGTCTTGTTGAGGGCCAGCGCTACACTCCATATGGCGTCGTAGGCCAGAGGAGCTTCCTGGAGGACGGAACCACCTCATTGAGGTAACTGATCATACTTTAACGCTTTGATGGATATGTCATTGTCTATTAGTATGACCTTTTTTTATAAATAAGAGGAATGAGAGAGAAACACTGATTCAAGAGTGAGTGGTATCAGTAATAAGAGTGAGGGTAGCATAAGTGAGAGGGAGTGGCTCACCTGATAGCCCACTGGGTTACTCTGGTTCTCGTAGCCCTTCTCTATCAACGCCTGGTTCAGTCGCAGCCTGAAGTCTCCCGCCGTCTGTAAAAGAAAACCCTTAAATTTACACATCTGTAAAACATTTAAAATACAATCGAAAATAACGTCTAAGAAATGCCAACGTGGACAAAATGGCATAAATTGCAACAGATATTTGATGAAACAGTTGAGAAAACTCCTTCACACGGATAAAACATAATCAGTCGGCCAGTTTGGAGAGCCGGACTTTGGGTTAACAAAGACATCCAAAAAATCACCAGTCTCATAAAAATCTCATCTGGGCAAAAAATCCAATTCTGCTTTTGTTTCAGTCCTTAAATTTAACCTTAATATTAACAGCAATTCCTCTTTATGGTTGCAATCTCTACGTTGACTTGTACAAAGAGAGAGAAAAAAAGCGGATCATTATGAAGGAGTTGGGGAGAGGAGGGGGAAGGGGGCAATATAACCCCCAAAACAATACAACTTATGAATGAATGTGTGTGTGCGTGTGTGTGTGTGTGTGTGTGTGTGTGTGTGCCAGAAATTATGCAAGCAAGCAATAACTCTAATTTTAGGAGGGGAAACTATAGTACCTAAATTGTAATAGTTTCTGTATTTGTAAGTATATTATTCCGATAAAAAAAATCAGAACTAAAATGCGATGACAAAAACACAAACTTATTAAAAATAACAATGACGATTGAGACTACATAAACTTAACAGTGAATTACAGGACGCACCACAGGCAGGATACACTTGGGGTAGGAGACTCACCATGCCGGAAATCGTCTTCTCATTGTCTTTATTCCACATGAGAGCTTCTGTGGTCATGTGCCCCTCCGCTGCCTGTCTCATCTCCTCTCGGGTACAGTTGAGGTTCTCTTCCTGTAAAGGATTCTCGAACCAGTTGTCCTCGTACCACCCTGTAATATTCACCTTCGTCAGTACAAAAACAACAGCTTCCCCCTTTCTTAGTGATTTAGAAAGATCGACACACTGTCACAGGAATACATACTAACTGAGAGCCAGAGTAACACCACTAGAGAACCAATGGGAACTCGTACGACAAAAGAACTACATGAACACCTACCTATGAAGAACCAGACATAACTCTTGCCGTAGAGTGTATTTTTGTAGATCTCACAGAGGACCCTCCTGGCGGCGTTGACGTAAAACAGTCCCACGATGATTCTCGCGTCTTGGCGTTTCAGGTTCCTGACGGCGTCTGTTGGGTCGGTTAGAAAACTCTGACGGGTCACGATCTCGATGCCTGCGTCCTTACACCTCACCTCCAAATCCTCCACCGTCTGGAGGGAGGAAAATTATTACAATTTTCAGGGAGGAAACTAATAAGTGGGCTACTAGGGAAATTATTAGAGGGATATCCATGGCTTGATGCTTTTTTTTTTAACACTGACCTAGAATGCACTTGATCTTTTGCGTAAGAATAATTATACGCCTTAAATGGATAAAGGAAGCTATAGTTAAGACAGTGACTGACCGAGATGAAGACCTCCTCGGCCTGCTGGATGATGGCGACACGGGACCAGTTATATTTCTGCATCACCCTGATCCTGGTAGGGTTGTGCACGGTAGCTGATGGATGAGTCCTGAAGAACGTGGGGAACCGCTGTCGATCACTCAGTGCTGGCGAACTTGACCCGTACGACAACTGCCGCCGTACACGTGAAAGGTTCATGATTAGTGGAGGTACTGTACATACAAGACTACAAGGTCAGTCTAGGAGTACAGAATAGATATACAGAGTACAATGAATGACACATTAAGTCCACGAGATACTGTACAGTGTGTACTGCATATATTACGTTAGGTGCAGGAAACGTCATGTTTATTTAAGCATTAACAGCGAAGAAATATGAAATTGGGCAGCGAAGAGTTGGTTGGCCATTGCCTGCGTTATCCCGGACTTAAAAAAAAAAAACTCACGTGAGAAGAAAATCTATAATTCAGTTGAGGAACGGCGGGTAATGGGGTGAGTATGCTCCTCTAAAAACTCAGCAAATAAAAGATTGTGGGAAGACTTACCACGACGAGGTTCCACATCTTGGCGGCTTCCCCGATGGTGGTGCACACGGTGGAGCAGCCGCCCAGCAGCATCAGCTTGGTGGGTGGGTTGTACAGCAGGTCGTACATCACAGCCGCCCCCAGGCCCGGCTCACACTGTACACCACACATACAGTACATGTTAGTCAGCCAAAACACCCCACAGACGTACTGTAGACCTTAAAATTAGAATTATCCGGCAAGAAAGAGGTACGACACTTTCAAAACTAAATTTCGAAAGAACCAGAAAGATTATCGGTTATTCGCATACTGTACATTTAAATACCTTACATTATCGTGTAATGTACTATTCGAAATTTTTAAAAGTTACTTTATAGGAGGTAATCAGACATGGAGAAGAGTGAGTGGGAAGCATTCACCAGACACTCAGACATGGTGAGGAGTGAGTGGGAGGCATTCACCAGGCACACTCAGACATGGTGAGGAGTGAGGGGGAGGCACTCACCAGGGAGTCGTTCCACGCCAGGTTGAGCTTGTACCCAGGTAGAAGGTCGGGTCTGTTGTTTACATCGTGCATGGCCAACATGGCGGCTGGCTGACACGCCTGTGACATCCACACCACACGTTAATATTAGTTTCATCCTTTCATTTCCAAGTTCTAACGTTTTACTATTAATTTATATCTATCTCACCCACTTAGAACTTCAGTGGGCAAAGATGTAAATATTGACAATTATAGTGATTTACTTACAAGTCCTAAATAATACTGCAACATAAGAGTCTAGTTAATGTTGAACTCTAGAGCTGGCCGCCTCACTGTATATTACAGTTATACAAAATATAAAACTTACTGGTATTTACTAATGTATTCTTTCATGTAAGAAGCTCAAGTTGATGAATATAATGTGCAATGTGTCCTACACATACATTCATTATGTATTATCACTACCCCAGTCTACGGCACTAAGAGAGGCCCATCCCTTGTATTATTTACACTAAGTCAATGGTTATAAATTGACATATTTAATAAAAGTTACGTTCAGTATGAAAAATTTAATATTTGATTGTTGATTAACATTTTTCAGAAGGTGATAGCACCAAGATTGCCTACCTGGCCGCCCTGCCAGCCGTCTGAGCCATGGATGGGGAAGATGCCGCCGATGTTGAGGAGCAGCTCGCCGCCCGCGTTGCCCACCATCACCGTCACCCACACCACCCACCTCCATGTTGACACCTGCACACCTCCACCCTGCACGAAATTATTATCTTCTAAGTAGAAGCAAATGAACTTAACAAGCAAAATTTATACATAGTCATCTTATGGTTACTTTGGGACTGGTCTATACTGGTAAAAATATATAATTATTTGGTAAGTATTAAGGTTAGACAATTTTACTCATAATATCAAGAGAAGTATATATATATATATATATATATATATATATATATATATATATATATATATATATATATATATATATATATATATATATATATATACACAGTATATGTGTGTGTGTGTGTTACAACACTTAATAACGAGGTTCACACTAATAGTGGAAAGTCCCCGTCCCCGCCATAACCCTGACAACAGCGACAGACTGTGCTCGTTATTGGACTCATGTACTGAGTTGTGGTGTGTCTACAAGACTGTGGTTAAGATCCTTAACTGTATTTTTGTAAAGTTATTTTAAGTTATCCTCTTCAGAGATTATAAACGCCAGGATGGAAAATATATATTAATACATTCCCCCTTTTCGGGGAGAGCTCTGTGATATATAACACTTACAATTTTATTAGTATTTATTCAATAGGTTACATTTAAAGGCGCTGTTGATATATAATAATATGAATCAGTGCATGGTAAGACTTGGCAGATAAACTGTACGTCTCTATCGTTTTCAATTTTTCATGACTTGTGTCTCTACTAGCCCAGAAAACACATAAAGATCTTAGTTGTTTAAGCGCAGTAGTACAGTATAACAACAACATGGACGGGATATTATTTAAGACAGGAGTCTACAGTGAACAATAAGAGCGATGGGCAGCAAAATACTGACCATAAGGGAGAAGTAAGAGACCTTAAAGGAGAGAGAAAGTTAAATAGTCGAGTTTTCCTTCTTGGCACCTGTGATGGAGTGTTTGTTTACATCGACTTAGTACAGTTGTGGACAAAAAGAACAAGGCAGGGAGATTCTAATCTACGTATATTTCATCATTAAACTAAAAAGATTCAATCTGGGGAGTGGAACGAAAATCGCAAACTTTGAATCGCCACCTCTATGTAACTTTACCTCCCTCCTTCAACCCCTTCCTGTCTGTCTAATTCTTTTTGTCCAAACTGTACATAATATTTCACACTAAAGGAATATATGACTTGACCCAAGTTTTGTACTGTAAGATATGTTAATAACAAAAGGAAAGTATATGATATGAACTGGCCATTTTGATATGACCAGGATTGTAAATAGAGAACTAATTTTGTTATAATTATATTTATTGAATTACTCTTACTACCACATTAACAAAGACTTCCAAATGATTTGTTTACACGGCACTCTCACCCTCGCTCTCACTTGAGGTACATACGTCATGGAGTCTACAGAGAACAGTCCCCCCTGCTTGGAGTCGGCAAAGTTCTCATCTCGTGACTTGCATTTATAGCGGAAATCGGCAGAACAATCTACACTAACCTAAGAGAACAACAACCAAATCTAAATGGGAAGAGTTCCTCCAGCACGGCAAAGATTAATATGATCAATATGATAAAAATAACGCACCAGCATCCATGAGCGCCATGAAGTGATGACGTCAGGTAAAAGAAATATAATAAGAGCAGTTCGCATGAGCAAACTTCTTTCTGTGTTTCAGATATGCATGACGAAATATACACCACCATAAAAATGTCTCTTCCCTCTTGGTCAACAGAATTTTTGGTGTAAATTTTTTCTGGACGAGGATGGTGAACCCTGGTGTGTATTGACCCGAGACTTGAGGACCTCAGCATCCCTCATCAGGTCGTCATAGCAACCTTTCGGAGGCTATAATAACCAGCCATCTTGGTCATGGGAAATATATTTTGAACGAATTTTAGCCTAAAACAAATATCTGTTTATCAAATCCATTGTTGGTCATGTCTTCTAATGGAATGGGTAGCTCGACACTTTTCCCTGAGTAATAAAAAAAAAATTCAAAGCCGGTTTCATAAAATTTCTTCAAAGCGAATCATTGACAGGCAGTGACGGGTTTTCTCTTACAGTGAAACACCACCTTCACTGTGGAAATAGAAACCATGTGTTTTTTTCTCTGTTTATTGTGTCATGTGTATCTCGAGTATTTGGCCGTATTTTTCAGGCACTTACCTCCATATTGGCGAGCAGGGTAGAGAAGACTCAGGTGAGGGGCATGACGAAGTTGTTTCGACTGGGGAACAGGTGGCATCTGGCCGCCCTCTGATGCCAGTCAACCCGTGCCTCCTAAACCCTCTTCCCACTCCACAGAGTAAGTTTATTTTTACTCTCTACTTCAAGGACTCATTCAGATTCGTCCAAGTTTGAAAATAGTCTTGGGAGAAAAACTGTATTAGGGAAGAATTAATGATTGAAAACTAATATCTAATAATACTGAGGAGGGATATGTATATATCCATAACGTATTCGGACGGCGTGAGTTGTTCAGGTAGGCGTCTATTGATTCAGTGAGAGGCGCAGGCGTGGCACTGCGCCCACGCATTCTATTTCTTCCTTATTTTTTCGAAACTGGTGTCTTATTAAACATTATTATCAGACTTAAATAAGATATTTACTTACACAAAGATGAATAAGGCCTAAATAACCTCGAGATGCTAGGTACTCATTTTTTCTTATCGAGCTTTTAATTATCACAAATCAAATATTGCCCCTCAGTTCTAAACTGTAATTTTCTAATTTATTGTATATCGGAGTCCAGTATTTTCATAGTTTTATTGTTTTTCGAATTCATAAGTTAAGTGAAAATTGCTGATTCACCTGAATACAAAAAAAAATAAAGATGTTGCAGAATTCGTCTTGAAACTATCACAGTACTCTATTATAATGCTTGATGTTTTCGCGTGAAAAAACTTCTATTGAATTAAAAAAAATGAAATTTGAGTTAAATTAGAGACACCAAGAAATGGCCGTTGGTATGTTTACATCTTTTTCAATATGGCTGACTCGGTTGCTAGGGAAGTGACGTCATACCGAGGAAGTATTGAGAACTGACACACACACACACAATATCAAGGAAAGCTTGACTGATTGATTGTGGTAATTATATCAATCAATCATTCAACCTTCCTTTGATATTCCTACATTACTTACATGGCTTGATCCATTTTTTCTAAAGGAAAGGTGCTCCACAGCCTTCACTACGTATGCTCTCGTCTCGCAGCTACCTTATGTTGTTTACAGGTGTTCGCATATATAAACACGAAATACGACGAATTTCAGGTTCGCTTAAATCTTAATTTTTGCAATTACAGAACTGTAATCAACTTGTTCACCCTTATCTAAAGTGTCTTAAGAGTAATGATATTAAAGTTGTAATCATATTTGAGTAATAAGCAATATTTTACACAAAATTTACAGGCGACTATTGAAATCGGAAAACGCCTACTAAAAAAGGGCAGAACCAAAACAGATTTCAACTAGGAGCAATTCTATTCAGTTCTTTCAAGCCATAAGTTTTGTTTTAGGTACATCCTTCTTTCCTCACACAGCCAAACTATGGAATGCTCTGCCTTCTTCTGTGTTTCCACACTCATACAGTCTGTCTCACTTTAAAAAGCTGGTTTTCCGGCATCTTCGTGGTGAAGATTAGTATAACTTTTTCTTTTTCTATTTTTAAGTTCTTTATACTCTTATTTTTTCGCCCCCTAGGCCCCGTTGTGGGTCTATGACCTGTGGCCGGGTGAGCTATTAACCGTAAAAAAAATACTACCGTATATAGAATTATTTTTATTATACCACATTTTTTATTGCCTTACATGCACCCAACTCTTAAATATTAACCCTTTCACGCACTGGCCATTTTATTCTGGCTACCGCCAGACGATTTTATTCGGCTTAGGGTAACCTCCCGCTGTGAAAGGGTTAATAAAAATATTCTCCATAAGCGGCCATGATCCGCGATTTACACAGTGTTGCACTGGGAGAAACTAGCTGATTGGTTGATAGCAGTTATTCGGGCGACTCTGCCCGCTGCAAACGCTGACGTGCAGAAGTCAGCAGCAGCGTCTGCGCAGACAGAATAGCTAACGCGATAGCTATTCTGTGCATCTGAAACCCCTTATAATAAACGCCTATAGTTATGTAGAATTAAGTAAAATATACATATAAATGTTCTTTATGCAAAGTACTAGATTTTTAAATTGCTTAAAATGCTTACATACCTAATATTTCGGGCGAGCTAACGTTTGTTTATTTATAGAAAGTTAATAGAAAACTACCTCAGAGTAAATCAATAAAATTACCAGGTGTAAATCATTATAAGTTTAATTCAGGAGAGAACCATATAACGATTAAAAATTTTCGCGGGAAGGGGACGCGTGACGCGTGACTGATGTGACGCCACGCCGGTCAAATCGTCCCACGCCGCGAAATCTTATGGACGCACCAGCTACCTCCCCTAACTGTAGAGGGTCCATGGGCTCCAAACAACTGTATTTTTTTTTAAACTGTGCATGGACCAGGTACAAGATAGAATGATTACAAACAAGAACTTCGAAGCCACGAAGGAGTAAAACAAAGACCGTCCGGTGATCTGGATGACCACCATTTCACAAGCGGATCTGTTATACTCTGTAAGTAGATTCTAAGCTATCGAAACCTGGCTTGATATTGCTTCCGGTGCTAATTTTTAGGAACAATTGATTGGTAGTGTTGTGACCCTAACAATAGGGTAGTGTAAAATATCCTTACGGTACCATATAACATTTGGGCTACGTTCAACATCTGAAATACAATCAAAAGATTATGAGGCCTTGTGAATACTATTAAATTCGGAGACCTTTTTTATTTACTTAAATTACTTATGCCAGGGTATTTAATTAATTTAGTACATAGACTACTCGTGTTTAATATTTATATAGAAACTTTTAATTTTCAAAAATTTAATAGTGTCAGAGGCGAAACTAAAACTGCCGTATTTAAAGGGGTCGCAGTCATTTCACTAATATATTGTTTCGGAAGTAGCTGCACACATACGGCATTATTAACCATTACGGTTATAAAAACTTGGACACAAAAATGGTTTAAGTTTGCTAGAGAAAATAACATACACTCCTTAGCGGTAAATCTTGGCTTGAAACGGTTGCTTCATTGTTGCAGTAGAGGTAGAATAATTAACTGATGAATTATTAAAATTCTTTCACTTGTAATGAACTGACTCATGGTGAACTGCTTAATATCTCCTGCAGATAAACAATAAAAATTTAATTACAAAAACTATGATAATCATAATAGAAATAAATATAAAAAATAATCTGACGGCAGCAAGGCTACTGTAGGAAGGTATTGTTTAGTACCATGTAACACGAAGCGAGCTTTAAACAAGTGGTTGCCACCTCCCTGTGTCGAGTTAAAAACAAAATAAATAGTAATGAGAGTAATTGTGAAGACAGTTTTTTTTTATATATAAGGTTTCATGGTTTCACTTTTGGAGAATAATCCGTCTTGTTTCAGAGTACAATAATAAAAAGTTGCTATGACTGTTACATTGGCAACTCGATCTACGCCGAGGTTGTAAATGGCATGTCATTTGGCATATATATATATATATATATATATATATATATATATATATATATATATATATATATATATATATATATATATATATATATATATATATATATATATATATATATATATATATATATATATTATCTAGGAAAAAATTTGTGATCTTTGTATTCGTTTACTTATGAACAATAGTCGGAGAATACTGATTTTATAATTACTCTAAATATAGGAAATATATTGAGTGAGATTAATGAATAACCTTTTAAACAATATTCACTTAAACGAGTAATTAGGTGGTTGTAGTTCACGGTGATTAACACAGGCACCAGGAAGCAGAAACTTTTATCCAAACAAATTCCCATTTATTTTTTCAAGGTTGTTGCAGTGTGTTTAAAGGCAAAAATATTATGTGTGAGTGTGTTGAACGGTTTTTTTTTTCTAGGATAAAGGTGTTGACAGTTCGTCGAGGGACACATCATACATCACATCAAGTATGTACAGTACAAGTTATTGTTTATGGCCACCGTGAAGGTGATAACAGCTAATAATGTTACCCTTCTCGCAATGGCCCGAGAACTTCAGTTCATTGTCCACATACACACCTAGGTTCCTTTCACATTCAGTCTCAAATAGTGCAGTTTCTTCATCCCGTTCGGACTTATGATACGCCTCCTTGCTGGCATTTATACTTGAACAGTAATTCCAGTGATGGATATAAGTTATTATCGAGGTAAAGAGGAAAATTCTATAACGGCTTACTGTAGGTATAATTTATATATATATACATGGCGACCCCGATTAAAAAATATGGAAGGTGATTTTTATTTGTTCGTATCGTCTCCTTTCACTTTTTTTTTCAATGACATGAATATTGTCCTTAGTTTCATTCCCGTTACAGTATAATTTATGCACCCATTTTTATTTTCTGTTTTGCTACACATTTATTTATTTTATTTTTTCATTGATTCGTTTTGGTTTCATCTCACTTAACTCGAGCTTAGAGGCCCGCGATAACCTTTATTATTAAATCTTTATGTCATAAAGGGAATCTTTCGTAACTGTAGGTAAACCAAACACAATTCAAATTTTATAAAATTTATTAAGTACATACTGTATATGTAAATTTTTCTACATTATACATAATAACACGTACTTGACTCACCTATATCACATCTTCGTCTTAACATCTGACAACAAAAATGTTTACAGTCTCATTATTCCCCCAAAGAAGAGTCTTATTCACGTAACAAATGTGAGTTGCTTTATTTATGTGATAATTACCCATTTTGAGTGTATTGGCATTTCAACTAAAAAATTACTTTTATATAACTTGAAGAAATACAGTACTGTGTGTCACTATCAACATTAATATTATTTTACTCTTATAGCGTTACTCAAAACTAGCAAATTCATTTATTGTTATTCATTCATTCCTACTGCTTTAGAAGATGTATTATTTTTTGGTCTTTTTCTTGTACAAGTCCAGAAATTAGATTTAACACATACACGTTCTGTCCCCTCAAAATCACTGCAAGTGATATACAGTACTGTATAACCTCTCCATTCAAACACACCGTTCCTCCCATCCTTCTGTTACATGGCCTTCCGTTCTCTCTTGTCATGTACTGTACCTCTGGCTTGTCAACTTTTTAACTCTCTCACTTTCCATTATTTCAGTATGATAATTTTACTTAAGCTGAACCTTCTGTGCTCTCTGCTCAACGTTCCTTTTACATATACAATACTTCTCATTGGTTTTTCTTTTTCTCTACATCCTACTCACCTTATACAGTATACATCATTCCTGTCACTTCAAATTTCCCCAGCATTACACCAATATAATGTTGGCCCAGTACTCTCTTTGTATATTCCTCTAATAATACGTGTTAATAATAATAATATTATTATTATAAAATAATAGTAATAATAGTACTAGTAGTTGTAATAAATCAAACCTGGAAAGTTTTTAACAAATACAGGTAATTGTTTCAACATTTTTTCATGAACTGGAAAAGGTAGTTGATAAGATTTATGTCATTTAAGGTAGACAGGTTGTGACTTTCAATTCCTTATAGTATTGTACAGATCACAAATGTAACATATCATTACGAGTAATGTTGTATTTTAATCACCCCATAAACATCTGAAATGGCAAATAGTATTGCAGATTCATCACGCGTACAGATCAAATATATATTTTTCGCAACATAAATAATGATTTTAGCGATTGAAACTTTGAGGGTGTTATCAGCTTGTTTTTGTGTTGTAGATAAACAGTTGCCACAAGGTTCAGCCAGTTTTAATATTATTGCACCGTTTTCTCTTATGAAATCTTATTGCTAAATAGTGTCAGTTTCGTTATACAGTACTTTTTATTTTCGTGTCCTGAAAAGGTGTTCTGAATTTTTTGTACATTCCATTATTTCGTGTATTTCCATAGTGAAGTCAATACAGGATTCTATTTAGTGAGCCTTTATGTCAATATTTATGCCGAGAATGTTCTACACACACCTGGCAGGAGGCTACACCATGTATCTCTGAATTTAGTAATTTTACAATAGTTATCTGGTAATTTGATCTATGATTACTGAACCGTAACCTGCAATACTGTTCTCCATTCCTGTGTTTTATGGCATGTCTGAATTCACGTCATTCAGTTAGCCTACCTGATGCTGTGCTGATGTTTTCATTGTGCGCACTAGTGTCAACGGCCAAAGGACTCAGTTAACATTAATAACTTAAAACTATATCACATTAAATATCATTACATTACTTCATTAGAGACTGGTTGTTGTGTACATATATAGAAATAAATTATAAATAACAGTATTCTACAAAAGTTTTTACAAGCTGAAATATCAGATCCACTTCCATGTTAAATATTTAGCCATGTTTACATTCATAACAATATAATTAATTTTTAATCAATATTTGTGTAAGTACTAATCTACAGTAGATAGTAACGAAGATTTTGTGACGAGGGGAAACTAGTACAGTGCAGTATCTGTATATCATATTGACATACGTTTCTCGATACTAATAAATATGTATTTACGATAACTATATAAGTCCATGCAGGACTAAAGACTATAAAAATGTTCTTTTTAGTTTGAAAAATGTTTCCTCTGAAGTAGGCTACATTTTAATAAAAATATATTGTACTACACGGTAAACAAAAAGAAAAGTGTCTAGCCACACTTTGAAACAATCAATATGACAACACGGACGAAGAATTTTGACAGTACGAGTCATGTTGATCGTTTCGAAATTCATATGTCCCAGCTGGACAAAGTACTATTTTTTACCGTGTGTACGCAAATGCAATTTTACCGTAATCTGTTAAGTGCAAAATACTTTCCCAAACATATGGGAAATTTCCTTTAATGAAGCGTCCAGTCACAGGAAGCAGAATTACGGAGTTTAAAATAGTCAGTCAAGCACATTGTTACAAATAATGCTTATGTATGAATGCAGAATTAAAATTAGTGTAATCGCCAAAAAGTGAAAATTGATAAGCAATAACTCTTTTCGATCGTCTAGTTAAAGATTGTATACATGACGTAAAATAACTCTAAATAACCTATAGCTCCCAATTGTAGAAAAACTTACTAAACCTATTCTAACCTAACCTACCACATTTGGATTGGTGTACCGCAGCACAGTGAGCCATGCCCATAATAATATCACAATAATCATCAGGGCCCAGCAGGGGGTAATGTTTACACGTCCTGCGCTTACCCAACAATGCTTTCAACTCTTCAGTTCTAAGTTAATTAGCATTTATGAGTCAAGGATTAAATATGATTTTCTTGAATATTGTGTTTCTGAGCGTCGGTTGACAAAATTTGAGATGTTTGGTATGACTCGTAATTCGGCAGAGGTGGAATATCTAGCTTGACGAATTATGGGAGTTATAATGTACAGTGTGATTGCTACTTTTACTGCTTAAACTAGTTACTTTATTTATTCAAATTTAAGTAATTTTTAAGGAATAATACTTTTACTTTAACATAAGTATTTTATTTTAGATTACTTGTACGTCAAGTTAAGTAAAAATATGCAGTAGTTTTCCCCCTCTGATTATATCTCGAATAATAATTATGTTCAGTGTGTTACAGAAGCCAGCCACACGTGTCCATATGTTAGTGGCCTATCCTTCCTGTGAACGCGATACTTCTTGAAAGAATTAAGCTATTTTTTTAAATTTTGTTAGGATATTGGTCCCTTAAGAACCTGGCAATAGGCATGATCCGGATATTTCAACGAAGGGAATATTAATGCGTTCTCTAGATGGTGGAAGTCTTCTTTCAATAAATAAAATCTAAAAAATGACCAGCACTTACGAACCTAGATAATTTAAGATTTTCTGACCTGCGTAATTTGGTAGCGCAAGAAAAAATATATGTTCTCCGCTATAAAGGCAACAGTTTAATCACAAACGCTCTAAATGGGAGATTTCAATGACGAGACAATGCACTGAATGACTTAATCATCACAAGCTCAAGGAGAGGAGGACTTGTCAATTCGTATGGAGTTGCTGGCTACTTCGCCTTTCGGCTATGACGATCTACTGTACTTGTCTCAGCATTCTAGATATTGCCTTGACAGGAGAAAATGCTATTGTGCAGACACATTGGGGAGATAGAGTACTTGCCTCCGATATTACATTACATTTTGAAATTCAAGATATATTATTCAAGGGGAAGTATTACACATAAACTGTGGAATGTCACTCTTCGCACAGTGATATAGCCCAGTGGAACAGTTAAGTGATATAATCCTGGACATATCCATCAGTAGAAATGGGGGGGTGTCAATATGCCACGGGGTTCCATATTTCTTACAACGGCGTTACTTTTGGTGCTGGCAGTAAAGTAAACAAGGTGAACGTATAGACAGGTACAGGGTATACTGTTATATAAGGAGTGGGCGAGAAATAATTGACACATTTTGAATTTTACATGATTTCGAAACGTGTCAGTAATTTCTCCCAAATCACATTATTAACACGTGTAGTAATATATTACACGATAAGCAGCAGATTATGCGTTTGTAAATTTGACGTGACTTGATAAGGGAATTGATCCATGTTGATACTATAAGTAGTGTCCCTGGTGGTGTCTGCAGTGATCGGGAAAAGTTCTGTTCTTAATTAAAATCCGTTGAGCCTTGTGGATGTTTGCATAAATCATTATTAATTAGCACAAATGCAATTGTGGACATTATACCAATCGGAATTACACAAAATTATTCCTTTAGCAGTATTTAAAGAACTTACAGTATAAGTTAGTCTTTTCTAAGCTATGAAAAGATGAGAATATTCAAGAATATTCAAGAAAATACATGGAGCAAACAGGAGTGTTCACTACAAATACTAAATACAATAATTCACCTATTTAAAATTACTACAGGTATTTAGAAAAAACAAGAATCACTAAAACAGAGAATGATCACGTATTTATTTACCAGACAAAATTTGTGAGGTTAAATTGTAAGTACTGTAATGTATTTCATCTGGGATATTACGGTACTTAAACTCAACGAAAAGTTTTAGGTTGTAACAAGCTAAGTTTAGGGTTAACGGTCCTCAAACATTATAATGATAAAGAAACTTTGATAAAGTTAGTTTTTTTTCTTCAAAACTTGTTGCCACACAGCCACTCCCCACTAAATCCTGTACAGCACAGAATATTATGATATATGCATGAATACATAAAGCTTTTTATTATAGTTTAGATAGTACTGGTCCAACTTTATATATATATATATATATATATATATATATATATATATATATATATATATATATATATATATATATATATATATCTTGATAAAATCACACGGGAAAAGGGAAACAACGGAGCACCTTAGCTTTCGTCTTTATTCAAGAAGTGTGATTTTATCAAGATTTATCTTATCCACGTTTTCATTGTGGATCTACATGAAATATATATATATATATATATATATATATATATATATATATATATATATATATATATATATATATATATATATATATATATATATATATATATATATATATATATATATATATATATAGAATTGGATGGTCTAAACAATAATCACAATTATTTGTTTAATATGACATTACCTGACTAGTGCTAAAATTGTTTCATGATAAATTTTGTTATAAGACACTCGAATTCGAGCTTCAAAAACAGTCGTAGTGTTCTGAACAGACGTTAATAATAACAGACACTAGTTTCCCCCATGACCACATTGCATCCACATGGAAGTTTCTGGTGATTGCTCTTTAAGATAACATTCGGTTAATTTCTACTGATATGTGGTGCGGGGCGATTCATCTTGTGTAAGATATGTCGTTGTGGTTGAGGAGCTCTCACGTGTAAATCACCCGGCCCTAAGCATCTATACTCACTACACCCTGTACAGTATTATAATTACCTGCTCTAACCTGCGAAAGATAACCCTATAATGAGAGCAATGATTCCTAATAGAACGATGACGCATATGATGATGATAATTTTCTTCTGTTGGAGAGAGAAAGATGACATTACTACACATTTAATGAGGAACATGGCAGGTAGACTTTCTTCCTAGCATATAAAACTATGTACAGTATAAGACGTTCCATTATATCTAGAGAGCATAAAAATATTGGGATCAATAATGAATTTACTTATGGGATTCATTCATTCTTATTTATAAAAAAAATAAAACTTGAGTATCACCTTGCATTAAGAAATAAGATAATTTCAGAATAAATCCACTTAATTTTTTGAGCTGTAATCAAAATAGAAATTCGATTCAATTTATAAGTGACATGAACTATACTTAGCAGGGAACAGATCAACAAAGATTCGTATGGTGACAGTTGTAGTAAGTGAAGATTTAGAATGCACTCAACTAAATTAGTTTAAACACTTTTATTATATACATTCACTTATCTCCCGACATAATTTAGGTAAAGAACCTTTGTGAATCCTGAATCAAGGACACAACAGTACATACAGTTAAGCTTACAGTAAATACAAATAAAGCAATTAGGCTATTATTACAAAATATCAACTACTGTATTCTCTTATTGCAAAGCCAAAAGCATCTTTGAGGGACAACAACCCTGCATTTTTATTGTCAGTGAAAATATTACTTCGTAACTCTCAATTGTGTACGTCCCTGTACTGCTGTGGAGTAATAACGGCTGAAAAGAAAATGGAGTTCCTACAGGGAAACGAAAACAATTTTGTTCATGGATTCTACGATGTGCTAAAACTGTTCTTTACTTAAGGTTAGTTAGACAGATGAGTCGGTATTTAATAGGATGAGTTTTAACACATTCGTGGTAGGTGTGGTCGAACATGAGGTTTAGAGGGGTTAATCATGTGTTTTTAAGGCGTATACTTGTTTTGAGGAAGGAGTAATGGAGTCCAAGAATTCATTAACAGACATTAAGAAATGGAATCAGCTTCAGTGAGTGTGAAATTAGATTAAGATTCAATAATTATTTTTATGGACTGAAAACAAAAAACAAAAACAGTAATTCAGACTAAGTATTTTATTTTCAAATTTAATCAGATAATTTCTAGGTATACTGTAGTTGATACATTGAAGCGTCAGTGGTGGTTCAAATCTTAAAAATTGATTTTAAAAAATTAGAAATTGCTCTTAGGTCCGAGTTCAAGGCTGAATATTGTTTTCTCAGAAAGAGTAATGACTTACTAGAAAAGATTAAGTCGTATATGTTCAAGATTCAGTTTACAGGCAAATTGGGTGTTATTTAGGGTATATTTATGTCTTCCCGTATGTTCAACTTAGAAAGAAATTATTTCTAAATGACTATATTTTAAATTAATTCAGTTGTCTATCGTTTGCCTTCACACCTGGTTATGAATGAAGTGTGCGGCAGTTGTATCGTACACAATGCTGGCAGGAAGTAAAGGTCATTGAAAATTGTCTGTGTGAATGTTGTAACTCCAGCAAGAAGTAAATATGTCTGTAGACGTCAATAAAAACTAGGAGTGGCCTGTGAGGTCACGAAAAATGAAGTGGCACCAGATAAGTAATTTACCCTCGAGAACGACAATGAATAAAAAATAGTGATCTGTTCATAATAGTTAAACTTTTGGATAAAGATGACGACCCACCAGTAATTAACACGTTTAAAAAAGCTGAAGAGCTAATAGTCAAATAATTAAGGCAAATTAAATATTTTAAGCCTTTCATAGCACTGATCGACCAAGCTATCATTGTGTAGACTGTAGAGGATGCACTCGTGTCAGTGAGCTAAATGCTACATAAAAGCAACTACAGCAGCAGCAGTGTTGGCAATTAAAAAAATAATGTAGGGATATGTGTTAAGAAGGATAGAAAAAGCAAATATCAGGCGAGTTACACTGTCTCCTCCCGCACTTATTTATAAAACTGAACCATACATTATAAACACAACAACGTTATGTGTAGGACAGCTCTGTTTAGAAGAAGTAAGTCATCTGGTTGGATCTCGCTGAAAATTTTTTATATTCCCAAAAATTCATGATTCAGTGGAGATTTAAGACGACAAAGAGTAATATGGCGGAACATGTATCAACTATTTCTTATTATTAAAACATCACAACAAAACGAGGAAACGAGTATAAACAACGACTAAACGACCCAACAACAGACGACCACTAAAAGCCTAGCATCACCAACACATCACGAACACGACCCAGCCACACGAGCCTCCCCGACCCCATTACCTTACTGCTTGTGTCTCTGGTACTCACCCGCCTGGCCTTGCCTTGGTACTTTTGGGCCTCGTTAGTCTCCTTTTTGGCCTCTTCGACATATTCCTGAGCCTGTTGGACGTGGTTCTCAATCCTATTCACCATTTCACCCTGTAGTTGTGGCCAGGGGACGGGATGTTTGGGGGTGAGGATTGTGCAGGATAGGATTAAGGACCACAGGATATGAAGGTTGGGACAGGTTGGGTAGGGAGTCAAGACAACAGAGAGGCAGAACACAGAGATAACAAAAGGTTGAGGAGACAGTTGGCAGTGTAGAATAAGAACCAAATAAACCCAAGACATGTTAAAAGAGGACTTTACAAAATGTTGACCACGATGGACAGATGTTATTTGCAGGAATAAGGAAATAGGTTGATGAGGGATACAAGTAGTGGACAATAAAAAATCCATGGAGGGATCACACAAAGATTGTGGAACGGACAGGGGAAACAGAATATTATTACCAGAACAAATCATTGAAAAACAGGATGGAGGTACCAAAGAAATCATTTTGTAAGAGGTACCAAGAGGATATACAGGGAGAAACACGGCAGTCAAGTGTTTGTAGGAGATAACAAGAGGTTATATAGGGGAGAGGCGGCAGTCATGTGTTTGGAAGCCATTAATACCCAGGTAACAGAGAAACAAGCACCGAGAGACAGTCATCACACATTGTTGTTGTTCAGTGGTAAAGATCATTTAATAGTTTCAATTGTTAAAGGTGTTTGGTTTTAAAAGTTGCAAGATGAATAAACATCAGAGGGGAAACAGTTGCAGAATATTAATAAGGCATTAGTAACAGGAAACATAATCACAATTAATTAATCATAGAAATCATTACATACAGTCAACATGTATACAGAGCATAATGAAGTATCAGTTGGTCCATGCCAGATGCAAGAGTGCAGTGAACGTGCATAACATCAAGTGAAAGCAGAACATATATATAAGACAAGTTACCAAGCCCATCATAAAAAAGATCAGAAAGTAAGAGAGACATCCCATGGATATTTGTGTTGCAAAAGGATTACATGCAGAGAGGAGCCATGCAGATTATCAGTAAGAAATATTGCATGAGGGTTAATAAGGATGGGTCAAATATTTAGGACGATGTATGGGTGGTTGTCCACGGGGGGGTCAAGATTGGAAGTATGCATTGTGTAGCCCATATTTAAGACAGGTGATGTATTTAGGAAGACCAAATAACATGGAAGGTGGTTGGGATGAGTCACGATCAGAAAGGGTTTGTGATATATTAAGGATGGGCCGTACAATAGAGGGTGAATAAAAGCGAAAAAAGAAAAAGAAAATAGCATTAGCATTTTCGCTGCAATAAAACAAAAAATCTGAAAACATTATAATTATCCCACCTTCCGTGCACTAGACTTTGCCACCCTGGCTTTCTTCACGTCAGCAGTGGCCACCTCCACATAGTCACTGGCCTGTTGGACTTGTTTCTCAATATTGTCGACCATGACCCCCTAGTGTGTGATCAGCCATGAGTAAAGGTGAGCACGCAAAGAAGATAAAGCAAGTTAAACACAGTTTCTTCAAGGTTAATCTCTGATAGTGAGTTAAGACACCGTTTGTCACCAATGTTAATCTCTGACAAGGATTAAAAGGTCCATGATCTCAAGGGTTAACACTAACAATGATAAAAACGTCACACTATCAAGGTTCAGTTCGTGAACATATAAAATATTTGCTTAAGTCTTGAACTCTGACAATGATTTCGAACTGCAGTACTGTCTAGTAGAACCTAAGGTTAGTAACTGCAAAAATCAGTAGGATCACCTGAAGATTAGACACCCCAGCGTATTTCATTTGATGATCATGCTTTTTAGGGGTTATGTTAAGTCAAGTTAGGTTACGTTAAGTCAGGTTCGGTTAGCGTTAGGGGTGTTTTCATCAGGTGAAATAAGCTGTGGGTGTTTTATCTTCAGGTGGTCTAATAAGAGTAATTACGTAATTAAGAATGCGTCATAAAAGTAGACTCAGTATTTTCCTCTCACCTGACTCTCTATCAACAAATTCATGTCCATGAAGAGGTCGTGAAGCTCTCTAATGGACGCCTCCAGCTTGACGATGTCTGCATGTCTTGCCTCGATGTCGGCTAACCTCTGCCGCGCCTGTTTCGTCTCCATTATGATCTGTCGGTAAGCAGTGGCTTAGGCTGGTTTCCTATAATTATTATTATTTTTTTTACCATATATTATTCGAGCTGATAAGTCGATGGTGAGGGGGTGTGTGTTGATTTTGCTTGTGATATATTACAATGGGAAATTTAAGACCAGTCTACCTAATAAATTTAATATTCAATAGTTTATCAAAGAGAATTCATGACTAGTTATTTAATGTTATTGAATATAGACATGAATTTATAACATACACATTGTATTAATATTTGAAGAAATGGAAGCCAGCTGTTGGTTGAATGAATACCGTAATAAAGCATGGAAAATTGAGGAAAAGTCATGACACTCCCAACAGGTGTAAAATTTGTAACACAGAATTATGAAACGCCAAAGATGAACAGAAAAAAAGAATTCGCTGACAGAGAGAGAGAGACAGACAGACATAAGTAAGTTTACCCCCTGGGTGAAGATCTCGGAGTTGCCACTCTCCAACATCTGTTCAAGTTCCTCGTCCGTGGTTTCTCGCCCAGCTGTAGGAAGACACGGAGGAATATCCAGTTAGGAAGATACGCGGAGGAATATCCAGTTATGGGAATTTACTTTGATTTTCCATTTCAATAACAAAAACAGACTCGAGGCTTGTCCAAAACTTAGAATTCAGCTCAGAAATTTCATGATATACTTCGATAACATAATTAGGTATGTGCTTTATCGTCAATAAACGACCTACAAGACCTCAGAAAACTTATGATTTAGATTTATTATAATACTGAAAGGGATCTCTTGAAGATACACTCCCTTAGCATATTTCACCCAAAGGTTATCCATCCCTTTCCTGACGTTAGGGTGGTTCATCCTCAGGTGACAAGCTGGGAGAGGCGATTCTTTAAGTGATCTAATTAATTAAACAACCAACCCATAGTCTACATGTTAGATTACTCTGACAGTTTCATAATGACTGTAACAGTTTATACAGTCACCAGTCCACTTACTAATTTTCAGCTGCCTCTGTATTCTGCCCTTGCAACGATCTCGGTAGTCTGTCTGTATTCGGTTGTATTCAGTCATTGTCTCCACGAAGAGGCGACTCAATGTGGCTTGTTGGGTCTTTTTAATCCTCTGGCAGGCACTGAGATTCTCTGGGTCATCTGTTTCTGTCTTCTCCTCCAGCCCTGAAAATAATAAAAACGAGGTTCATAAAGGAATAAAGTAATGAATGCTTAAAATAAATACAACAAACACACGTACAACACAGGGAACTACAACACGTACAAAGACACACGAGCGTTAGAGAACATACAACAAGGGAAACAATTATTAAGGGGTGAACCAGTGGCAATTTTTATTAATCTATCATTTTATAACTTATAAGCTTATTAGCCTTTCGGTCGGTAGGGTCTCTTTGTTCCTTTGTTTTGAAATTTATTGTTCGGTTTTAGTACAGGAGAAAACCAGAGTACCCGGATGAAACCTGTGATGTTTGGTAGCGTGACACTGGACAACATCCCCCCCCCCCTTACCCAATGTGTCAAGGCTAGGAATCGAACCCAGGATAGAGACGAGAGATATATACGAGTTGAATTATGTCTCGTCAATATTTGTATTTGTCTGGTTAACAACTAACAAACTTAACAACTGTAGTAAAGAATAATAATAACATGCATAATATTCATAGTAGTAGTACTGTGATAGTAATGGTAGAAACCGTTGTCAGTTGTCACAAATAATAATAATAATAATAAAAGTAATATAGATAAGGCCTGACTAGTCACATAGGACATTAAGCAAGTCATCCTTGTAAGCGGATGTCCGTAAACAAAGTTCTGTGAGGGTGGTGTGTGTCTCATCCAGGCCCACCTTCCTGACTTGTTACTCGTTGTTAGTTTTCATCTTATTAACTTTTCATGTCTTAGCTATTTGCTTTGATTAGCTGGGTTTAAATTAGTGGTAAAAGTGCCGAAGAGAGGGAGACTTACCTTTGAGTTTCGTCTTCATCTTTATGCTAGTGGTCTTAATATCTGCCATCAAGTCATCCAGCTGCTGCTTCACCGCTGTAACAGAGTAGGATAGTCAGTTGTAACAAAGGACAACTAATAGGAGTAAAAGTATGCATGGCTCATTGTACGATCAAGCCTCTTGACGTTGTCTCGCGGTGGCCGAGAAATGGGCTACCAGTAGTCCTGTCGTCTCGCTCGAGGTTCGGTTTCATCAGAATTATTAAATTCTCGACCATCGCGAGAGACGGTGTCAAGTTTTGTTTGTGCGATTAGCCTCAACCTTACAAATATACAGTCTGATAATATGACGCTGAAATTAAAAATAGTTTTTGTGACATTGTAAATGTCGTACTTTTAATGTCATCATTTTTCCCCCGGTCTTAAATGTCAAATACATTTCCTTTCTTGTAAACGTTATATTCATTCAAGTGACGACATCAATCATTGTTTATTCATATTTACACTCATTAATATTTTATTTTTTATATTTTATCTTCATTTCCTAACCACAGTGTTTAATGTATGTTTGAGGCCAAGATAATGATTTAAGAAGGTATTACGCACACAAGATAGAAAACAAATGAACACCAGCAAGAAGTGACCGAAGTGACTTTATATTTGTTTACGTACTGTCGTGTTGCATCAAGTCGTCGTTGGTACTGTCCGAGAATGTGTTTCATTACGCAAACAGATAACTGGCCAGAGTACTGATAATGACTATGAAAGGTGCTCTGTGACCGACATTCTCTGTTGAGTTTTATCAGCAGCATGAGATTGTTAAAATGTTAAGAGTAAACTGGTGAAGTTGGTTAGATCGTCTATTTTGATTTTAATTTGACTAATTTAAATATAACTTGAATGTTTTGCTAGAAATGAAAAACCAGAACTATATTTTAGTAATGGAACACTGCTAAAAATGCCGACGGTAGTCATTGTGAACATCGTGCGAGCGTTAGTAATAGGTATATGAATCGAAATTTGTCCATTACATTGAGCTCAACATGTAAGTCACTTAGTTAACTTTGTTATATATCAAGATCCTAAACAAGGAGAGCGAGGAAATTCCACTCTCTACTTTCCAATCCTAGTAGGTTACAAAAAGAGTAAATCTAAAAGTATGTAACTGGTAACAGTTAGACGTGTAAAGGTGCAAATAACTGCACAGTATATATGAGATTTTTTTTCTTGAATGTAGATCCAAAGTTTTGGCGCCCTCCACTATGTTTACAAAGATAATGTGGCTCAGCGCCTACAAAAGGTTGGGGACTACTGATATTGTACTTAGCACTTCACATGGCCGTAAAAGTCCACATCGTTTTAGTTGCCGGTTACTTCCGTTGTCCAAGAGGAAATATAAGGAACTAGATCATCATCTATAGTCATGTAAGATTATATGACCTCGTACGTAAACATTTGTTCTCATACTTACCTTCATCTGGTTGGGATGATGACAGAATCTCGCAGTGTTTCTTCTTGACGTTGTCCACGTTGGTGTTAATTCTGTCGATCATCTCCCTCACCTCTTCCACCTGGGGCAGATAGAGGACCAGGTGTGTTGTTAGTGTGGCTTGAGGACTATTGTTACTTTTGCCACTGCTATTATTTATATATTTATATTACTATTACTGCTATAACTAATATATTTTTGTTTCTACTGCTACTAATGACAATTATTCTTAGTACTACTACTGAAATCGAACGTATCTTTCTCCCCAATGTAACACCGGTGCTGAATGACAAAAGCCAAAAAGTAATCAAATTACTATCGATGTTATGGCAACATCAAGTAAACAAAGTTAATAAACGCCTGGGGAGGTGAGGAGGCAGGCTTGGGGAGGTAACGAAGCACCTGGGCAGTTAGTGATTGAGGACCACTGTCACCTGGTAAAACAAGGCCGTGTCCAGTGAGAGCTAGAGAACTGGGGGAAGACCACAGTGAAGAGAGACTGTTTGTGTGTGTGTGTGTGTAAAACTGACCTCTTTGAAGAAGGAATCCATGGTGGAGGGGTGATCAGGCTCCACCTCGAGGACTACAGGTATATCTCCAAGCCCTACGCTGTCGTCATCCCTCCGCGCCTGCAACATACAGAGGCATTGTGCTGTAGTCTCAAGGGTGATCACAAAATAATACAAGATGATGCAAATCAATGATGGATGCCAATGAAGATCGATGAACGTCAACAGGAAGGCCTCACGGAGCAGCTTGTAGCCTCATAGCGGGGACAAGGAATGCTCATAAACGCCAACACAAGAATATGAAAGAATGTGATGAATTCTTTCCATGGTTATTATCAAGAACGCAACCATGTTATAGTACACTTATGGAGGCGTAGACCAACTATATGTGATTAAGATTAATACCCTATAACACGCATTCCTAGGAAAATTTATCGTCCCAGCAATAAAAACATCAATGTATCATATAACTATATTATGAGAAATTAATTATCAGTGACTCACATGATGGTGCCACCTCGTGAGTCATCTACGTGGGAAATCTGGAGGTTGACCTTGTGTCTGCGAATGACATATCGATACCGTACATAACTTCACGAAAATATAAATTTCATTATTATACAGATTACCCAGTTTTTGTATGTAGATTCGCGGTATGGTGCACATAACGACTGCCAAATACACCATTATTGAATCACATTATTACCACCAAACAGACACGAGCTAGTCTGCCCTGATACTCTGCCACCTAAGATAAGGCTGGTTTGTCACCATTGGCTCGTCTACTAACTGTATTTGGATATTTTTGTGATGATAATAAAACTTTCAGGAATAATTATCGTTAGCCACATTATAAAGCAATTTGGAGTATTACTTCATAGTACTAACACACCTTCACACACACAGTTCATATACAGTAGTAATAAGACGCAACGTGTTTAATTAGGCACTTGTTATCTTAACGGAAACTACAGTACTATTGCAATCCCTTTCAGCAGGGGAACCCAGACGTTCTTATCAGTGACCCAAGGCTCTCTCCTCCCCATCCTGGTGTACTGTATTTCTTACCCAGAACACGCCCGTAATGACCAGTTGTTTTACAGCGTAGTTATACCTTTACCTTATAACATCATTAATAACACTGCCTATTTTTTTTTGTACTTCCATAATCTGATAACATCTTAGTTGTTTTAAAACGTAGTAATACATTAATAACATCAACAGCTGCCAATTCTATTGTTCAACTGATATTCTTATAAGTCCTTTATTCATATATTTGTATAAACATTAATACATTATGACTCATATGTTTAATGATCTGACCTTTAAAACTAGCTCATGTTTGCGGATGTTTGTTTTGATGAGTCATAGTATTATCAGTGCATAATTTGTGAGTTTTCGTGTCAGTATTTTCGCACAACAGCAGAATTGACCTTGGAAGAGGCTTTTGTAAATGTTTAGACACTGATCACATAAACACTCATCTTACAGTCTGCTTCTCTTGGTTCGCCTGTGTGTTATTCTTTGTCTCTCTTCACACCTTCCTCGCTTAAACTCACCGGGAATTAATTATCTCTCCCAGGATTAACCAAACTTGTGCAACACCACCAAAAGTTATCAGTGACATGTAGTTGTTAATCTTTCCTTAATATTACTCTTTTGTTTTTACTCCTTCACGTCGTAAGCTTCAAGGTATATAGGGAATGTCAGCTTGAGGTCTACTGTTGATGTAACTCGCTCCAAAAAAGTATCTAAGGATTTTCACAACCCAACCGAGACAGCAGAAGTCGTGGTGTTCATTTTGGAAGTCATTGGACCCACCATCCGTAAAGATACTTTTTAGAGCGAGTCATCTGTCTTGCCGCTGTTGAATTATCTAATATTATTAATAAGTTCTCAATAATAATAATAATAATATTAATAATAAATAGGTCAACTGGGTTAATGATAATAATATCAATTTTAGTGATATTAATTATGCCAGCTGAGCTAATGGCAACAACAACAGCGATAGTAATATTAATAAAACGCAATAAAATACACCTACAGAACACCTGTGAAAAATTAATGGTGATAAAATGTCTTCATCATACAAGTAATAACAATAAAAAAATATAACTAATAGAAATATGAAGAAGAATTATTCGTAATAGCAAATAGAAGAATAACAAAAAGAAAAGAGGATAAGGAGGATAGAAATAATGTAGATATAGTAATAATGTAAGACTATGCCGTCAGTAGTGTCGAATATAAATCTATTGTCGTTTTTCTTTACTATTATGGCCGATACTTTACATAAAATAAACAGTAATCTGATATTATTTTCTTTACGTAGTTTGAGGGTAAAATCCGCTCCCATATATTTTATTTTATTTATTATCTTAAGAAATTCGCTGATGAAAAATACTCGGGCTAGTGTTGTGTGACGTCATGAGAGGTGGTGGGGGAGGAGTGGTGGTAGTTAAGAGATATTGGTGGTAGTTGGAAGTTAACGGTGGTAGTGAGGAGATAATGGTGGTAGTTGGAAGTTAATGGTGATAGTTGGAAGTTAATGGTGTTAGTTGGAAGTTGATGGTGTTAGTTGGAAGTTAATGGTGGAAGTTAACGGTGGTAGTGAGGAGATAATGGTGGTAGTTGAAAGTTATTGGTGGTAATGAGATAATGGTGGTAGTTGGAAGTTAATGGTGTTAGTTGGAAGTTAATGGTGTTAGTTGGAAGTTGATGGTGTTAGTTGGAAGTTGATGGTTGAAGTTAACGGTGGAAGTTGGAAGTTAACGGTGGTAATGAGGAGATAATGGTGGTAGTTGGAAGTTAATGGTGTTAGTTGGAAGTTAACGGTGGTAATGAGATAATGGTGGTAGTTGGAAGTTAATGGTGGTAGTTGGAAGTTTATCGATGGGTAACGATGCTTCATTAGGGCTGTTTACTCTACTGATGAAACAGGCCGCCTTGGTGCTAGCTTATATCACTACTGTACATCCGGACGCTGATAACTTTTTAACGAGCGTACAAATGCGTAATGAAGAAATAAATAAGACATAAATAACTAAAGAAAAATAAGATACATATACAGTATACGGTAACTAAAGAAAAATAAAGAAGAGAAAATAACTAATAAAATGCAAAAATAAGTGCAAAAACTGATTTATTAATATATATAATAAATAAAATACAGAAATAACTTATTAAATAAAATAAATATAAATATAGGAATAATTCAATAATATGCATAACGAAGGAGATGCATAAATGAAAATAAAACACTAAAAAGAACTAGGCAGATAAGTTACAGTACAGGGCAGCTAAAAAAAGTATCTCAACACTGTGAACTATTATGACACTACGGATGGTTAGATATAGGGACAGGTATTTACTTTGGTATTATAGCTTAACATAAGTAATGCAATGTGTATTTATAACGGCGTAATTAATATGATGTTCGGTTATCATATGTAGTCGGATCAGTATGCCACAGAGCCACGCGTACCAACCCTCAGGACATCACGAGTTGCATGTAGCAGATATTTTTTTGAGATAGTGTACATTTTTAGACATTGATATAATATACAGAAATTATATCCAAAAGTTATTGAATTTTCAGTATAAAGTACAGAAATAACGAAGTACATAAGATGCTTAGATAGGATAGAAAAATAAATCGGCTACTAAATTAACTATATGAAGTAAAAAAATTAGTTAAATAAATTACAAAAAATAAGGAACTGGTGTGTGTGTGTGTGTGTGTGTGTGTGTGTGTGTGTGTGTGTGTGTGTGTGTGTGTGCATTGCAGAGTATTGTCTTTCAGGTTACGAGTTGCGCTGCCGAAGTATGAACCGTGCAAGTTGATGAGAGACGCAGATACAGCGAACAGCCAGTGACGGGGTTAATAGCGTTTGTCAGATTTCTACCCCACCATAAATAAAGAAAATTTATGACGGGGCTTCAGGCTATTTTATAACACGGCTTCATGACAAGGCTTGAGGCTTTATTATGACTGTATCTCGGGTTTTTTCTTGACAAGGCTTTTAGGGGGTTTGCATGGACATACTTTAAATCTGTTCCCATATATTGCTTCAGAATTTTCCATGACGGGGAACCAGGCTTTTCAGTGTCAGGGTTGTTAACTTTTCCGTGGCGTATTCCTTTTATGTCTTGATATCGAGAAGCGACGCGCAGTGTTAATTTGGTGACGTCACGGGCCATGTCCCTCTTCCCGTGTTTGTTTATCGTGGGAGAAATGACAGGCGGTGGATCATGTTGTAAGGGGGATCGATACCGCCTATGGTCGTCCGGTGAATCGTCTTGTATTGTCTCAGTGTCAGGTGTGTCGTCTTGTATTGTCTCAGTGTCAGGTGTGTCGTCTTGTATTGTCTCAGTGTCAGGTGTGTCGTCTTGTATTGTCTCAGTGTGTCAGGTGTGTCGTCTTGTATTGTCTCAGTGTCAGGTGTGTCGTCTTGTATTGTCTCAGTGTGTCAGGTGTATCGTCTTGTATTGTCTCAGTGTGTCAGGTGTGTCGTCTTGTATTGTCTCAGTGTGTCAGGTGTATCGTCTTGTATTGTCTCAGTGTGTCAGGTGTGTCGTCTTGTATTGTCTCAGTGTCAGGTCAGGTGTATCGTCTTGTATTGTCTCAGTGTGTCAGGTGTATCGTCTTGTATTGTCTCAGTGTGTCAGGTGTATCGTCTTGTATTGTCTCACTGTGACAGGTGTATTGTCCCAGTGTGTCTTTAGTCTCATATTTTCTGGGAGTATCTGACAGTATCTAGACCAGTAATAAATAATCCTTAATCCTTACTACAGTACACGTCTGTTTAACTCAACAACGTGAAGTATTGTGTTGTCAGCAGAAGACATGGGTGTTGGAAGTGTTCTGTGTTGCTGTTCTTCTCCTTGATACAAGTCTTAATGTGTAATGAACAAAATTTATTATTAAAGTGGTCGCATAACTATTCTACGTCTGTGTATAATTATCGCTATGTTCGTAGTGTGTATGTTGAACGCTTTTGATCTGTCTTGTAAAACTTGTTGAAAATTATAGAAACACGATTCAAGTTTTATTTTTTTTCTAGTTTCCTTCATAGTGTCGATGAAGAGGACAGCAGTGTTATAAATGCTTGTCATCGAACTACTATCCAGAGTTAGTTATACCAGGAGGTGTAGACGTATATTAACTGTATAAAATATCTCAATAGTTAGACATAATTTTCCATATCTGCTATTTAGGATGCCTTTTAAAGGTCAATACTCGTGCTAACCAGTTTTACATAGTTTACACGAGTAAGTTATCTCGAACAATCAGTCTATTTTCGAACACTAAATATTGTACTTCCTTCCTGGACACATGTTGGCAGCCTGACAGCGTCGTCCTCCACACAGGTCTGGCCGCCAGTACTCACCACCACTACCGAGTTCTAAGTTGTTATTGACACAGGATTTTGGTTCTTCGATCTATCAGATTTGGGTGACAGAAACTCCCCTTTCAGTCAGCAGTGGACACAGTCAACACCAGTAGTCTCTTACAGTCAATAGTGAACAAGGACAGCAGCAACAGTCTCTCTCAGGCAGCAGTAAACATCTAAACGACTAGACTCCCACTCTCAGGTTCTTCCATACTATACTACCACACAACTTCTTACCATGTGTCCGCCTTTACACCTTTCCTTACCACTGTTGCACAAGGTACAGTCTAAAGCTATTCACCTCTATCAACTAATACCTTACTTCTTCCTTTCCTTCCTTTCACGCCCGACCGTAATTCTCATAACTTTTTTTATACTATTTTCAAAGTTGATTTGCATAAAAATTCAGTTCATCATACCCCTTTCTTTTAATCCTTCACAAATCACAACGCACTTCACTCACCTTCTTCAGTCCTCCCACCTCAGGTTTGTGGAATTCCCTGACCTTTCGCATTTTTTAATCTGTTTACAACTTGAAACGTTATGTTTTGGCCGTATATGAATCTCTTACCGCACAGTTAGATTATGCATTTCCATGGCCTTTATACATGGTGCACTCTAGGCAATCCTACCTTGGATTTTACAATACCCTTCAGAGTTCACATTGTCATGTATAACTCCCGCTAGTCCATCACAGAGTAAAAATTAAAAAGTAAATAAACCTGCTTCACCGACCACAGGAAACCTTTCCTAGATTAACACTAAGTTGAGCAACAAACTTTGTCGTGTCCTTTTATCTCGCTCATATCGTTGAGCTGCTTGTTGTACATTTTAGGAGGTAGAGTTATGAACTATTGGAATAATCTGCCAGTGACTGTTGTGACGCACCGAGTGTCACATCATTTAAGACCAGACTTGACCAACACTGGCGCAGGTTTTTATACATTCTGGAGTCAGTTCATGCCCAGAACTTGCCTACAGTGTGCAATAGAGACGTGACCGATCGCCCAAGCGGCTCACAGGCCCATCGGCGGCGAATAGGATAAGGTAAACTTGGCTGTACGGCCAACCACTGTGAGGATTTGTTTGCTACATGATTTTTCATATATTTTTTTTTTTCGCCCAAAGTATTTTTATTATCATTACCTAGCTGGTAAAATAAATCGGTTTTGTATGTCTGTCTAATATGTCTACACACACAGCACCTCCAGAGCAGCGAAGTCGTTTTCATTCACTACCTGTCCACAAGTACAGTCACAACAGTGTGATTTTCAAGGTCACTCACGACGAGGTACAGGACTCCAAAATGTTGATGGATATTCTGAACGACAAGACGAAGAAGTAGAGCGTAGTTTTTTATTAAGAATTCTTGAACCTGTGGATGAAAGAAAACAGCCGATGGCGGTGATCACAAGGAGGAAACATTGTCTTGGGTATGTCCATAGAGGTCATGAGCTACTGTGGGAGGCGAGTGAAGGACGGATGGTGAGTGTGGTGGAGTTGTAGGAGAGACTATTGTGATGGATAGAGCTGAGACCTAAGAAGAGGGAGTACAGTGACCCACCATCAGGCACGACACCGACGATGAGACAGAACATTCGTGGATAGTGATGTCAGGCACTGAGGAATCTGCTTTTTGTTTAGGGGAGTAAAGCGACCCCTGGCGGTATCTGTGGTTCCCGGGTCTCTGGTTATCATATGACATTTATACTCGTAAGTTTGCTCTTCCTGAGCCGTGATACACTATGTGCATCATCTGAGTTGCTGTGTGGTGTGTGTGTGTGTGTGACAGGAACGCAGTTACAATAAACATTTAGAACGGCTGTAGGAGGTAGTGCGAGTAATGGTGGTATAGGAGAGAGGATGGACGTTATATGGGGTGTGTAGAAGTTTTGTGCATGTGTGTGTGTGTGTGTGTGTATGTTCGCATGTATGTACTGTGCGTTAAGCTGTACGTATAAGCATATAAAAGTTTGACACTACTTACCGCCCTCAAAGACTCCATTCTATCCTTAATCATCTTGGTGGTTTTCTGAGCCTCACTTAAGACACCTACTAGAGTATCGTATTAATTGTCGACACACATATTCCACTCGCAGTACAGTATGCTCAGTACTAAACACTTGTTGAAACTCGATCCTCGTGAAAACACTCGGTAAACTAATGATATATAAGGACTAGATATATTGCCTTGCCACAGTCTACAAGTTTCTAGTTGGGAGACGGTCAGGTAGTAAAGGTTTTAAGTTAGAGGAGTCTGATGGGTGGGAGCGTGTCACTCCCCCTAACACGAGTGATAGTGCCAGAGTGGAGTGGCCCTCCTGCTGCGTGCGCACCGGCACTCATTGTTGCCAACTCTAACTCTACTGCACAGCCTCTCTACCCCTATACACACACACACACACACACATATATATATATATATATATATATATATATATATATATATATATATATATATATATATATATATATATATATATATATATATATATATATATATATATATATGTGTGTGTGTGTGTGTGTGTGTGTGTGTGTGTGTTTATGTGTGTTGAGGAGGGTGGATGATTGTGTTTATAGGCTTCTGTTTGTATTTGAAATAATAATGGTTGCCCCTCATGTAACGAGGATGGCTGGCCCTAGGGCCACCTACTGATAGGTGTGAGTTGTTTAATGTGTAGAAGCTGTCGCCAACACAACAACCACACCCTGAGTTAACGAGCTGAGTGACCCAGTGTCAAGGAATAGTCCGAGAAAACCGGACAGCTCGCCAACTGCACTGGCAAACAATTACCACGGAACACGTTCCGCAAATCGATTAACATCCAGGTCCCCAATTACTGCTGTGTAGACAGAGGCAAATGGCGTAAAGAAACTTGCCCATAGTTTCACCCTGCTCGGGATAGAACCCGGGTCCGCTCGCTTGCGAGGCCAGCATGCTGACCATTACACCAGTTTGTATATAAACTATAAGTACATAAGAACATAAGAAAATAAGGAGTTTGCAATAGGCCGGTTGGCCTGTGCATGGCAGCTCCTGTCGAGAGTTACTACCACTCTTTATCTTCCATGAATCTATCTAGCCTCCTTTTAAAACTCTCCAGCGTTCCAGCACTTACTACAAAGTTGCTAAGCTTGTTCCACTCGTCCACCACCCTATTTGTGAACCAGTTCCTTCCTATCTCCCTCCTAAACCTAAACTTATCCAACTTAAATCCGTTGCTCCGAGTCCTATCCTGCTCGGATATTAGAACTTTATTTATATCGCCTTTATTGATTCCTTTCACCCACTTAAATACTTCTATCATATCTCTCCGCACTCTTCGTCTTTCTAGGGAATGCAAGTTTAGTTTCTTTAACCTATCTTGATATGGAAGGTTTCTAAGTCCCGGAATCATTTTCGTCATTCTTTGCTGCACCGAATCAGTGAATTGATATCCATTCTATAATAGGGGCACCAGAACTGAACCGCATAATCGAGGTGCGGCCTGACTAACGCAAGATATAGTTGCAATAAGACCTCTACACTTTTATTAGTTACACTTCTAGCTATAAAACCTAATACGCAGGCACACACACACACACACACACACACAGTAGACGAAAACTTCCGCTCACGTATACGTCCATCCTGTAAGACATCCGTATTAAAACTGACTTTATTATTATTATTATTATTATTATTATTATTATTATTATTATTATTATTATTATTATTATTATTATTGCCACTTGTGTTAACAGTTACTGTCTCCTGATCACCAACGCCACAGCTAAATAATCCTCCCCCAGCCCTGATGTATAGCGGTTCTGGTAACTGTGTGAGACTGGTGATAACAAACACATCTGTTCACCTTATCGAAAATAACTTATCAGCCCCGAGCATTGTGAGGCGCCATGGCTGATACCACGAACCTGAATAATTACATTGTTTACCCCGCAGTCATAAAGGGTGGCGCAGAAGTCGATTTACCGTGAATATTTTGTAGTATACATTATTATAGGAAAAGCAGCCTATGCCCCACCCTGTATAATGTATTTGTTAGTTGAGATACAGTTTTGTTCTCGTCATCTCCTCTAGCGTATTCTTTATCGGTAGTGTAGCCGTCTTGGACTCATATCCTGATAGTGAGTCACGATTCTTTTTAATAAATTTACTAATGTTGAGTAACGATTCAAATCTTATGAAGGTTAGAAACTCCCGTTTATTTCACTTGATGATTAAAACATCATACCGCTAAAAGAAGGGGGGGGGTGTGGCTGTATAGGACACAGACCTTTTGTATTGTCTGGTGTAGGACGCAGGACTTGTTTGTATTGTCTGGTGTGACGAGAGGTGGCGTTCCGATCGCTCGCCAATCCGTAGATGTAGTGAACACGCTAATGATTTATATTGTCAGAGGTTTCCAAGTTCCCAACACTATATCCAACACTAACAATAGGACTCAACGACGGCCATAGTCATCGAATCCAGTACCTGCTTCATTATGACCTTTGACCTGACACTCTTGGGGATCAGAAGAGCGACGGCCTCATTCCAACCACTCCCCTTCCTCCTCATTCCAAACCCTCTTCCTCCTCATTCCATGCCACGCCTCCTTTTCCTTATTCCAGCTACTCCTCATTCCTACCACTCTTCCTCATCTTCCTCCTCATTCCAACCACTCTTCCTCCTCCTCCTCATTCCTATCACTCTTCCTCCTCCCCCTTTCTCCTCATTCCAACCACTCTTCCTCATCATCCCCACCACTCTTCTTCCTTATTCTAACCAATCCTCTTCATTCCAACCATTCCTCTTCTTCCGTCTCATCCGGTTGTTTATTAATTACTCATTTCTAATCGTGAGGAGACTCACCTGGAGGCTGCTGCTACCGGCATCGTCGGTGTAGCCCAACATGGAGACGTGTGTCTGTGGTGGGCAGGGCTGACCCAAGCGTCAACACCTTTTTCTTCGGCCATTCCAGCACCAGGTATGCCTTATGGGTGTACCTGCGGGCCAGTGTGTGTTTGATAGATCTTGGAATATACATATATACTGGGTTATATATTCGCTTTTGTAGTCCAGTATAAATAATTAGAACTGTGTAGAATTAAAGGCTGTTGCAACATTATACACACACTCCCGAGTGATGGGTCTCATGTGTAGATGTAGGAGGTAGTGAGTAGCGAGGTGTCCTGGGAAAGGAGTCCTCAAAGTTCCTTGATATTTGTATTTACTGTACACAGTCCCTCGAAAACCTTACACATCCGGAACATCGGTATATAGTCCAAAATTTTCTGCACATTCTTACAGCCGGCGTTCTAAAGAACGCGTCAAGACAGTCTATGGTCGTTCTTCACAATACCTCCTACAATTCTCAGGAAATTGTTACAGCAGCCAAACAAAAATTCACCAGCGGGTCAACCCATTTAAGCGAGAAGTGTAGGTGTGTTGGGATATGGAGCGTCAATCACGTCACTGTGTTAGTCCTCGCGCCTTGGTACTGTTACTGCCTCGCAGGCAACTTCGCAGGTTCAATGGCTCTTAATAGAGTATCTCCAATAAACTGGGGGACGCGAGGGGTCAGTAGAAAATGCTGGTATGGCCATGCTATGCAGAAAGTGGACACTGTTATGGTAATGTGCTTTATATTTATAATTATGTTTACTGTATATAATATTTATGGGCCTTGCTTTCTCCCCATTCATACTATGGGGTTTTTCGTATGTTATTACATCATCTTTCAGATCACGTGGCGCCCCAGCTAGGCGCAGTCAGTATTTCATCATACCTCATGGGCTTGACCTGGAAGGGTGTGATCCTGGTCCCTTGACCGGAAACGGGTGTGACTGATCCAGTAGGGCTGTGCATTGAGTTGCCATGTAGCCAATTGCTGTATGGTTGCGCTTTCATTCTTATAACATTTTCTTTAGCTCATATTACCAGGGGTGGATCCAGAGGGAGGGGGGGTCCTGGGGGTCCGGACACCCATGTTCATCAGAAAATTCAAATACTTTTTCTTTAATGTAACATTTTGTATAGTAATAAAGTAATTACTGTTGACATCAGAAGATCTCCCAATATCAAGTGCACGTGGCCTCAAAATGCCCATTATGGGTTAGATTTCCCCCAACTGGGTGGGCTCACTGCGCTCGGCATATTCCCCCACCCACAACTTTTTGGACCCCCCTTTTGATATTCCTGGATCCGCCCGTTATCTACCCAGTGTTTCCCATAAATAGTCTTGTCTTTCTCCCATTATAACTTTGCCTCAAACCTTGTAGTAGTTAATGTATGCTTGTGAATTAAATGACGTTCATCTGCACATACGTAGTAATCCCTAACTTTGCCAGTATTTTCAGAACCATTGGTTACCAAAAGAAGGTACAGGGAAGACGCCCCAGTGGAGGAAGATCCCAACCTTGGCACCGTCGTACCAGGAGGGCAGCGGCCGGATGTCCAGAGTCCCAGGTGGGGTCGTATCTCTCCCACGACACTCCTGACGGAGAAGAGAGAAACTAGAATGATCTAACTTGTCTGTAGTGACACATTCATTACACACCATACCCTTCTTCCTTGGTTCAGTAAGCTTTTTTATTATAAGTGTGAGGACATGTGGAATGATATACCGGGGCAGATGGTCTGGTCTCCAAACGTGTTGACCTTCGAAGAGAACTTGACAAGCTCTAGACAGATCATGATGTCATATTCTTGTATGGAGCTCTGGGAATATGTTGTATATCTATTATCTCGCCCACTATAACACTTGACTCGTGTAATGTAATCCATAGCATATCAGGGTATGACAATATAAAGCCCTCGTCCACAACACACCAAAGTAACCTAAATAATTATGCAAAAAAATCTCTTGTCAATAATAATGCGTCAGCCAGTCCATTAATTTTCAGCTATTGTCATTATCATTAGCGCCACCGAGCAGGCTCACCTTTTGACATACCCAGTTATTATATACCGCTAAAGCTTGTCATCAGAGGAGTAACTTTAAATAAAACCTGTTGTGGCTTCTTCATTGGAGACCCCAGCCCACTTTCCGTCCTCTCTCTACAAAGCAACACCTAATATACTGTATTTAAGCAAAAGATGAATTGAAATATTCTTATCTCGTCCCCCATGCATGGTAATACAAGTTGCTCCAGGTCCTTGTAGGATAACCTGGTAAAGTAACACGTCATCCTAATATAAACCTAATCCAAATAAACCTATTATATCGGCACATAGCGTAGATCTCGTTCCTGGTCATCTTGCTCATCTTCTTTTAGTGAAGAAGCCAGTTCTTCATTTGTTAACTCCTCTCCTGTGGTTCCAAGCAGCTCT